GTTATTACTTACTGATTAATGCTTTAATGCTAAGTATTGACATTGGAAAACAAAATGCAACTTTAGTAATTAATGTTTAAAAGATTATTATTAGTGTATTGTATCGTTTTATTGTATTAAAATTGTTATTAATAACAAAACTTAATAGACAAGATAAAAAAAACATCGATGTTGTAAAGTGGTTTAAAAATAAAAAACATAACTCACAGTAGTTGGCTTCCAAATTTGAATTTTCTATTCGTTTCGACTATTTAAAAAATGGAATTGACTTTGATTTCACTGTTTTTTCCTTTTGTGAAATAGAAAGTTAACACGTTATACGATGTCAAAGCACTATGGCTGACTGAGTGAAGACCGGCTCTGAACGATTCTCTTTTATGTTTGTGGGGTAAACTGGTATCAAGCGAGCTGACCGTTCGGCGTCAGAGTGAAATATTAAACGTCTTTATAATATGAGTTTGCTATAGACTCATTTGCAAGCTGCATCGTCCAATAAATGTATTTTTTCTAATGTATTTTATTTAGTTTGGTTATGTCAAAATCTATTCGCAAATTTTAAGTACCTACTTAATATTGTTAAATTGATTATTAGTGTAAATGTAACCGTTTAAAAGCTTTTAAAAATAAAAGTCATTTGTTTTATTTACTACTAAAATAAATACGTTAGTTTTATTTACTAATAAATTAAATTTTGACACAAAAATGTCTAAGCCCACTATTATTCAGTTTACTAATACTTTATAGGTACAGTGTAGCCTTTTTAAAGGATACATAAGTATGTAGTTCACTTGAGGTGAATTTAAATACTTCACGTTTATCCACATCAGATACATTTTTCATCTATTTTAACTTATTTCGGATATTGTAAATTCATAGACGTTAGAACTTAGGCAAAAATCAATTTGTACTATTATTTGTGTAAGAATTGTATTAACAAATTTTTGGTCACCGTGCTCTTGTAGAATAACATTTTTAGACTATGAAAGTATTAATAAGTCAAGTCATAAAATTGCAGTTAGGCTACTCTGCCCCTAGCGGCCTCATATGTAGTTCAAATTGAATTACTCGTACAATAGTATCGACGTCCACATCTTAAAGCAGGTAGGTGTTCTAGCAAATCCATTGACGGGACGAATGTAACAATAGTGAAGTGAATAAACTTTCTACAAGCGAACTAAGAAGCAATTACTGTCGTTATTGTGCGTTACAATTAAAAAACGATGTCTATAATCAAAAGATAAAATACCTAATAGGTCGCAACATTGACCTTATTACTTACTAGCTGTGCCAGCGACGTCGTCTGCGAGAATCGTTATTTTGGGCATCCAAATTAGTAAGTATAGACATATACATAAGTCTTTGCAAACCCCGTCATCTTTATAAACTAAAGCTGTTATCCACAACATCAGTCGCGTCCCTTCCCGTCGTTCTTGCAAGTTAATCATAAAAGATAAACATATAGCGTCGCGGACTTTTTTTTAGATCATTTATCGGGGAATCATTCTTTTATACTTAATTTTTAGATATCTTGAAATGTTTTCGCAGCGTACGCATCTGAAACTTGCAGTGATGAAAAATTTCCCCCGTTTTGTTCACATATCTCGCTGTATCTTCATTCCTATTAGTCACATCGCGCATGTGTTATAGCCTATAACCTTCCTCGATACATGCTCTAACCAACACAAAAATAATTTTTCAATTCGAACCCGTGCTTCCTGAGCGCGTTCAAACAAACAAACTCTTCAGCTTTATCTTTGTATAGATGTTGACAGGCTAGTTGGTCTAATGGTTGCAGTGTATGGTTAATATGTTATCATTTTGCATCACTGAAAATCGGCGTGTGCGTACTTTCAGGTACAACAAAAGCTGAGTGGTGTCCCTCCACATATATCTATTATTGTGTATTATTCTTTGTATTTTGTGTTTGGATTAAATGATTAGGTTTGATTTGATTTAATAATCAACCTGTCGTAGGTGCGATCTCCACCGGGTCCAACATGTTTATAATTTTTAAATTTATATTTCTTCTAAAACATGTTGGACTTCGTGAGGAAATCTGAATATTAAATGGGTGATAGGAATATAAAAATTTCGTCCGGGTCACGAACCATCGTCCACAGATGAAAAAGCCGTAAAGCTTCCCGGGAATCCCGGGATTTATAGCTAAAATAGTCGACAGCGTATCTTGTTTAGATGTTATAGGCTGGAGCATATGTGAACCCCGTGGTTGTCTGTCCTCCTCTATAATTAAAAAAAATAACGTAATACAATACAGTACGTAACAGGTTTAACGTTTAATACACGAACATAAATTTGATAAATATCTTAAAATTCTGCAATTTCCAAACTTTTGCAACTTAAGCATCGTAGGCAAATAAATAAAGAGAAGTGTACTTGCTAAGTACTTTTAAATTGCAACCTGACGTCGAAGTTTCTATACCTTATTGTCACATAATAACATAAATATATAATAAATAAACATCAAGTGTAAATTTACAGACAAAAAGTGAAGATATACATAGATTTTACTGCACCACAGCTGCTGCAAAGCGTGCAAAACGTCGGGTCGAAGTTAAAAATCATTTTCAAATAAGTTTAACTGAGATATATCGCGTTTTATACCGTTAGTGTTTTATTTAAATGCACCAGTGATTCTTGAAAATGACTAAATAGATTTTAATGCGGTTTTCACCAATGACCAGACAAACAAAAAATACAACTCGCTTTATAACACATATCTCATAAGTTTCGACTCCCATGTCTATTTTTTTTGTATTTTTACATAGTTAGAGCGGAACCAGAATCGTACATATGTATCGTTGCGGGTTTTTCTTTTAATTTTAACTATCATCTTAAAGTACATAAGTGTTAAGATAAGATACATGTTTAATTGCAGCAATTTACACCTTTTTTTCCTTTTCCTCTGTCCTTACTTACCGAATAATACTTTGGAAAACTTTAATATTTTTCACATGACTATATAAACTAAAAATCAATTCTAAGTTGCAAAAAATACGATACGGGTAGGAATTGAACCGGCATCCAGTGTTCTGCGCTGTCGCTTTAATCTATTGAGCTACCATTAAAATTTAAATAATACTTGTAAAACAATGGTTGCATTCTTTCCTCAGTATCTCTTGGCAGAAAGGTCGACATGTAATACTGTAAGGGACAAATCAAATTTACTTGTTCTCCCTATCTCTCCCGGTTAAGACATTCAATGACTTCTTAAAAAAATATTTAATGAATTTGTACGTTTTTGAAGGACTCAAGTTTGTCGTCGTTTGATGGTGTAATGGTAGCAATGTATGGCTAACAATTAACGGGTCGATGCCTCCACAGGGTCCAACAATGATTTCGAAACGCTGATTTACAATATACGCCGGGGGTGGCTTCCGAAATTTCCCATCGGGTCTACCATGTTGCTAATCAACTTCTTAACCTTCGCCTGGAAATCAAGATGTTCAATGGATGGTATAAATACCGAAAATTAAATACACTTCACGATCCACCGGTTCACAAATAAAAGAGATGTACAGTAGTACGTGATTCGGCAAAATTTATGTTCCTCCTCTGTCGAAATTAGAGGTTCAGTACAGAGAATCCGTAGACGTTCACTAGGTGGCAGGTAAAATAATCCAGCTATATAAAACATCTCAGACAGGATGTTGAATCGACCTGATTTTGGCTTTGGATATTCGGAAACCCACCGACAGAAACCGCATTAAACTTCACGGTCCTGATCAGTGCGGCTCTTTCAGTTTCCATCAGTAATTCTGAGAGCTATTTAGATGTTCCGATAGCCAATCTTCCAGACGATGAACTAAGCGAAGTTTCAAAAAAAAATTTAAGTCGCTTCAATACATTTTAGAACCGACTGGTAATCGAACTTACGAGCCAGTCGATAGTCGATTTTTTATATTATTTATTACGATCATCTAGACCACGAAGTCCTTAAATTGTGGTGAAACCAATAATATTGTTTTGGTTTCAATCTGTATTCTTGAAAGCCAAAATCGATACCATCTATAAGTCGAAAAAAAGCGGACCTTTCACAAACAGCACCAGAATTTTAAGATGATCTTGTTAATGAATTAATTTACGAGCGAGTCGAAGTCGATTTTTTTTTATTTTTACGATGTTTAAAATAGTTCTTATTTATTAAAATGTTATTTAAAGGAACAAAATAAAACCAATATACAACAAATACTTTATTATGCTCTGTTGATTCGTACAAATACAACATACTCAGCGTAAAAAATATTATGCGCATACAACTAACAATAAAATGTCCCCTCTTAAGGTAATCGTACATTTGACAGCAACATACACACAATCCCTTTTTATTATAAGAATGCAACGCTGAGAAGTCTGCGATCACCTTTAAGAGATATTATGCCATAGATATTTAAACATTAAGGCACCACCAAAATTAACACTACAATATTATTGTACTTAATTTTTGGAATGTTTGTCCTTATCAAACATTACAAGAATTCTTTTAAAATATAACAGACGACAGCTTACATATATAAGTCGGAATAAGTGGTTTGATATTAATATTAATAAGAGATTAAAATAGTTAAATCATTTTCTAGCTTTAAAAAATCCGGAACTTAATAAAACTTTGTAAGTAACGCAATCGAAGGTACTAAGTGCGCGTGGCTGAGCGGGGCTGAGGCACAGTGGTTATGAGCAGTTGGGCAGTAAATCAGCGGTACACATATGAGCTAATGTTTTCGTTGTTGTGCTCGTGGCTGAGTAGTTGTCTATAATTTTGATTGCATTTGTTCCTTATATTATTTATGTATGGTGTGTTTAGAGCTCCAAATCACCGCCCCAAATAAATCTGTCGTAAAATTTCCTAAAAAAAAACAAAGGGCTTTTTTTTTTTTTATATTTGATTCTTTGAGCTCCTACTATAGTTCACGACCCCAACGTAGAGATATGGAAAATCTTGTTATGTCCGACATATATATGTGAAAAGTAAAACATATATTTTACTTTGCCAATTTGCCAACCTCCATCAGATATGTGGCGAATAGTTTAATCTGTAACAATAGATATGTTATTAGATATTGTTTTTGAAGCAAACCGGAAGGTTCTAAGGGACACAATGAGAGTTGGATAACCCAAAGTCCTCCGCAATGAGGAAATGGGGAATTGGGTGAAATGGCTAGCAGATGATGTGGACTGATCACCCGGGCTTTTACGGGGGTCCTCAATAGAAAATAATAATCTATACTAATATATAAAGCTAAAGAGTTTGTTTGTTTGTTTTAAATGCTCTTATCTCAGGAAGTACTATAAACATCGAGCAAGAAGCGAAGAAACAACGGGAAAAATTATTCAACTTTGTGGGTTACCGATACTTGAAGCGTTAGTACTACGCTGCGAAAACGCTTCAAGATACCCAAAAAATATAACTAAAAAGTCACACCTTAAGTGAATTGTGTCTTTCGGGCTGTTCGGCCGACTTGAGCGAGAAAGTCTATAAAACTTATTTATATATTGTAATAGTATGCAATGTACGGCTAATAATCAAAGGATTCGATCCCCACCTTACTTATGGACTTATAGAAATCCACCACAAATGAAAGCCGCGAAGTTTAATCGCGTATCGGTTCCAGTCTGTGGATTTCCGTATATCCAAAGGTAGTCAGCGCATCTTGTTTAGCTGCTATAGGTATTTCGCCTACCATCAAGTGAGCCAGGCTTGTCTATCTACCTCTATCATTAAAAAATACTCACCCCCTCGATGTAATTGCGGACGTTAAGCTTCTCATTTTGCGAATGCGCCATGTCGTCCCCAGCGCCCATGGGCAGCAATAAGACGTTCTTGTTGCTCGCCTCCTGAAGAGTTATTGTCACCGGAATGGAACCGCCCTCGCGAGACATGTCTGGGTCGGTCTGGAGTAGAGAAGGTGGTGTTATTGGTTGTTTTTTTGACAGCATTTACACTCATATATTTACACACATATATAATATTAATGAGGAACTAATAAAAGTTATGAATGCAATGTTAGCTCATCAAAATCGGTGGGCGGCTTTGAACTTCTGTGAGGACTGGAGTGCATCATGCGTTAGCCTCTATAAAATATTCTTTATTCATACCTTTAAGTCGACTTTCAATTTGGCTTTTTAATGAATGTATACGGTTATATTACACGACTTATAAGGTCATTAAGTAAAATATTATCATTGTACATTACTGTATGATGGGGAAAATACTATTTAAGTGATGTATATTATAGGACTTAGACGAACAGGTATAAACAGAATTATAGTCTGTAGTTTAAGTCATTGAAACACTTTTTTAACTGTTAAAACGCGTAACACCTAAGTCAATTTATTTGTAATTACTACCTTTCAGATACTTTGCAGTCGTGGTCACGGATGGACTGTAAATGGAGGGCGTCCCTAATATCAAAGGGAAAATTGATACGCTAACGCCATCTTTTTGTTGTTATGATAATAAACTAGTCGTGTCCGTACAGTACTGATTCACGGTGTTCCTTGCTTGTTTTTAAACGTCAAGTTCGTTTTAAAATGGTTCTTTCAAAAATGGTTAATCACCTGATAGATGAGCTTGGTGGCACGTGCAGCGGCCTGGTAGTGGGGATGATCAGGATTTTCTGTCCATGCGCGTCCACTTTGGGCCCAAATGCGCATCTTGTTTGGAGAACCGCGTTCGGCCCACTGAAATGATTACAAACAAATTCAATAAACACAAAGTTGTGCTGGAGACAAGATTTAATTTTCATCTTTATTAATAACAAAAAGTTGAAGAGTCTGTTTGAACGTTTTGGAATTGATTGTTTCTATTGTGTTGGTTGGATTTATGGAGGAATTAGAACTAATACGCCCAATAAGCGAAGTCAATGTCAACCCTGTTACAATGGGTTCGATTACCACCAAGTCCATAAGTTTCGCTTTCCTAAAATTAATTTAAGATTTCCTGCACTATGTTGGTCTTCGTCTGACAATCTGGATATAAATGGGTGACAGGAATATCGAAATGCCATCCGAACCACCGTCACACACATTAGAGCCTTACATTTCAATCGTGTTTTAGTCTGTGAATTTCCAAATGTCCAGAACCAAAATTGGTCGATAGTGCGTAGTAGTATCTTGTGTATACTGTATGGTTGGAGTATTTCACCTTTTGATCACATGTACAAATAAGCCCACTAGAGCCAGAGTAACCTAACTGCAATTTTATGACTTGAGTTAATCTACAAGAGCACAGTGACCGAAAAATTGTTAACATAAGTTTTCTCATAAGTCATTTTCGCATATTTATTTTCCTCCTTATTGAAAATCATGTTTTTTGTTATTAGGCCACTCTGCCTCTAGCAGGTTCGAATGTCTTTGTCATAAGCAACGTCAACGTTTCCTTTGTATTGTTCCATAATAAATTCCATTGACGATTGCCTCACATATCCTTAGTCATTAAATTTGTTACGATTCATTTAAAAACAAAATATACGTTGCTCCATAAAAGTCGCGATAATATCAAGTTTTATCAAGTGCGATTACGATGAAAACGTGATATTATTAAATTGATACTATGTAGCCACTATTTGAAATTAAAACTCTTTTAATTATAGCAAAACCAGCCAGATACAAATGGCATAGCCAAAGAGGTTTTATTACAAGTTATTAATAGGGGCATATTAATAAGTCTATCAGTCACCAAGATAAGACAATAACAAATTTTAAAAACAAAATTAAGATATTTAAAGAGGTGGGGGGAGGGGGGGAGATCCTATAGAACCAACCCGGTTTTTGTATGAAATTAAAATATTCTTTGTCTACATTTGCAAGATATTGATTAATGATAAGAAGATTAAATAGTTTTTTTATCTGTCTATTCATGTAGTGGCTTCTAATTAACATTCGCTATTAGAACACCCACCTTCTTATGAACGAAGTCAAACACCAATTTCTCAATTTCCGCCGGCTCTTGGTCAGGAACGAGACGCATCGAGAACTTTCCGATAACCTTTCCCGGGATAACTGTCTTCGCGCCCGGTTGGAAAGCGGCACCTGTACATTTTTAGTATATTAGTTGCGTACGAGGCACTGTTATAAAAAAAACGTTTACGTTCATATAAGTAGCAAATTATGACAAAACTTGCATAACACTAGAGACAATAAGAGGATACAAATTGACAGTCGATAATAAATTGAAAAAAAAATACGCATTTAAATAAAACACTTTAACGGTTTAAAACGCGATACATTAGTTAAACTTATTTGAAAATGATTTTTAACTTCGGTCCGACGTTTCGGATGCTTTGCAGCAGCCGCGGTTGCTACGCTAGCGCCATCCGTTCCTTCGAAGTTGGTATTTGGCGAAACTATAGACAGTATTTAAAAAAATAGACTTGAACCGGCATCCTAAGGGTCCCGTGCTGTTGCTCAGTCTAACCAATTGAACTACCGAGCCCTATCATAATTGGTTAGAACATGGAACGCTGAGGATGCCGTAATTTTATTCATATTTAGAATCGATTTTTAATTTATCAGTTTTCAAAATATACAACAAATAATCACGACAAAAAATAATTGCATTTTTTCTTTTGTGGCGTGAATTATTTTAAAAGCAAAAACCATTTAATTAATTTAATCTAATTGTTTCATGGTACATTAAGTAATACTAACATTAAATATACTTATATTTAATTAATATGTTTTGTTTAAATGATTGCAGCAGATTGCAGATGTGAAATAATGGGTAAATAAATATTATAATGAGTGTATTCATGACGTGTAATAATTATAAATAACTAAGTAAAGTAAAATAAGTGCTAAATTTATTTTAAACAAAAATAGTCTTCAATACTGTCTATAGTTTACGCGAGTAGTACACATTTAAATAAAACACTTTAACGGTTTAAAACGCGATATATTAGTTAAACTTATTTGAAAATGATTTTTAACTTCGGCCCGACGTTTCGATGCTCTGCGGGAGACAGTCTCCAGTCAGTGACCACGGCGTGATTTATTTAAAAATAGTCTTTTAGAGCGAAGATTTTTAGTTCAGCAATACGAATGTTGTATTTTTTAAAACTCAATTCTTACTTTAACCTAGCTTAAGTTAGCTAAACATCTGTAAACTTACTTCTAAATCTAAGTCCAGGATTCAATTTTAAAATTAATATCGAATTACTGTTAACATTTTAAAACTTTTAACGGGTTCGATGGTGTAACGGTAGCAATATATGGCTAATCCCTAAACCCAGGTCCAGTCCAATATGTTTCTAATAATTGATAATTATTCTAAAATATATTTAACTGTAAATCTGAATATTAAATGAGCGATAGGAATATCGAAATCCCACCCGGTTCACGCACCACCGTCGACAGATGATAAAGCTGTTAAGTTTCATCGAGTTTCAGAATCAGTCTGTGGATCTCCCACAGACAAAATAACTCAACAGCGCACCTCGTGAAGATGTTATATAGCTAGCTATCTGTCCTTCCTCTATCATAAAACAAATCAATGGAAACAAACCTTCGATGCCGTGAAGAGACAAGCTGGGGTATCTCCATCTGTGCATCAGGAGCTGTTCCTTAACACCGTTGTGTGCGAGTTTGTGAGCTTCAATTGATTTTCTGTGATCAATAGATTCATCAAAGGACGCTCACACATAACGTTGCTACCAGCATATTGTAGTTTAAATTAGACTAACAACAAATACTCGGTGACTATTCGGTATCTTGCATATCTGCCCATATATTCGAACCAAATAAATAAGTAATGTGTGTTGCTAATAAACTGAATCTAACTATACTATCATATAAAGCTGGAGACTTTGTTTGTTTGAACGCGCTAATCCTAAGGCCGTATAGGACTCAATTGTTCAAATTATTTTAGTGTTGATTAGAACATTTATGAGAGGCTATAAAAAATCGTGCTGCGACAAATATGAGCCAAAAATCAGCGGGAAGTGTGGGAAATATTGGGGAAATTATTCAACTTCGAAATGCGTACGCCGCGAAAACGAGTCAAGATACCCAAAAAATATGTATACAGAACGATTCCTCTTTAAATAATGTAAAAAAAAGCCCGCGACACTATCACTCTTTTACTAACGAAGTTTAACGTTTGAACTGGCCTAACTAGGGTAGTAAGTTGGACTGACTCACGTTCTGGATCTCAACTTTATTTTATAAGGCCGCATATGATTAGGATTTTGCAAGAAGACGGGAAGGACTATGAAGACTGAACTATTCTACGCGGACGAAGTCGCTAACATGGCTAGTCAATTTACTCTTCGTTACTTCTCATGAACATATCGTTATAATACTACTTTCATATAAGTGAATGTACTCAGCTGATAGTGTTATCGGTATCAGTAAATTACACATTGCATAGTTACATCATTTTATGTTTTAATTATTTATAATATTAACGATTTTAACAATGGATAATGAGATCTTTTACAATCATTAATATCATTATTCAATGCAAATGTGGAAGACAATGGATAATTAAGTGTAAATAAAAGATTTTTCTAATTAATAATAATTAATTAGATTATGGGGTTACTTCACAGTTGTAAAAATAATGATATAAAACTTTGTTGCACAAAGAATAAATACAAGGTGACAAAGTTATCATTTTACATTTAATACTGCATAAGTAGCTCCTTATATCTTTTCAACCACTGAAAATTATATTTTAACTACAGCCCAACATTTTGCATGTTGCAGAAGCTCTTCAGGGACTAAGTTCAGATTACTTACATTATTTCTTATTTTACTGATTGATAATTGATATTAAATAGGGAAATCACATTTCCCCAGGATTCGAACCTAGGAACACTCGCGCTTAGCGCAATGCCAGTCATCACGTCATTAATATAATCACGTATAACTGTAACGTAATAAGTGAATTTAATTGAAATTTTTTTATAGTACGGAACCCACCGTGCGCTATTCCGACTCGGACTAGGCCGGCTATTAATAACGAATTAAGTTTTTAGAGACGAGTGTAATGGATATGGCAATAAAATAAATGCAAAAATAATAACAGCGGCAAAAAACGAATTACATTATAAAAGTAATGATTTGGAAATATATCTATTTCTAAAATGATTTTTTTTTTCACAACAAAAAAAAAAACAAATCAACCGGCCAAACACGAGATGGATTTTTGCACAAAAGGTTCCGTACTATAGGACTAGGAGTAAACATTTCATATTGTAACCCTTTTAAATAAAAATAGATTTTAGATAGAAAAAATGTTACGACATCGGGACTCAAACCGGCATCCACAGCTTTCTGTGCCGTTACCTACACGTCAACATCGAACTTCTTTAACCTATTGATACATGCTGCCCTCGCGCAGACGTACACAGCGCAATTAGTTATAGCGACAGCACGGAACGCTATCGATACCGGTTCATTTCCCATGTGCGATAACATGTGAAAAATCATTTTTTTTTCAGTTACTTTATACATATTTGCTTTGTCACAGCGGCAACAAAAATACAGTATTCATGAAAATATTTCAACACTTTTCATTTTCTGAGATTCAGACGACTGGCTTTTGGTACAGAACCATAAAAACAAATATATTTTTTTCACATTACCTGTAAGCTTCGGGATCAAAATCAATGGTATCATATAATTTCTTCTCATTCTCAGTCAAGGGCGCCACCGACTTGTAAACATCTGTTATCAAGATCTTTCCATCCTTATCAACCAAGGTGTTCATTAAATAAATTAAATCCGACATTGCTGAAAAAATAGTAATAGGTATATTTTTTAGTACTTAGCATTACACGTAGTAAATTAGATTGGGGTGATTTTTCTCTATCTATGTAACAATTTTGTGCTGTCGGCTTATTTGGACTTCAGACGTTTTTATAGTTTCATCTGTGTAGTTGGTTGGTGACATGGATGGGGTTTTGGTAGTCTGACCCTTCAATTGACTTAACCCAAACTTGCAACCCACTTTTATTCTTTATATTCTATGATTGATTAGGACACATTTTGCAAACTAAGCAACCAAAAAAAAGCAACTAAGAACCATTTTCTATCATAAGACTGGAATAGACTATTATTCTAATATAATAATAGTCTATTCCATATAACTGTTAAATGTTATTTTATTTAAATGAATAATAATATAAATAAAATAAACCAATGTATAAATTAGTTAAATTATATTATTAATATTACCTTCATGAACCGTTCCACCATAAACCCCACTGTGTAAATCCATTTTTGCACATTCAACTTCTAAGAAATAATAGCTGATGCCTCTAAGACCATATGTAATACAAGGTTTAGTTGTGCCCAACCAGTAGTTGTCGGATATGCACACATAGTCGACGGAATCAAAGAAACCCTCCGGCTTCAATTTATCCATGAGTAATTCATCCAAACCTTCCGATCCGGACTCTTCCATGCATTCAAAAATAAATTTCAAGTTCACGGGCAACTGCAAGTCAGATGCTAAATAAGTAGCAATCCAATTTAACAAAGCCAAAAAGTTAGTCATTTGTATGTATGTATGTCTGTATATTATAGGTAATGCTTGGGATGTGGAGAAACCCGATCTTACAAGGAAAAATATGTAGTGCACTAAAAGTAAATCAAGAATGTAAAATGAAACTTGGCGATAAAAGGAGTGACGGCGAGTATATGGCCAGTTCTTCTCGCTCGTTCTACTGAACTGGTAATAAATGTAAAGTTAGATTCTTTTGTGACGTTCATAAGTGTACCTACATGAATAAATGATTTTTGACTTTGACTTTGGCTCCACTATAGTGCAAAACATGCAATTAAATAACTCACCTCTTCTCCAACACCCTTGTAAGCGTTAATGGCATGTAGCCACCCCAAAACAGGACCCTTGTCATCAGTCGATCCACGTCCATATAGTTTTCCATTCCGTTCAACTAGTTCAAATGGCTCAGATTCCCAACCATCAGATTTGAGAGCAGGCTGAACATCCAGATGCCCATAGATACAAATTGTATTCTTCTTAGGATCCTTTGAATAGATAAATGTAATAAGTAAACTAGCATTAACGTTATAAATAATAAAGTTCCAATCAAGAAGAAGACAAAATATTTAATTGGTTATTAATACTAGGTTAGTTATGGCACTAGCAACTAGGCCAAGACAAAAAAACTGTATCATTCTTTGTAGAACTCATTTTAATTGGATTTATGAATGCAATAACTATTAGTTTTAAACAATTATTAAATTTAGTCAATGGAATAACTTAGTATTCAAACTTAATAGTCTATAATGGATAAATTATCATCATTTTGCATTTAAAAAGAATACATTTAATTATTCTTTTGTTGTATGGACAGACAATAATGATGGAAGATCATGAGGTACAAGAGTTATAAATGAGTTTACATGAATTTAGATTTTTTGGAGATATGACATTTGGAATAAAAACCTTATATATATTTAAATAAAACACTAACTGTTTAAAACGCGATATAATAATAATTAATATAATATATCGCGTTTTTAACCGTTTTATTTAAATGTGTACTACTCGCGTAAACTATAGACAGTATTTAACCTAATATTTACATCTAAAGTCTGGAATAGTTTTGGATGGGGGAGGAGATTTATAAAAGTTGATGCATATTTACAATTACTTGCTTTTCAAAAAAATGTTATATATAATATTTATATTTTCAACTTTATTCTATAGTATTGTAACAAAGCTACATCGATCAAGAAAATATAGTATAACTAAACTATAAAAAGTATACTTTATTATTATTCCATTGTGTATAGAAACAGGAACAAATCTATACTATGAATTAGGATGTTGAAAAAATAATTTTATATGTAATGAAATTATATACTTACATTTCCTAAAGTGCCTACAAGTACGGGCGGCAATTTAATTTCCTTTCCATCAATATTTTGGAAACCAACATCACGAAGTTCTGTGGTAGCTCCAACTTCTTTTAACTTATCCTTCGTCCATTGTACCATTCGAACACAATCATCTCGGTATTTCGCATCGCAGGATACCGACGGAATCGCTACGGCCTCTTTCAATAAATTTTTATAAGACTCAACATTTTCATCAACATATTTAAAAATTTGAGGTAGAGTTTTCTCTGAAGGCATCTTCACAGTCACCTCTTGATGGGATATTGAATAACAATGATAAAGGGGGCGTATTTTATATGCAACTTTACAGCGCCTTATCTCCGGCAAACTCAATGGACGGCAAACACGCAACGCCTTTGATAGAAAAAAAGTCATATTGTTGTACCTTTGCAAATTGCATTTTATTAAGGACTAGTGATGATTCAGTATTATTGCGGCCGTCACGCTACATACGACACGTTTACAATATTGTACGATATAACTTCATAACTATTTATTTCATTCAATTCAGTAGCAGGAATTGGTATAGTATGAAAGAAGATCTCCTAAAAACAAAATCAATTAAATAACAATACCGGTTGTCCAGTATCGGTTTGGTTAACGTTACTGAAAATGATAATAAAAGACAGATAATGTCCTAATAATTATTGTAAAGTATCTTTTATTTGCTAAAATCACCAGCTACAAAAATAACTCCTATAGAACGAATATTCGAGTCTTTAGGACAGCCCTAATCAATCCCCATATAGTGCTAAATGTCATCGCGATATGTAAAACTTGACATTGACGGCCGCAATGACCAATGTCCACGACTCATTATCCACTATGGCTGATGGAATGAATAAAGATGATAATATAAGTCATAGGATTGACCGAGTAGTGATAACAATATCGACACTAACGATAAGATTATGATTATCTATTTCGTCAATTAATTTATAAATGATCTAAAATATTACAACAATCTTTCTCTGGTACTTTGTTCTTGGAGAGACTTCCTTTTGAATATGGGATATAGAAAAAGTTTTACCTTGGTTATAAGTGTATACCTCCTAAATTATGAAAACACTTATGGGCTACATGTACACCATTTTTTTCATATTAATCTTCGTTCAATAAAATAACATATAAATATAGCGTTTTTATCCTCATAGAACCTTCATGGGAAGTCGTTTTTTCTTCTATATGTCTCAACAATGTCAGATTTAAGACATCAAAATATTATGAATTCTCTATATCCAGCTTAGTACTTCAGTAGTAAAATTTTAAATTTGATACATAGAGAACTTATGATTATATTTTTAATTGTGGAAGAAATGCAATAAAAATAGCAAAATCCATTTTTTAATATGTGCCTACCGCCGTGAAACAACGCTTAGAAGTAAGTCGTCATAATTAAAGCAAAGTATGAGATGTGACGACTACTTATCTATTTCATGGGTTTATTCAACCAGCCCAGAGCATTACAGCGCTATTTTGGCGCAAATTTGTAAACAACTGTTGCTAAATAAAATCGAATCACGTTTAACGTATGTGATGCTGCAGTTAAGTTACGAAGAGCTACATTTTATGGCTGTGCTTATTGAAAGACGATATAAAACAATCATTTTCGAGGCGACATTTTTCTCAGCAAGGATTCCTAACTATCCAAAATCCATGGGCAGTGATATATTACAGATAACAGATGGCAAAGAACAAAATACAATTCCATCAACAGATTTAATGCCACACTTACGATCTCACTTGGAAGCGAACTTTATTTTTTTCTCTTTAAAATTAATCCTAAACCATAATCCACCTCAAGAGTTCATAGAGAAAGTACAATTTTTCGAATACTTCGCTTTGATCCTGTCGTTGTTTCCTAATCAACAATTGATTTTACATCTTAAGTTGCAACGTCCAGACGAGTTGCGTATCTTAAAAAAGGATTTAAGTTTTACCTGGACTGCGGATCACATACGGATATTAGATAGCTATGAAAACTTAAGAAATATACTCTACGTGCAAAAAGCTCAGAAAGGAATGGAGCAAGTTCAATATTCAAGTAATATCGTTGTCTTATGCAATAATACTTTGACCTTGAAAGTCGATGAGCCTTTGACGGTATATCGTTCAATTGCAATAAGTACAGAACATGAGCAAGAAGAATTCAATTTTCAAAGCAATTAAGAATCTCAAAATACCCTCATGTTTTGTCAATGGCACATTGTTTAAGTCGTCTCTATATGAAGATTCAATAGTAAACAAGATAAATTTCTCCGCATGTTTAAGATATACTTGCTTCGAGGGACTTCTTAGTGGAGACCTATTAGGTCCAACCCTGAGTTCCTTAGAAGGTTTGATTGAGCCTCTATACAGCACTATGTTCTTAAGGCAGTGTCTAACGGACTTAACTGCGAAGTTTATGAAAACTTTGTTCCATTGCCCGATATAAATAAATGTTACATCTTCAAAAAAATCGAAATACGTTTATTGTGAAGAAATATACGATAATAAATCCTAAGATCTCATCAGAAAAATGTTTAATTGTTTTTGTTGTAGTACCCCAATTGCTAGGATACAGAATACTTTTGAATAAATAAAAGACACCAAATAATAAGTTACTTTATTAAGTCGTTTTACTATTTACATGAAAAATTATAAAGCTATGATTACACTAAACCGTTAATAAATTAAGAATGTAAAGTTAATGGAGATCAAATAAAATATTGATAAGTCTAAAATTGCTTACAAGTTTCAAATATCCACTAGGGATATCGTGATCTATTTATATAAGTAATTTATGTGTCTATGGAATGTTAATATTAATTCTCCGGAGAAACCTTTTCTTACACTCAATTCTATAATTAAATTAATTTTAACAATTCACGCTCCGCAGAATTCTGAAACAAGATTTTTTTAATATTTATTAAAACCACCTTCAGATATTAACAAAAAGATATTCTTCTTTCATCATATATAAAACTGGGGCACTTAGGCTGTTTCTCTTTTTTACCTTGCCCGACAGACTGTTGTTTCCCCTCGATTTGAACCTCTCGTCAGTTGAGCCACGGAGACCGTTATCACATAAGTTATCTTAACTATATTCACATGATGGCGTTATGTAAATAAAAATCGATTTTAGGTTAAAAAAAATGTCACCGCGCTGTTGCTCTATCCAATCCGACACGCTAGCGCAACAACACAGAACGCTGTGGATAACGGGGTTCATGTCGTGCCCGTGTCGTGGAATTCTTTCAATATTAAATCGAAATTTTTATTTATATATTGTCATCATGTGCAATAACCCGCCTCTGAAGCCAAATGGTTAAACGTATTGCCTAGCGTTGCGTTAAGCCAGAGAGGTCCAGGTTCCAATCCCAGGGAAACGAGAGATCGTTTCGGTCGGGCAGGGCACAGAAGTCAAATCAACTCCTTGCCTGTAAAAGAACGAATCAGTGAAACAAACACAGAAATGTGTTTGCCCCATGTTCTACGTGGGAAACGGGATTTCTCTTTTATGTGCATGTGCACATGTGAAAAATATAATAAGTTTTTAAAGTATTGCTTTAGTGAAGCTGATGATCATGTAAAGTATGATGATTCATTATAATGAAGTTCTACGAGAAGAATTATGTACACTTACGGCGCAGGCGCAGCGTCGCCGACCAGCGGTACAGTGGAGAGAGCGGGGAAGATGATATTCGCGTTTGCCTGCAACCAGTACGTGATGAGGGCGGCTAGGACAGTTGCCACTGCGCCGGTTATGCACGCCAGTCGCGCGCCCCCACCACCAGCCGTCACGAACACTCGTACCCACATCCCTTGCCAGACAGACTCAGTCCAAGTTGAGAACTCATTGGATGTGAAGTCGTAATCTAATAAACATATATATACATAGCTATAAAAGTGAACCATAAGATACAAATAGATAAAAGAGGAAGGCAACAGACAAGCTCGTAATGGTAGTAATGTATAGGACATCGATGCCTTCACCAGGTCCAATTGATTTTTTCAGAAACATCTTGCTTGGACTCATCTATCATAGAAAAATACAATATTATGTTATTACCATCGACAGATGAAAACGCCAATAAAAGGTTTTCAAGTTTGTATACATCTGTTGCAAATACAGTGCAACATATGTATGTGTAACATGTAAAAATTATTAAAGTTTTCAAACGTTATAACTTTGTAATTTCGTTTTCAATGATTTCTTAAGCTGCAAAGCATAAGACGTTGAACCTTAATACGCAATTGTTAAGGTTAAAATTACATCGCGGTAGGTGCATGTATCAATAAGTTGAAAAAATTCTACGATGAGGTGTAGGACTCGGTAGCTCAATTGGTAGAGCAACAGCACGGAACGCTGACGATGCCGGTTAGTCCTGCCAGAGTCGAAAATTTTTTCAATTCATTTTCGATTTTTAAAGTTGCTTTATATTTTTACGCTAAGCTACATAAATATTAAATACGAACCAGTTTTAATAAAAGCTGGACTCACAGCTTGGCTGAAGTTCATCGTGGTCTGAACGCAAACACCGCTGTGGTTCCACCCTCTCAGATAATAATTTGAGAACCCCTGGAATAAACAATTTGATAATACATATTAAAGTAAAAAAATAATTATTATAATTATATTAAAATATATTATAAAAGTATATGAATGCTTTTGTTAGAATATCATTGCCTATGGCTGGGCATCTTTTGCACGTTGCGTTAGGCAAAATTTGTTCGCAATTTATCGAAATTACTAGATTTTATTGTCTCTGTATTTACTTTGTCCTTCCAGTTCACACCAGATAATAAAAAAAAATATTTACAAATTTAACAGCAATATAATACATACAGCTATAAAAGTAAACCAAAACATACAAATAGATAAAACAGACGGTCGTGTTTCTAATCAACCTATAATAGTTGGACTTCATCTGGATATTAAATGGTTGGTAGGAATAACGAAATTGAGTCCGACTTATGAACCACTGTCCACAGATGAAAAAACCTTGAAGTTTAATAGGTCGACATCACATTTCACCTTCAAGAGAACCCCATGCTTGTCTGTCCTCCTCTGTCATAAAAAAACTATGTAGCTTAGCTTAGCTTGGTTCTGTATACCTTTAAACAAAATACTTTAACGGGTTAAAACAAGAAATATATTAGTGGAAATTATTCTACCTACGGCCAGACATTTCGGATGCTTTACAGCCGTGGTCACAGGGAGCAAGATGGGGGGTCTCTAATATCGAAGTAAAAACTGCTACGCTAGCGCCATCTGTTGTTGTGGTTGGTATTTGGCTAAAGACCTTTTAAATAACTTACAGGTACATTGAGGGCGTCGCATGCGGTGCGGTTGATATCTAGATGTGTTCCAGTAAGAAGGGCGAGTAGATGGCCCGCGTAAACAGCGGGAGTACTGGACCAAGTGGCCACGCCAACGTACAGCGGCGCTGGCTTGCCAACTGTCGCGTCATCGGTGTTACTCATATAATCCGCCGCGGAAAGTAATCGACACCCTTGACTACGCAACAGGCAATACAACATTTCGTCTATCTGTAACACAAAGTTTTGTAATATTAATTTTACATTTGAATGATAAAAGATTTAGAAAAAGCTCTCTAGACAAAAAGTGGCTTTTGGTTAAATTATATGTCTGTTCTTTTAACCTCTTACGGCGTAAAACGCAAAATATATATATAATATATTGAAAATATTAGAATAAAAACTTTTAACGGTTTTAAATAGCCCTAGGAAAAAAAAAAAATTAAAAAAAAGGAAAATTTTTTTTTTTTTTCCCCTTTTTTTTTTTTTTAAAACCTTTTCCTTTTTTTTTCCCCCCCTTTTTTTTTTTTTTTTTCCCCCCCCCCCCCCCCCCCCCCCCCCCCCCCCCCCCCCCCCCCCCCCCCCCCCCCCCCTTTTTTTTTTTTAATTTTAACAAATTTTACTATACTAAATGTGCTTTTAATTGCACGAAATACATTAGATTATCAACCGAGCCCAATTTTTTTTTTTAATTTTATTATTTTTTTTTTTAAATTGTATTACTAAGTGCAGATGTATCAACCGAGCCCACATATGGTTTACCAGTGACTTGTTGGTATAGCGTCTGCGCAAGAGCACTTGCTATTCTCGAAATTTTGACTTGCGGATCGCTTTCAGTCATGTTTCCGTTAGCTAATAACTCGGTTGTTGGTATGACTGTAAAAATAAAGAGAAGTATTATGACCGGTATAAGCTTTATCTAGTTCGAAATTAAAGACATGACTTATAACTTTGAAGCGGCATGCAAAACTGGACATCCTTGAATAGCAGATGTCTTTGGTTTGACCAACAACAAAAGTATGATTAAGCGAGTTTAATATTTATAACTTTATTAGATATTTCCAAGATAATCAAAGTACTGACTGCACGAATTCTCGAAAACATTCGTGTATTTGTATAAACCTAAGTTATCACTAAACCATTTTTACGGTTTGGTTTATTGAAACCATATTTTTTTACGATAGAGATAGCCATTCAGCCTGTCCACCTAATTTTGTCTTTGGAAATTCACAGACTGAAGCCGAAACGCGATTACACTTGACGGCTTTTTCATCTGTAGCCGATAGTTCCTACCCTTTATTCCGATATACCATCCACCCATTTTCCAGATGAATACCAACAAGTTTCAGACAAATTATAAATTGATTAGAAAAAATGTTGAATGCGGCGGGGACCGAACCCACAACCCCTTTATTATATTCCGGACGTTTCCGGAAATTAAAACACGAAATAGATTATAAATTAAATTAAATTGACAAAATATACAACACGGGCGGTACTTGAACCGGCATCCGGAGCGTTACGTGCTCTAACCAATTGAGCTAACGTGCCCAACTCGTTAATTACATCTTCCTTATGTTCTACGTAAAGCATTATTTCACTCACATTTTCCATCAGTGCCAATGCTGATATTGCGATAGACGAAATCGATATTTTCGTACAAGTCCAAAGCGGATTCATAATACATATTGGTAAATGTTTCTCTATGGTCAACGAGCAGCAACTCAGGGAGCGATGCGTTGTCTGTGATATTCTTGAAAATCCTCCTAAACGAGTGTAGTGAAGATGGCGGCAAATTTGTTGTTATCACGGGCTCTAAGCTCATATTCTTTGAACTGACAGCTTGCGACATTTCAGCTAAGAACTCTGTTATCTGAAATAAACGAACATTAAAAATAATTGACCGCCTTAGACAAATGGTTAAGTGTGTTCGCATATAAGGGCGAGAGGTCCTGGGTGCCAATCCTGTGGTTAATAGAATGTGTCGATCGGTCATGGTACAGAACGGAAAAAGAACCCATCAGTGAACACAGAATGTTTTCGCCCTATGTTCACGGGGGAAATGGGAGTTCACTACACTAAATATAATAATTAATAAAATCATATGAAATGTAAAGAATGGGAACTTCCATGATAAATTGAAAACTGATTTTGATAAAAAAAAAGTAAGACACTGTCTGGACTTGAACCAGCGACTGGCATCCACAGTGTTGCTGCTGCTAAAGCAACCAGCAGTAGTAGACTTTAGAAACAGTTGGTTATAGTGACGTGTGTAGGACACGGTAGCTCAATTGAGCTACCGTGTCCGTTACACTCGCGTCTCCGTTAATTTTTTCAACCTATTAAAAGGTGCAACTCTCGCGCAATTTAATGTCAACCTTAATATTTTTATGTATTAAAAATCAATGTCGTCACATAGTATTCATAGTAATCGTACACACCTCTGTTGGAAGAACGGATCCATAAGGAGCAAATGCATACAAGGGCCAAGAACTGTTTTCCTTGTACAATGGTAAGGACCCGCCCAACTGGCCTATCTCAAGATGTAGCTTAATGTCAGATAGTGACAAGGGACTAAGTGGGGGCCATTGCCCGCGACTTATGTCGTACGCTGTGCGCTGGGATCCGATATAGTCGAATGACTCTCCGTTAAACAGCGTCCATAGTATGTTATGATCTGAAATATATAGAGAATATTGTGTAAATAAAACATTTTTAACGGTTTATAATACGAAATATACTTAATTTTAACTAAGACCTAACGTTTCGAATACTATGTAGTGGCGTAGTTAAGAAATATTTCGTGTTTCAAACAATGAAAATATTTTAGTCGTATACATATTTTGAATTCTGTATCTGTGTGACTGACTTAAAATAAAACCAAGGGTATTAAGAAACATACGTACGATCTACAGCAACTTTCAAAATATATTTATAATATAGAAATTTGATGTTTATTAATAAAAGTGTCTGTTCCTTAGTAGGTCTATAGGCTTGAAAAATGGTATAAATAAACATTTTTAAAGTGATCTAAACTATTATTATAAAGCTGAAGAGTTTGTTTATTTGTTTAGACGCACTTGTTTAGACCCAGGAACTAATGGTGCGAAATTAAAAATTATTTTCGTGATGTATATCATCGTGATTCGTGATGTGATTATTTCCCAAGGAAGTAAAGCCTATAGCTAGCCTAATAGGATATAAAATGTCATGCGACAAATAGAAGGCTTGGAAGGCTTTCGTTGTGCAAAAATGATCTAAAAAGTATTAAAGTATAGAATTATTATTTTTTAAATAATTAAAAAAAAGTCCTGGACAGCATTGAGTCTAAAAACAAAAAAAAATTTGTCAGCTTATTCAAGCTAAAGCCACAATGATTACATACCATATAGCTTAGCGTCTGCAAGTGGAATCATCTGAGCAAGTGTTGACGCTGTTACAATCAATGTGACCATTCCTACCACCGAGCTGGCTGCACCAGGCGCTACACCTGAAAAACAAAAGTATTTACCAACCCATATATCTTTAAATAGATATCAAATCAAATCCAAGAATATAAGCCAAGTAAATAATATTGAGACCGCCTCTGTAGCTAAATTTACTATTGCTTTAATAAAAACCAATCACACACCATTACAGAATATGAATTCTAAATATGAAACTGAGTTACAATTAAAATTCAATGGTGAAACGCTAAAGGTCTTGAGTTCAAATCCAAATATTTCGGTCGGGCAGAGCACAGAAATCTGATTACCTACTTGCCTATAAATAAAACCGATCAGTGAAACGGACACAAAAATGTGTTCGCCCCATGAGGGGAAACGGGATTTCACTTCTTTAAATGTATTGAGCTTAAATTGAATCATTGAGATTCGAACCCACGATCACCGATTCCTGAAAATTCCTGAAAATAGCTATCAAATTTTCTGAACTCCTTTAAAATCTCTCGCTCAATGTAATTTTAACCTAATTGTGATTGAAGTGATTTCGAATTTATATAAATTTTAATAACTCTCTTGCACATGTGAAAAGTTATAAATTAATATTAATATTAATTAATACTAAATGACTATAAAGAATAATTTTCTGCTTACCATCAAACATGGACGCGGAATCAATTCTAGCAGTTACTAGAGTAACTGTTTTCTTCTCTCCATTATTTTCCTGCAACATTAAAATTATATATAATTATATTTCTTGGTCCCCCTCTCCCTTTTTACCCTACTACGGAGCTTAAAGTTACGGATAGTGATTGTAGCATTGTAAAGAGGTATCATTCTTTTATACATATTTTTTTGGGTGTCTTGAACCGTTTTTGCAGCGTACGCATCTGAAACCTACAAAAATTAATAATTTTCCCAATTCTTTCACATTTCTCGCTGTACCTTCGCTTGTCAGGGCGATGTTTTATAGCCTAGCCCTCCTCTATATATGCTCTTACCAACAAAAATGTTTCAATTCAAACCCGTAGTTCCTGAGATTAACGCGATCGAATATACAGAAAAACACAAAAAAAAACAAACTCTTCAGCTTTGTGTGTAAGAGTGTGTGTTATTAATAAAAGCTTTACCTGAGATCTTGGAAAAAGTGAATAATACACATTGTAGTCTCCTAGAGGATCACACACTTTGGTGGGTGTCAAGAAAGCTGATGATGCAGACCTGCAATAACAAGAGATAATTATATCTTTTTATATTAAATTACTTTCTTCTTTGTGACATAATCTATGAAAAATATAGAATAAAATTTTTGAAAAGTCAGCAGTAAAACAATTATCACTATTTTTGTGTAATTATTATATTATTTAATTATTTATTATAATATCTAATTATTGTAACAATTTTTTAAATAGTTTAATTGTGCCTACCTAGTAATGTTAAAACTCTGCGTTAAGGACAAGAAGTCGCAGATACCAATGCCAGGGAAACATCATGAAACTTTATTAGGGCGGATGTATAGAATTCTTAAATCAACTACTAATAATGAGCATGTTTTAAGCATATTATTAAGAAAACATTGTACCGTCTCAAGCAAACAGCTGTGTTTACTGCTGCATACATAAAAGAACTCAACTGAAGGGAACATAAAGGCTTTCCAATCTGATTGTTCTTATCCAAGTTATACCTGTAAATATAATGTCAAAGGTCATACAACTTGCATCCATTTGGGGAGTCCTAATTTTTATACACGGTAGTTATCTATACTTTACCCAAGTAGTACACATTAAAATAAAACACTTTCAACTGTTGCTGCTAAGCATGCATCGGTAACATCAAGCCAAAAAATACTTTAAGTTTAATATTTCGGGTTTTAAACCGATCAAATTGTTTTGTTTATATTAAGTATACTACATATTTTTAACAAATCATGATAAATAATTTTACCTATTGTAACACTTTTCAATTTTATCTATTTCATCAACTTTGGAATCTGGAACAAAGAAAATAGGAAATGGTATATCCCTTCTCAGTAAGCCTGTCCCCTTGCTGTTCCACACATTTGAATCTTGTGATGAGCAAGTACTTCCAGGTCCAGCAGAATACTCATTAGGACACTTTGATTCATGACTGAATGCAGTTGGTCTAAAAAAAAAATAACAGGATTTATAAACTGTATGAGTGGATAAGATGTAAAACTTAAATAAACTGATAAATAAAAGAAATATGTGAAAATTGGGGCAGACATATATATATTTCATTTTTGTTAAACACTGCAAACTACTATATATACACTCAAAGTACTTGGTACATCTTTTGTAGGATAACTAACCAAAAATATTATGTTTTCTCTTGGAATCCAAGCAATAGGGCCACAGTTGTTTATAGAATAAGTCAAAAACTTATATATGATTTTTATCTATCAAAACCAGAATAATACCTTGTTGTTGAATTATCATATAGCAAGACGCCTGCGACATGATTCGGTTCAGCGATAAGTAGATCAATAATATTGTTAAATAAGGATGTACTGACAACGGCAACATAAGGTCCAGCACTTGAATTGCTGATAAGCCATTGGGCATCACTTATCTCCTTAATCATGTGTACTACACCAACAGAACCATTGTCTGAAGCTGAAATTGTAAAAAATTAATTATAACACAAGATTTATAATGAGGAAACAATAGTTTAAGAGTGTAGATGGTTCAATCGAAGCCCAGAAACTTAATAACTTACAGGAGCAACCCATTTGATGTGTTCCATTGAGCCTTCTAAAACAAGCTGCACTACCATCTATAGATGAGTATATCTGATTATGTAGTCTCTCACAATGTAGTGCTAAAAAGATATTTTGATATTAATATAAGTGTAAAACTAATAATGAATAATGCGAAGTAAAGAGAGATTTTAATAAACATTGTTAGAAATATTGTCATAGAACTCACCATGAATCACTGTGATAAATGTTATGGTAAATATATTTGAACGGTACTTCATATCGGATTTAATTTAATAAAAAATTACAAATATACTAATTTATTATTTAATATGTACACATATTTAGAAACAGCTATTTTCAATTAAAAATATTTATGTAGGTGACTGCCAAAGTGCCCACTATACAGCACCGTCACAGATACACAGTCATCATCCACAGATAAAGTTCAGACTACAGAGAGAGAGAAAGGAGTAAGACACAATTGTTTCTTATCAAATCAAAAGGGAAAGTTAAATCGTCAAGCGTTTGTACTTATTTTACACTTAATTTTACATTAATTCTAATGTTTTGTTCAAACCCATTAAAATAAGGTTGAAAATACTGATGATTCTCTGTGCACAGAGCGATGCAACATAAAAAAGAAAAGCAGCATTTTAAGTGCATATTATTATTATATAGGTGTTTAGATTATTCAGTCATATTACATTTAAAATTTATTTATGAAAAAATAACTACATTATTGTAACTATACCGTTACTAACGTTTTATTGTATCATTTAATTTTATCTACCAGAATAATTTATATATCCTGTATAATCTTGAATCAATATAAGGATCTACAAATTAAAATCAGAATATTTTCAACAAGTATGGCAATTGTTGTGGATTTATAAAGTACTTACATATTACTACACCAAGGGCAGTTAAATAAAAGCTTTATATTTTGTAATGTATTATAATAATTAGCATTTTTAATAATGATTATTACAGAACATGAGAATTTATTCCGGTTATTTCAAATTAAGTAACAAAACAACATTAATGCGGAAAATCCTATTTAAAGGCTACTTATTACTAATATAACCTTATTATTACAACATAATAATAGTATGTCACTAAAGTTCACTCATGAATTTAGTCTAAATACATAACATTGATATACTTCTTTGTATATGCATAAAACCTTTTCTCTGGGGATAGTCTGAAATTGTTGTACTCTAAGTAGTAATTAATCATTATTATTTTGCACGATTTGCATGCATTTATCACAGCACTTTCTGCATAACTGCAGGGTCAAGAGACGGAATTATTTACATATAATGTTCATTATCAGTGTTAACCCCCAGAGGATTTGACTCGTCGTTAAGACTACATTAAAACACAAGGATGAAAAGTAGCACCTCCAAGCAAGTACTTAAGAACAATGTTTTTGCACACAACACATTTTCCTGGTGAATAAATTTTTTTTTAGATCTCAAAAGAGTCGCGACTTCATCATGCTCGAACGCAGATTACGCACTTTGCTAAGTATCATAGTTTAACAGATAATTGTAAAAAATATTATAAACATTCAGAGAGAAAGGTGAAGTATTCTTAAGCTATAAGTGGTACCCTGCGTTTCATGATGTGGAAAACAATAAACTTCAGCACTTACAAGAACAGAAAACGATAAAGAAGCAAATGTCCGGGATAAAAGTAAAATCGAATATGAGAAATTATAGCTAAAATTATTTTAAAGACATGATTTGCTCTCATTAGCACATTGCTGTCAGTCAAAGTTATGTAGATAAAACATTCCAATACATTGTAATATACAACAGTTGAAAAAAACTCATTTTAGATCACCAAGTCCTAAGCAGAATAACCTAATAGTGGTATGCAACTTGCTTGAAGTATAAAAGAAGATTTATCTACGGTGTCGACGTTTCTTCTTATTAGGTCTATTGGCAGATTGGGGCTGCCCGTTGGAAGGGCCACTAGAGGAGGACGCGGGAGTAGGCGGTGGTATGGGAGGAGCAGGTGCCTCCTGGGCTCTGGTGAAGGCTGTCCTAACCAGAACAGGGCTTTCAGGACCATCATTCATTTGCTGGTAGCTAAGTGCGCGAGACCGCGCTGTCTCCCCGGGAGTTTGCGGTGCGTCTAGTGCAGTTCGCAACCGATTGCGCATACGACGTCGAGCGCTTCTCGATAAAGGTTGTGTTGTATTTGTTGCTGTTTCAGTCGCGAGAACGTCGTTCTCTGTTCTGTCGCTAGCTGGTTCTGGGTTTGCATTCCTATCGTGTGCGTCATCTGTTGGCCAAAAGTTTGCTTCTCGGCTAAGAGTTACAAAGGCGCGAGTGAGTCGCGCAACGTCATTTTGCAGGCCTTGCAGAAAGGGTTCTAGGTAGGCGTTGTCTGACGCCAAGGAGTTCCTTCGGTTAGCTACTCTGAGTACGGCGCGAGGGTGTTGCGGATTGGACAGCTGGTCTATGGGCAACCGCCTTACAGAGAGCTTTCCGCTTATCGCGGCTGGTGAAAGCAGAGCATGAGCGTCTGTACCCGTTACAGCTAGACAGTGTCCGCGTTTCTTTAGTGAGCCTTCACACGATCTGACTGACCATACCTGTGAAACGTCATTGAAAAATATTTATAATTTATTTTTATTATAGACAGGGAAAGATAAGCATTGACCACTTAATTGAAGGAAGAATACTCTAGCCATATAAAAAGATGGGGTTTAAATATTTTGGCTTTGAATATTTGGAAGTCCACAGACATGGTTTTTCAAACAAGAATTTTTCATATTCCAGATTTCGAGACTAACTTCAACATCTTTGAGAAACGTTGTAAATTGATTACTAAATGGTTGTGTGGTCTTTAAAATTATACCTTGAATGGAGTTATAAACAAAAAAGTAGTTTGTGTAGTTTTTGTTCCCATTACGATTAAGATGTTGAGATCTCTTTAAAGAAATAAACACTTACACAGTCAGAGAATATAGCTTCGCGATCATTACCGGATATGGTAACACTGTAAATGAAGCCATGAGCAACCCATGGGGAAGAGGCCATTGTCAACCAAGCATGCAAAGATGTGTTTTCTGAAAAATTATTATTGTTATAGTAGATCTACACTGGACACTGCAATTAACCTGTTATATTTCATTTTCGTTACTTACCCACAATTTCAATAGTTAAAAAGAATACACCCATTTCTACAATTCGAACGGCTGTTACCAGCTTACCAGCTACAGTGGGAAACTGCCACGCTTGAAGGTACTCATCATTTTCTGTATGACCCTGAAAAAATTATATCCTTGTTACCTCTTTAATAAAATTTACATAATAATGTCTGTAGTTTACGGCCCTAGTGCACATTACTTAAAACGCGATATATAATCGTGACCACGAGGGTTACGTCGTCCCGTACGGCTGCTGCAAAGCATGTGAAACGTCGGGCCATAGTTAAAATAATTTTCAAATAAGTTTTACTAATATATATCGTTTTAAACCGTTAGTGTTTTAATTTAAAATTTACTTATACAAATTAGTTTTATATGTCTATTCTTGATAAGTTCATTGGTCTAATAGTAGCAATATATGGCTAATTAATTATTATTTAGTTCTATTTGTAGTTAGTGATTAATAATTTTTCTTAAACATGTTGGGCCTCCAGTAAGATGTGCCTATTTCTGTTCGGGTTGAAACGCCTGTCAGTTTAAGTCTACGGATTTGCGATTGTTACCAAAAAAAGCTTGACAGCTCATATTGTTTACGCATCATGTGTCTGAGGTATTCTATCAAATGGATTTGCTTATCTGTCCTCCTGTATCATAAAGCTTAAATTTGAAGCTATTCTTACAAATTTTTGTTTTTATAATCTTGGTAGCGGATTTTTTATGAAAAATTAAGCATTGATTCAAGACTTAGAGACATAGTGTAACTAAGTAGAGTTAAAGTTAAAATAATAAACATATCTTGCAATGTACCTCAATGAGATCAGGACGGTGATAGTAACGAAGGTGATTCAGAAGTCTGCCTGAAGGTAAACGATGTACACTTCCATTTTTGCAACAGAGACAGCGAAATAGCCCTTTGCATGCTGGAGGGGGTGCTTGTCTAGATTGCTATAATAAATAATCAAACCATTAGTAACATGTTCATCCATCCATCAATTACTTTAAAACAGAAAATAAAAAGGTTTGAATTAAAAAACTATATATATGCCGGGTAGACTTGCAACGAATAGTATATTCGGCAGTACATATACCGAATACCGATTTCGGCACCCCTGCCGAATATTAGGCAAAAGTATTCGGCTGGTTTTTGCTCCGAAAAACTTCTACAGATTTCTCTGTTTTGACATGTAGGACTTCTCGTTATTACTTGTACCAATTACTACTATTATAGTATTATGTACCAATGACTACTTATATGATTATAACAGAAATAAAAATTTTAATTTATACGTAAGCAATCGTTTTTTATTTTTCTTTTTACCAAATCTGTAGAAAATATATTATTAAATAGTGTTATTGGCCGAAGAATTTGTGATTTCGGTTTCGACCGAATTTAAAGCGCATAATGAGGATGTACCGTTCGTTCAAGTTCTATGCCGGGCAGAGCTAAGTAGCAAAGTTAAAATTTACATGACATGTGTCAAGTTAGAGAAACAGCGAGAATGTGAGTATGCCGGTAAAATGAAATAACAAAATTTTTAAATGCTTATTATTATTAGTAACAAGTTTTTCTTTTAGCCAACTGGAGGAAGGTGTGACAAACTTGTTGTGTGCAATAGGATATAACTTTTTTTTTGAGAAACTCTTCTCGGTCACATTGGCCGAACAGCCCGAAAGACAATGATATGCTGAACGATGGCCGCGAAAGCCTTACTCAATTAAATAAAAAAAATTTAATATTCGTTTTTAAAATCGCTCAGAATTTGAAAAATTGATTTATAGACCATACCGTTGAAACATTTGAATTTGTATCTTCCTCTTCAATATGATTCTCCTCTTCTTCTTCAGCTTCAACAACTGGTGTACTACTACTTTCTGAAGACCCAGATCCTCCAGACTGTAATCTCTATAGAAATGTACAATTTTTGACACAATTTAAAAAATTATGGCTTGATTAAAGTAATATGTAACTGTATAATATGATATAATCATATATGTCTGTGTTATTTGCATTAAGTTTTAATTTAGTAATTAAATTTTTAAATCATTATTATTTCTTTATGGGTCAATTAGGTTATACTTACAGACTTGAAACTTTTCAGTTTGTTAAAGTTCGCTATCAGCTCTTCCATAGCATAATTTCGGGTACCAAAAAAGAAAGCTCTGCAGACTGGGCATACATCCAAACGCATCTTGCACCGACCACAGACATGGTGGCCTTCATTACATTGAAATATTTGGGCTGTTGGTATTTCATAGCACACTGGACATTGTAAGAGATCATCTAGATTCAGTAGAGACTCAGCCTGAAAAAATTGTCAAAATTAATCAAGTTCTTAAAAACAGAAAAATATAGGGTTCCTTAGTCGGACTGTAAATGCCACATGGCAACCACTTAGGGTGCACCATCACAGGACATATCAAAATCCAATGCAGCCAATGAGATAGTTTGAACTTTCAACCACCATGTTTGTACTTTTAGACATGTCTATTTTATTCATGTTGAACAAGAACAATAAACCAACCAAATTCATATGTCTGATTAAATTATAAGAAATATTAGTAAAATGTCTTTATATATAAGTTGAAAAATTATTTTTATTAAAAACAGAAGGTAGAATGATAATATTTAAAAAAATCTTTCTTAGATCACGAGAAGAAACCTCGATAACGTAAGTTTTCATAAAGTTATTTTTTTAATATATGTATTTCGTCGATTAGAAAAAAATACCATGACGATAATTTTTTACGTGGTAGAAACGACAATAGCAATTCCACCACATGCATTTCGTAAAGTCTGAAGCAAGTTTTTTTAGAGCAGAAACAAATTTGATTACTTTAGATACTGAGGCAAAGGTATTCCAAAACTTTAGATAAATTTATATAATCTTAAAAAATATCGACCAACGGACAAGGTTGAAACAATGGATTATATTCATGGAAGATAGAGTTAAGCAATCTTGGGGCGTAAGAGATACTTACTTTTTCTTCAAATTTTTCTGCCATATTAAAAATAAGTCTAATTTACACAAATTTCGCAATAAAAAATTGGATAGAGCATTGGCTGTGATACATAAAATGAACACAAAAAGGCTACTTCGCAGCTGGCTCCTGAGAACTGTATCCCAGCTGTGTTATGGCAAAATGGCCGACGTTCTTTAAAAGACAACAATGAACAAAATCTATAGTCATTGATCTGTGGAAGGCAGTTAAAAGACAAAATATAATCTTTATGAAAATATGTGTGCAAGAGTTAAATTATATAGAAATATATATTATGTTATTATAATTATAGTTGAGTTATATTGAAATGTTTTGTTTTATTTGAATGCATTGTAATAAGCAAATCAAAACTCAAATATTTTAATGTGTGCTAAAGGATTTTTAAAAATATGTCCACGCATTTGTACATAGTAGAATAATTTTATTTAAACATCGATTTCATAAAACATTTCTTCTTCACTGATTGGGCAACTATTTGATGAAAACCGAATTACTAAAACGTTTCAGCTTCGACTGTTTTTTTCTGTATTTCCACTTAAATATTAGTTGTCTGTGGTCTACATTGATATATGACATTTGTAAAATTTTATTATTTATACATATTATATTCTATATTTTCATGACAAGTTTTTAACTGCGATTCTGCGGGCGTTGCGAATCATACCTGACGATTGGAAAATACCTAGGTACCTAAACCTATTATGGCTTGATTGTGCTGCTCGCTTCCATAGCAAAACAGCAGACATACGGAACTCTACTGATTAATTACTATATTTTTTTAACAACGACCTAAGTATGTGGTATTTATAAATACATACCGTATTACGGTTAGATTATGTGAACATTCTTGCCGCGCTAATGTATACAAGACGTGTCGTTGACTCGTAAGTCAAAAATTGGTCAAAATATAGTTGGTCTTATTCATTATTATTTGCTTAGCGCATGATTTGTCTTTACAAATCGTGACTGACATTATTGTCTTCTTATTTTGGAGTACACTAACCTTACAAGGTCTTTACGGAATTGTGAACTTTTACGATTTTTCAATTATCCAAACTTTCACTGTTTTGTTGATTTTCTTGTGATATTGGTTTTCATTTGGGAGGTGCTCAATTTTCAATCTTTATAATTGGTATTATTTATCAGTCTTCAGTTTTTGGAGTAATAATAATGTTATGTGATATTTTAAGCCATTTTCCTCCCTAACTGTGACAGTTTTCTGTTTTAGACAGACTAAAAACTGAAACTTTGAATGTAACTTATGGCCAGGTTACAAAAGGTCATATTTCCTCTTATTTTGTTACAGAATTTATGAAATATGTACAAAATAGAAGTGGACCCAAAGCTCTTTATAACTTGTCGCTTATGTTTAGATGAAATGGGCCAATACCAGATTGTCCCTAGAGTTAAAGAGCAAATTAAATTCTGTTTTGATTTTGACGTAAGTATTTTCTTAATCACATAAAAGCAAGTGTAACAGTAGAATTTAGACATAATAGAACATATGAAATGGTCAGTCTTATAGTTCCAATTAGTAACTAGTTTAATTAGTAATCTAAAGCTTGCACTAATGATTATTTTTTGATTCTGCGTATGACAAATCTATACTATAAGTTATGATCTGACCCTATCCACTTAATAATTCTTATTATGTGTATTAATATCGGACTTCAATTGTAGGTTGATCCTTTTGATGGATTGCCCCAATTAATATGTAAAAAATGTGAGACAATTTTATCACAATTCAATGATATAAAGAAAAAATTTGTAGAGAAACAAAATAACCTCAAGAAAGGCACAAACACATCAAAATTACTAGATAATAATGTAAGTACATTTAAAAATGCTAAATATTTTCTATCAAATCTAAGCAAATTTTAAATTGAAATAATTGTTACATATTTTAAGTTCTTAGAGTTAGTTTGTCGTTTCCAGGAGGTTTCTACATCATCACAACAAGATACTGTTTCTTCTACTCAGACAACTGTATTTGAGAGCAACACTAAAAAGAAACAATTTTGTTTAAGTTTGAAAAGAACTCAGGGTACTTCTCTCCAGGAAACGGACTCTTATGTTGTGTCTAATAAGAAAGTTAAAGGACCAAAGCAAGGCTGGCGCTTAGATTATTACAAATACTTTGCGTGCAAAATCTGCAGTAACTCATTTAGACACAGAAAAAAATTAAACAAGCATATGCAAATTCACAACTCATTGTTAGAGAAATTTAGTTATGTATTTAATAAGGATTGTAAAATTTATTTACCTAAAATAGATGAAAAGACAAATTTTACTGGTATGAATGATATGATTGTGCTAGACAAGGAAAAGATTCTACACAGTGGCAATGCAGAATACAACATTTTCTACACGCATAGAAGTATAAAACTCTCTGATAACGAAAAAACTAGTATGCCTGAATCCTCCGATGAAGACATTATAACTTTTAGGAAAAGGAAAAGATTGAGATTATTGTCAAAAAACTCAGACGAAACAGTGTTTGTAGAATGTGCTGAGAATACATTAAAGATGGAAAAAGAGGGAGCTGAGGCAGATCAAGAAAACAGAGAAATTGAGTGTGTCGATATTGATTCTTCATCAGAAGCAGAAACTGAAAAAATTGAAACTAAACCAAAGGTTACTGATGTTGACTTTAACAAGAAAACAATTATAGCTCAACTTGTTTCCTCCTGTGCAAAGAAATATGAACCTAAAGATGGAAACTTAACAGTAAACAAACAATCGCAGTTGCAGCATAAAATTTTAAGCATGGGTCGGAAAATAGTCAATAAAAAAACATTCAATTGCACAGGTTTACTACGATATCTTGAGAATAAAGATCTTGATGTAGTCTGGAATCCTAAAAGTGAACGAAACATTGAGTCGGATTTTGTTCGCATTAGAACATTATTAAGAGGTAATACAAAAGAGGACAGTGAAAATGGATGGGAATGTTTGAGTACACAACTTAAGATACCCAAGACTAGTACATCCAATATTGATTTGTTAAGTGAGGGGCACAATGTAGATAATTTTGCTAAAGCTGCTGCTGAACCTGCAGTTGAGACAAGACAAATAGATGTAGCTGAGTGTATTCCAATCTCATCCACAAAAGAAAATACAAACTTGAATAAACTATTAAATCAAAATCCAGTTGCTCACCCTAAACAGATTCCACGTAAAACAAATTCAAAACTTAACGTCACTGCAGATAGAAAAACGCTGCCTTCCTCTACCACCAATAGTGAACAAAACATGCAAGAATTACAGATGCCCATTATTACAGGCACAGTATCGTTGGCCACTGATAATGTAAGTAGTAATTCTAATATAAAAAATGCTGCTAAAGAAGCCGAAGTTACAGTAGCGTTTGTACCCAGAATAAAAGTAAAGCCAGTATCACAGCTTATGCCAGACAAACATACTACCTCATCTGCAGTGGTGGGAATACCACAGACACCCTCTTGGAACTTACCGGTGAGCCCTGGCAAGAATACTTCTGTTTCTTGTGGAAAGATCATAATTCAAGATAGCGACTGGGTCATAATGCATACTGTCGAGTTACCAAACACTAGAACCCGCTCGCCTTTCAAATATTTCCAAAATCTGTTACATATTCACAATATCATTTTATTGGATACCACAGATACAATTACGGCCGATTTTGCCTGTCTTATTAAATTTAAATCGATCTTTAAGCAAGAATCCAAAAGTATAACACTCTGTCTGTCCCTATATAGTAATGTCAAACAATTTTACGTTAAGGTAACCGATACAACGACACCCATAGATATAGTAAGTTTGATGCCCACGTGGCAATGGGAAATACTGCAGTTGTACAACAGTGATATTATCAATAACTTATTAGAGAACGCTAAGAAAATTAGTCAGAAAATGTACGATTCCACGAACTATTTCATGTCATTGTTAAGATCGATTGTATTTCGTAGGGAAAAGTAGCTATGAAGGCACGATTTGGCTCACGTTAATTTCACCAAAAAAAAAGGATTTTTGGTATAGAGAGAAAGACTTTGTAAAAGCGACATCTATCTTGTTATTGTGAAATTTTTCTGCATAAGAGTAACACGAAATTTTAAATAATTGATTTGCAACGCTGTTACGCCCCTAAACAAAGGCTTAATGAAGTCGAGTCAATAAATATGTTATAGTTGGACATTATGAATTCACACACATTCCTAAAAATGTATGTTTTGATGTAATTACTACCTGCTATTCTTAAAGCGTTCAGTTGTTTCGATGTATTATATAATGAACTTGATTTTTTGACACTCTTTCACTATTAGGTAAGTGAAGCCTTCACTAATGAATTATCTTCGTTGTTGTTGGCAACCTCTTCCTGTTGGAGTTGTTATATTGATAAAGAACAAGAAAGGATTATCCTGGAGATTTTTTTGTATTTGATTCTAATTAAAATCGACCAGGAAATGATCGCCCCATGGTTTGACCAATGTGTTCCTCCAGGAATATGATATCACAATGATTTATTTGTTCTGCTGTCGTATATAAAGTTACAGTTCTTCAGTGTTAACATTGAATTGAATATTTTAGATAAGTTTATAAATAAAACGTTTCTTATACTCTGCTGTTTTTTTATTCAGTCAGAAAGCTGGTTGGGTATCATCTAAAAAAATATCAAATCTATACTAATATTATAGAAAGCAACTCTGTCTGTTTATCTGTCCGGCTGTAACGCCGAAACTACTGAACCGATTTAAATGAAATGGAGTACGTAGATAGACATAGTCTAGAGCCTGGGAAAGGACAAAAGCTACTTTTTAATGCCAAATTGTTAGCGGTTGATTGAAAATTTGTATGGAAAATCGTGGTTTTTGAAGCTAGAACAATGAAACATTATTTGGCTTTTTTGGAGTGGTAGTGGAAGTGGCACCTACAACATAGATTGGCTACCTTAAATGCACTTTTACAAATTAATAAACAGCATAATTTATTAAAAATTCTACTCAAAGTCACTATTACACGCGGACAAAGTCGAGGGCACACCTAGTTGTAACATAAAATAACAGTAACCAAGTATTTTTAGTTTATTATTATAAACAATATAGTTAATAGTTTTTTTTATTTCAAGGTACTCTATAGAAATAACATTATTGTTAATATTATTTCTGATCTAAATCATTGGTATACAATTTGTTTAAGAACAAATCAACAAATAAAATATTTTACTAATTCTAATATTTTTTGGTGAGATTGGATCTAACAACTAAATCACAACACCGATCATCCAAGTGTCCATATTGCTTCAACATTGTCAAGAACTTCAAGAGGCGTAGAGTGTTTATGAAACATAAAGTATCCTTGTATTTGCGCTGGGCTAACGGCTTTTGCTTTTTCCATAACCCTAAAATATATTAACTTATTAGCGAAATATTCGATAACACAACACAATAATATATTTTGCATGTGGGTATTATAAAAAAGTAAGAAAATTAAATAAATTTAAATACTAAGAATATGTACGACGGCAGTCCGATAAGTACTTAGCCTACAAAAGGGAAACGAACGCTTTAAGAAATTGGCGATTTATTTTTAAACATACTTAGTCTCCTTTCCCGTCTGAAAAATAAGTTCTCTGAAAGTCTGAAAAGTACGCCTCTGTGGCGGCGATAACCTTCTCATTTGACTCATATATTTTCCCGGCAAGTGAATTTTTCTAGTTTGGAAACAAACTAAACAGAAGTCACACGGGGCCAAGTCTGGAGAATAGGGTGGATGGGGAAGCAACGGTCGATCCACACAGTGGCGCCATTGGGCGGTGAGGCTATGCACTTATCGCACTGTCCGCGTACTTGCTAAAGTCGGAAACACTTACTTTTTCGCAAAAGTTCTGGCGTGTCCTGCATCTTTATAGAAGCGTAAAAACATTAGTTCTACTTGAGCTTCGTCACAGTATCCAACGTATTCTTTCATATCAACACGCCCAGGTCTTATAAGAGCCGGATCAAGTCTGGAAATGGAAACATGTTATTAAATTACTATACTTATACATCACATATATTAATATTTGACGGGTTAGTTTGTGATGTAATCTGTAATAATCAACGGATCCTGGTTACGATCGCCACCGGGTCCAACATTTCTCTTATTAACTTTAACGGTTTAAAACGCGATATATTAGTTAAACTTATTTGAAAATGATTTTTAACTTCGGCCCGACGTTTCGGATGCTTTGCAGCAGCCGTGGTCACGGGGAGACACTAATATATCGCGTTTTAAACCGTTAAAGTGTTTTATTTAAATGTGTACTACTCGCGTAAACTATAGACAGTATTTACGAAATTGATGGTAGATCGAAATTCCGTTACGTTTAATTGAGTTTCGGTTTCTGTCTGTGAATTCCTGAATAAAATCCCAAAATAGGTCGATAGCCCATCTTGTGTAGATGTTATATGGCTGGGCTATTCCACGTACCAAAAAGTGAACCCCTTGCTTGTCTGTCCTCTATCATAAAAAAAAACAAATCGGGAAACAAAATACTTTTCATTAATTCATATGTCAATAGCACTGTATAGTACTTACCTTTCCAAGTAGTTTGTAGTCATGAACACAATCCGGGCTTCAGTGGAGGCAACACCATCGAGGCAATTTAATAGGCCGCTAAATGTAACACGGTTAAGTCCTTCGTAAGCTGCTTTCTGTATTGATGTATCTTCCCGAGAAACGAATGCAGCATCAATGTCTTCTAGAAGAATGATTGACTGCTGAGGTGCAACACTATAAAAAATACAGTGGACAATAAAATAAATTGGGAACCCGTTAGTATCAGAAGAGGGATTCCACGTACCTTAATAAATGATTTAGCCTATCATCAGTCAAGCCTCTTTCAGATAGATTAAGAACACAAATATTGTATTCAAGTGCTCCAGCTAATGCCATAATAAAAGACGATTTTCCACACCCTGGGGGACCATAGAGTAGATATCCTGGAATAATTAGTTTAGTCTATAAATATGTTCTAAACCCATAAATGTTCCTAAATAATAAAGACAAAGAAGCTAATTTGAATTCTTTGTATTCATTATTTTTTTATAATATAATATTTCTTAAAACAATGATGATCTTAAAATGAAAGTGGTTCATCATCAGCAACATATGTTCCATGAAAATTACTGCCAAATTTGTGATCACCTGTATACATTTGTGATACTGCATCTGTAGCGAAAATGTTGCATTAAGCAAGAGAGGTCCTGGATTCAATTCCAACAGCTACAACCGATTTTGGCTCGGCATGGCACAGAAGGCTCATCAGTTCATGAAATAAATAATCTTACCTCTTCTATATGGAATACCTCTATCTGTATACCAACTTGGATTGTCAATAAAATCTAAACAATCTGTAAGAATTTTATCAGCTAAGCCATCTCTCAAGACTACACTGCGTATTGGCCTTCTACGTCTAGGGTGGCCAAATGGTCTCCAATCGGAACCCATTGCTGTGTACATTATAGTCATTCCTTCATGTTGCTTCAATGCCATAGTCCTTGCTGTAAAGATATGTTGTAGAAATTTTTTATATATTAAAAAAATAATAATAATTAGGTTATTTACCCATACAGAATGTGTTCATTCAATACACAAAATAAGGTTTCAAGACCAGTCATAAAGAAAAATTACCTTCTTCAAGAATATCATAATACAATTGTTTGTTGCGACCAAATGATGTTAATGTTACTGTCTCCCAAGGTATTCCCATGTGCAGATCTAGAGTTTGTTGCTCTCTCGTACGGTCAACTTTTATCCATGCTCCACGATACCTAGAAATGTAATTACAGTATGTAACCTAAAAACATCATAAATAATGAGTTGTTTGTCAATATTTATTATTTCGAAATTAAACCTCACAAAATACCTGAAAAAATGTTGTCCAACACTGGGTATGAAGTCATATTTAGTTTTTATTTGTCCAGTATCCTTTTGAAGGAATGATGTTTCCACGCTCAAATGCTGAGTCTGTTTGGCACCCTTTTGCGTGATCCATTGCAAGAGCCACTGATAGGACTTATCACGACATGGCACTTCTAAAGTTATCATACAGTGTCTTCTAAATAACAACATAGACGTTTGAAAACCTTTACGCAAAATTGCCGCACCAGCTCCCAGTCCGAAGAGACCAAAACCTGCCCCAAAATAGGGATTTTGGGACAGCGAGGCTACGTATTCTGCCAGAGGCATGATGCTATTGAAACTTAAGTTATAAAAGTAATTTTATATCATTAAATCTAGTTACGACATAGACGAGAAGTAGCGAGGACACCACTTTTCGGTAATACCGAAATATTTTGTTTTATGGGCTGTCATAGAGTAGTTATGACTTTGACAGTTGTCTGTTTAAACGTAACGTGACAGTTGACAACCAGCTGTTTTTTTTATTAAGTAAATAAATGGTTACCATGACGACCATCAAATATTGAAAGAATATTTAATACAATATTAAAAATAACGATGTTTACGAATTATTATTAATTACGTAGCAATTGACAAACGAAAACAACTGTGCTTATATTGCAACTAAAAAATCTTTTTCTTATTTCGTAAATAAATTTCAATAAACCATTAATAAACACTATTTTTTTTAAAGCGGTGATATACCGAAAGAATTTGCTTGTAAGGATAATTGTAGATCTACAGTAAAACGTTTTAAAGTAAATATGTAGGTAGGTACGTTGATGGATATTCCCGTATATCAAATCATTTAAAAGTATAAACTTACAATGTTTATTTGAGTCGGCAACATGAAAGCTGTCGTTTTTTATTTATATTAATAATACCACTTTGTGTGTATTATTCATCGAATGGATACCATCTACTCACATCTCCCCACTGTAGATGCCTATGGTGCGGGTCACGCGACCCCTATCGTCGACAAATGACGTCAGGTCATCTTAATTTACCATCTGAAATACGATGTTGGTCCATAAATTACAAGTTATGCAATGCTTGCCGCTGTTTTCTTTTCATTATTGCCAGTTTGAATAGCGTCGGTGGGCCTTATAAATGCTGATATTATAAAGCTAAAGCATTTGTTTGTTTGAACATGCTTATCTCAGAAATAAGTGGTTCGTATTAAAAAATATTTGTTGGTTGAAGTATTTATTGAGGAAGGCTTTAGAAACCTCAGGCTGCAACTAATAAGAGCGAAGAAACACTGGGAAATAGAAAAAATAAATTTAACAAATGTCTGCGACGATATACCTATGTCTATCGTTTTAGCAAAAGACAGGACCGGACGGCATCGTTCGTTCTATATTAACGGCTATTATATTACTTTGCTTTTAAAGCCTTCCTCGAAAAATGGTCCAACCAACACAAAAAATAATCTTACAATTGTAATCAGTAGTTTCTGAGATTATTGCCTTTTAACAAACAAACTCTTCAGCTTTGTAATATTAGTATAGATTCGTATCACACTAGTGACACAACGTAACGTAATTAATATTATTGAATCCACTAGCTATTACGTCAAAATAACAAAAAATACAACACCCAACTTTCATATTTTTAAATTAACTTACTACCATTACTATGTACTTCTTAGTACAGAAATAAGTTTTGGCCTGTTTCGAGTCTGTGCCCATAACATCCAGTCGGTCATGGTTATCCACTATGCGACTAATTTTATCGTTATTAAATTTAATGGCGCTTCTCAAAGTAGCGCAATCTGCTATAGCAGTGCGTAAGTTCGTTCATCAGAAAGATATGTCAGAACATTGCCGACGCCGAGTGGTACCCTCGGTGTTTCTAGGAAAACACGTTGTTGATGCGAACTCACAAATCTTGCATTTCTCCAGACTACAGCTTCCATACAGCTGCTCTATAAGCGTTCGGTAATAAATTAATAATATGATCTTAATTAGAGATGTCCATTTCCGTAGTGTGAAAGTAAAGCCGAAATTTCGGTTTATATTTAGGGCTGCCAGAGTTGCCTAGCAATTTATGATTCGAGTTTTATATCTGTATAGTCTAAAAATGTTAATCTAGAAGGGCACAGTGACCGAAATACAACATAATACTTATACAAATAATGGTACAAATTCATTTTAGTTTAAGTTAATTGGGCATTTTTATTCTCGTCATTTATTTAAATTTGTTTTATGTTATTAGGCCACTCTGGCTCTAGGAGTCTCATTTGTTTAAATAAAACACTTTAACGATGTAAAACGCGAAATATATTAGTTAACTTAAAAATACACACAGCGTGACGTTTTACGAAATTAACTATTAGGTAAATTTCAAGATTAGTCACTAGTGTGTTGTGTGCACTTAGTAACATTAAATGATTATTTTGAAAATAAGTATAAAATTTAAAAATCGGAAATAAATTGAAAAAAACTTGAAGTTTGGTAGAGCAACACACGGAACCTACGATGCCGGTTCAAGTCCTGCCCGAGTCGAAATTTTTTTCAATTTATTTCCGATTTTTAAATTATATAGTGCCTTCATGTGCAATAACATGTAAAAATTAATAAAGTTTTCAATAAGTATAAATGTCACGTATCATTAAAAAGGGTAATAATTGACTAAATTTTGTAAATAAGCAGAATCGATAAATTTTTTTTCGAAATTAAAAATACGAAGATTTGTCCGGCAAAATCCTAAAGTAGAAAATACCACGACAGTTAACGAAATTCGGTTAACTGAATGTGAATTTGAGTTTCATCCATCCCTAATGATTATACCATCGTAATGTTCGTCATTAGATTATTTTAAGTCGTGTCCTTGTTGTAGTATGATGTTATTTTTATATGTTTTCTAGGACCGAATTTGGAAACAATATTATTTTAGTGATTCAGTTACTATCAGACCATAGTTTAACTCGTTCATGTGGACCTGATCATAGCCAATTGCTCATTTACGAACTTGGCGAAACCTTCGGCGGATACTGGGGTGGTCTACCGGATGTCATGATGAACATGGAATCCCAAAACCACACTAAGTTTTATACATTGAAAACCACTCCTACAACAGTTGAGACAAGGTAATAACAATTGATTAATATTTTTTCTCATCTCGAAATTATTTCAACTTCTTTATTTATTATGACTTATATCCTTACCTATTTATCGGGTGTAGTTTAGTAGTAGTAGGGAGAGTAGTACACATTTATATTTAAAACCACTTTAAACGATTTAAAATACGAAATTAATTGTTTAATGTAATGTTTTACATGTCATTGTCACATATTATGTAAACATTTACACAGTAGCCATTCCCTTTGTATTTTATGCTTCTTTTATATGTGTGTCGTTGTGCATGCAAAACATAGATAAATATTGAAAATTTTATTTGTAGCCCGCCTAAATTAGAAGAGGAAGAGGAAGAGGAAGTAAAGAAGGACGCGTCATCCCACATCCCATTATCTAGTCCAGATTTAAAAGAAACAGAAGAAGATTTTATAAGAATAGAGGTTCCTTTGTTGAACGTCTCTGGCGATTTGGGAGTTAACGAGATCTCTCAAAACAAAATGGACGTGGATGAATTTTTAGATTTAGTTTATGATGTTACTCCCAGGTGTGTTATGTTCACAAGAACACTACTTAAGTATATAGTGGTAGAATAATTCCTAACAGGTGACAAGGACGCTTTGTTATGCATAAAACTCATCACTAACGAGTAAAGAGTAATTATTCAATATATGTTGACTATCCAAAACCAAAATAAGTCGACGCGCGTCTTGCTTAAATTTTTTCAATGATAAAGGCGAACAGACAAGCATGGCATACATTTAAATAAAAACATTTTAACGGTTTAAAACGCGATATATTAGTTAATTAAACCGTTAAAGTGTTTTATTTAAATGTGTACTACTCGCGTAAACTATAGACAGTCTTTAAACATGGAATACACTTGATGTTAGGTGCATATCATAACAAGGTGCCCTGTCGACCTGTTTTTGCTTTGCACATTCGGAAAACCAAAGACTGAACCCGAAACGCGATTCACAGCGTTTTATTTGTAGACGGTGGTTCGTGACCCTTACTGAATTTCGCTATTTCTACCTTTTAATTGCCTACCATAATACCAACAACATAAATTATGTGGCTGTTCTGTGTGATTTGTAAATAACACAGAACAGGTGAACCTCTCAGGTCATACTCTATCATAATAAAAAATATACATGTAATACTTAAATGTACGTAGACATAGCGTTGAATTAATCTATAAATAATATTATACATACAGCATCTTTGTGTATCACATAGTATTCTAGTAAAATAACTGTATTGTTCACAAACCCACGACTAACAATGAACCGTGCTGTTTCTTTATCTATTGAGCGTGTCACATGAAACCAGGGTTCGATGTCAGCTGAGTCATCTTTGTACTTTGCTAAAACACATAGTATAAATATTCATCTCTCGTGTTGTTGACAGAAGTGATGGTAACTATGACACCAGTATTTTACCATTGGTTCGGTTTTCTGTTAGAAAACAGACTGAACGCGAGGATTATGGACCTCCCTTCAAGTCTAAATATGAACTTGACTATGATTTGGGATATACCCCAGACTCCAGGTATGCAATTCATGTTGCTGCACTGCTGGCTCAGGTCTTCTCTTACATACGAGAGGGTTTTTGAGGTCATATGCACCAGTGACGGTACGTGGATTTAGCAACTACCCTCCACTAAATTTTACCGCCACTGTAGCTCAATGGTTAAACTAGTATTGGGTTAGCACGAGAGTTCCTGGGTTCGAAACCCGGGGAAATGGATTGATTCGGTGGAGCAGGGTATAGAAGTCTAAACACTAATCGCCTATAAAACCGACACGGATACAGAAACGTGTTCGCCCCATTTCAAACTCTTCGAGGAACGGGGGCAATGACGCTTCCCGCTTCTAAGTTCTATACTTCTTAGAAAAAATCAAAAGTCTGAAGTACCATTTCCTCCGTCCTAATATTCGAACCCAGGACTACGTCAATTTACAGTCGAGTGCAAACACTAGTCCAACGAGGCAGTTCTTAAGAAATAAATTGTGTATTTATTCGTTATTTTACGATGCCTTAACAATATCATTATTTAATGGCTTAAGTACTCGTAAATTTTATAAAGCCAATAAAATTGCTGTCAACTTCTAGTAAAGACCATATGGAAAGGCTATATTATAATTAAATAATAAGACTTAATTAAATAAAATAGGTTAAGAAAATAAAATTTAATAAAAATTCTCAAAAATAAAAATTATTATTAACTCTTTTGGCTACAGAATTACATTCAGAACCAAATACAGGAAAACGACGAGAAGATATGAAGTATATAAAACAAATTTCAGACGAAGGAACAATAAAGATTTTCACGCCAAACCAACATTCTGGCGGAATAGGTAATTCATTCACATAAATCATAAAGATCTATTTGGATTAAAGAAGAAATGACGACACGGGCGGGACTCGAACCTATACTCGTAGAGTTCCGTGCTGATGCTCTACAGAATTGAGGTACTTTGCAATATAGCCGCGAATGTCTTATAAAGGCGTGATGTGTAACCGCCAAAGCCGAAAATAGGCCGACAGCGTATCGTATTATATCTGTCCTCCTCTATCATAAGTATGTATAATTTATTTAAATAAGCTTTAAAACACATTGTAGTACATAAATTTACACAACGACTGATTTAGACCACACTAACCGCCGGGTCAGTAGAGTTCAGTTTTATTTCGCGTTTCATACTGTCAAATATTGTGTTAGCTAAATAGTGTCTATAGTTTACGCGAGTAGTACACATATAAATTAAACGGTTTAAAACGCGATATTTTAGTTAAACTTCCCCCCGTGACCCCGTCACCCCGTGTCCACGGCTGCTGCAAAGCATCTGAACGTCAAACAAGTTAAAAATCATTTTCAAATAAGTTAAAGTGTTTTATTTAAATAGTGTTAGCTAATAAAAACCAAGTGTATCATCTACAGTACAATATGAATTACATATATTAACTACTATTCTTTAATTCAATTTCTATTTTTTCAGGCTTGTTAAGACGACGTTAAAACCACGTCCTTACTTCAATATAAAAGAACCTACCACGAAATTAATACCGACTATAAACGAAAATATTTTATCAAATATCTATAACAACACCTTGCAGAATAATAAGAGTTCATGGGATGTAATTGTCGACCTTTTTAAATCATTGAATACTTCACTCAAACCGTACATCGAAGAAATTACGAAAGATGTTACCGTTGCTAAACAAAACACACAAAGAACGAAGAATATACCTTTGGACGGTTCCAAATCAAGGTATTTTGTACTCTCGGGCAGTACTTGAACTGGCATTCCACAGCGTTCCGTGCTCGGGTTGACTCTAACGAATCTAATGCTACCGAGCTCCTACATCTCGTCGTGATTTTTTCAACCTATTCATACAATGCACCGTCCGCGCAATAATATATCTTATCTTTCAGATAATACTTTTGAATAAAATACTTTTAACGATTATAATGCGATTGTATATACTTATTTTAATTATTTATGTAAACTAGGACCCCACGTTTCGCAAGTTTTGCAGCAACCATGGTCACGAGGGTTGAAATAAATAAAAAAACAAGTTTAACTAATATTTCACGTTTTAATCCGTTAGAAGTGTTTTATTTTGAAAGATAACATACTTAAGCATATCGAGGAATATAATAAGTTAAATTACTTATTATATTTCTCCATATTTATTCAATTAAGCTATTGCTTAGGTATTTATTAATGACGATCTATTGACTCTTTTGTATATGAACAATGTAGCTTGTCTTAGCTCAGTCTCTGACGAGGCTACAAAATGTCGGTCAAATTAAGTCCCTAAGGGACTGTGTTTTCAAAGCTACTATATGTTGCTAGTCTTTCTTTTTTTCTCTTCTCAAATTGTCTTTCTTCTGCAATGTTTTACAATAAAATTTTATTTATGTTCAGTTCTATACAACATCAAGTCGAAGCAGTGACGATAAAAAGTGCATTTTTGAAAAATATCTCAACTACCATGCTAGGCCATGATTCAAAAGACACAGACAACAATATAACGTCTTTTGGGAAAGACCAGGCCCTGCAAGGTAACCGCTGTTTTGGTATATAATTTTGTTTTAGGGAATTTCTGGTAAGCGCTGTGAAGGATCAAGGCATAAAAAAATAACAAAACATCAAACATTCATTTATTAGCACTGGTAGACACCTGGAGGGGATAACTTACCAAGTGATAATTGAATAGTTAACGAGCGAGATGAAAAATAATTAAGCAATTAAAACAACAAATAAAAAAAACTTTTTAATTGGTTGGTGATAGAAGGGTGAAAATATGGAGTTATATGTATTTTATAATGCCACGTTATAAGGTAATAATACAAATGTTGTCAAAAAAATTGTTCACGGTGGATTTAAGGGTATAAAAAAGTTAGTAACTAATTCTTAGACCTAGTAATGCATATACAATTTCATAACAATCGGTTTAGACGTTCCGTAGGAGTGTTGTATTATACATATTATATATATATATATATATATATATTTTAATATAGAGGAAGACTGACACACATAAGTTTCACTTGATGGGCGGTAAAATACCCCAGCCCTATTACATATACACAAGATGTGTTGTCGACCTTTTTTGCTTTGGATATTCGGAATTATATTATTGCCGTATAATACACACCACGGCCACGCAATGTAAAGTTTTTAACCATTGAAAGGGTTAACAAAACATTTTACAGGTGTAACTGAAGACGAAGTGAAAGTTTTCTTTACAAGAAATGATGATGTGTAAGTTTTTCAGATACTTGTCACGAAGAGAATTTTATTGGATATATTAAACTGCTTAAAACTTGAATTAAACTCTGAATTGCAGTGATCGTGAAACTGGTTCTTTAGTTAATCATAAGTCGTTTGAGAATATAGTGCAGACTGCTCCCATAATTTCAGTATTGTTGAACAGAACGAATGCATCTGAACCGTACAATAGTTCGTAAGTAAATTCATCTCTACATCATCAATTGACTTGTCTTTAATATCAAGTCAGCTAATGGCTATTTGACAATGCGAAAAATATAACGTCAATTATTGTACTAAATATGTATGTTAAAGATAATTGATTTAAATAAAAAAAACGGCATATACAAATTTAATCCTTTAAACGTTTGTCACGTGACGCAAAACACTTCTAAATGGTCGGGGTTATGACGTCACTTGCTTATAAACAGTGCTATAAATCACGGTGATTCCAAGTGTTAAAGCTGTTCTAGTCTCTGCATAAATAAAAATCTGACACACCCATTCTATTCTTCAATCACTGTAATGCAAATGTTTGATGCAAATGAAGGTAGATTGTAGATCATATGACCTTACACCAATAATTGTGACGTCACTAGCCGTATTACAGCGTTATTTGAAGTAGTTGATCAGACTTCTTTGCCCTGCCCGACCGAAACAATCTATTGTTTCCACCGGATTCGAACCCTGGATCTCTCGCGATTAACGCAATGCCAGGCAACACGTTTAACCATTTAGCTACAGAGGCCGTCATTTTTTCATAGTATTAGCCGTAAAATGTTCAATCTAAAGTCAAAAATAGTCCAATTACAGTTCTGTATGTAGTTTACGCGAGTAGCACACGTTTAAATAAACGGTTTAAAACGCGATTTTTTATTTAAATTACAGTTCCCCACGTAAAAAACGTTACATAAAAGCGTTGGAAATAGAAAATGCACGACCAAGAGTGCTCACAACTAGGAAGTCTATGAGGAGAACAACGGAGAAAGTGTACCGATATTCAGATATGCAGGACCTGGCGCAGTTGGTGGAATTGCAGGATGACGAGGTAAGATATGGTGGTATGAAATAAAACGTAAAAAAAATTATCGTCTTTTCTCTATGGTGTTTAAGTAATTTCTAAATTAGCGTCTAAAAACGTCATCGTTTCCTCTGCCTGCTAGGACACTGAACTCAAACCCACGCGAAAACGATGCTACGTCATACAAATAATTTTTGGGCTGTGGTAAAATGACAGTGGTCCTTAATTAAAGGTGTAAACAGCCACATACAAGTGCTGTCTGTAGTTCACGTGTGTTAAACATTTATAACGGTTTAAAGCGTGATTTAATGTATGGAACGTTAGCCTTTTAGTTAGTTATGATCACGAAGGGGGCTGAAGATGGAGGTTTCCCTGATGTCAAAGTAAAAACTGTTACTTAAAAAGTTAATGAATACATATCACGTTTTAAACCGTTAAAAACGTTTTATTTGAAGGCAATATTTCAAATATATGTCAAACTTATTACTAATATTATTAAGTATAAACTTATTCAGCGTAGAACCTCATTTATTTCCTTCGTATTTATCCACCTTTACCTATGTAAAAAGGTGATAAATATATGGTTTCTTGTGGAATTGCTATTCCTAGATGCAAGGGCGTGTAGCACTCCGATATTTGAGGAAATATGTGGGTTCACCACTCTTCAATATCTGCGACTATCAAGAGCCGAAAGCTCGGCAAGTGTATTTGTTCAATTCTTCACGAATTGTTATAGCTGTCAGCAATTTTACGGTAATTCCTTTTCTATTATACATATACCTCCGGTATATATTGTTTTGTCGTTCGCATTGTTATATTATGCTGATATAATTGTAACAAATAATTAAGACCCTATAAGTAGGTATTTACATTTACCACAAGTTCTCAAATGTAGAGTGCAGAACGAACGAGAAGAACTGGCAGGAAACTCGCAACTCCTTTAATCGTCTATATACCTATATTCACTACACATTTTTTCTTGATAGAGCGGGGTTTTCCAAACGCCAAGCATTTTTATCGGTTAAATATTGATTAACGTCATAATATCCCTTTCCAGGCAGTTCTTGTTTTACATACGATTTAAACTTATTTATTGAAAGTGCTTGCATTTCACTGTGGATTTTATAAGAAATACATGCATTCTTAGATGGAACGGATGACACTGGTGGTGACACCAGCTCGTACGCTCCTCAATAGCGTGGGCAGATGCCCTCCAGCCCACCTTGAGTGTCAAGTAGCCGGCACTAGAGTCTGCATTGACTCCACAAACCAGTGCGATGGGGTACCTAATTGTGGCGCTTACGGTATGAGACACTAAGGTGTTAAATAAATAGTTAGAATTACTAAGAAGCAGATATTTGTTACCTACATAAGCACCTTTTACATTAGTACACCAAGCATAAATTCGTTTTTTTTTATGATAGAGAACAGGTATGGCTTACACTTGATGGTAGATAAAATACCACAGCCTTTTCAGATGGAAACAAGATGCGCCGTCGCCCTATTTTGGCTTTGGTTATAATTTAATACAATATTTTGTCCAAACTAGGATTCGAACTAGTCCCCACCTTGTGGATCTGTTATCGAATGTAGGTACTACTACCATGGCCATTAAAAGTAGTTCATTTGCGTACTTAAATGTTAAGATTTAAACATAACCATAATCAAAGAGTTTAATAAAAGGACTTAAATAACGATAAGTAATATTTATTAAGGCACATGGTGGACAAATAAATTATATAATGTTTAATTTGCAGATATTTACGACGAAGATCGCTTAAGATGCGGCTGGTCTTTAGGACTGCAACACAACGTCTGCCTGGCTGCCTGCACGTTCTTGGCGGTGATTTCGACCATTTTGTACACAGTGCACTACTGGCTCAAACGTTGCGTGCCCAGGGTCTCGGAGGCGTTCTTCATATACGCAGATGCATCTGAAAATATGTATTGTATTATATCTTGATACAAACTATGAATCGCAATATTTACTACAAGTTAGATACACCGTACTTTAAAAGCTCTGAATTAAGTTCTTAAAGGCACTTGTAGCTTAATAAACGTTGAGCCAAAAACAGTTTTCAGTAATTGTTAATAGTACCTAAATAAGAAAAATATACAGCTTTACAGTAGTCGTGGTCAAGGGGGACAGCTACGAATCGTAATTAAAAATTTATTTGTTAGTTCGCGTTTAAAACCGTTAAGAAATGTTGTATTGAATAGTATATTAGTCGCGTTTACTAAAAGTATTGAAAACTAGCTGTGACAGCGACTTCGTCCGGGTAGAAAAGTTATTTTGCGTTTTCTTTCATTTTTATTTATTATTGCTTTATTATTTAAAAAACGCACCGCAGAAAATACATATTAATTAGAAAAAATCTTACTTATATTTATAAGTTAGCACTAACTTATAAATAAAAGGCGGCCTTATCGCTAAGTATTGATCTCTTAGAGGCAACCTGAAGAAGACAGAAGAGAAGAAATAGATCATAGATATGTTTGAGTTTGAACCAAACAGATAAACTTTCCAGCTTTATATATTAGGACATTATTGTCAATTATAGTGCATAACTAATTTTATTTAAGCACTAAAGGTTGTGTCATTCCAGATTGTTTTTGGATTCAATAATGCGATCTCCAAACGACAACACAGACAACTATTCACGATTATTCTATCAACCTAATATATTTGAGGATGACGAAGCATTCCTCAAAGACAGCAACAATAATTCCCTATGGAGTAAAATTATAACATATCTCAAATTATATTTACTATGTAAGAGGAAAAAGGTGGATAAAAGACACTCAAATGAAGACTTTGATAAAGAGTACGAACAGGTTTCGGCTATTCCTAGAAAATTATACTCGTTCACTGAACTAGAACTTCGTAATATTACACCTATAATAAAAGATGTCATGGTACAGACAGGCAGTAGTTTAGAAGATTATCAAATAGATACTAAAGATGAAGAACAAGAAGAGACAAAGGCAACAGATAATTCTAAGATTGTTGACGCAAAGAGTAGTAGCGAATTAAATCTCCTGAAAATTATAAGAAACTTGAAGATCCAATCTCCAGAAGAATCCAACGCTTCGGATAATAAAGATGCAAACAAAACAGATAACCCAGATGTGGAGGAAACAGAAATACACAGTACCATTTATGAGAAAAGTGCGAATCGAGAGACTGAACCGCCTTCCATCCTAACAGTGCATAAAAAGGGACAGCAAACAAGAAAACAATTGAGGTTTGATGAAGAAATTGCCATAATACCCACAATCGAAGGTGAAGAAGAGAGTGAGCAAAGTGAATCAGCTGCGGGATCTAGCAGACACCTAAATGCCGGAAAACAAGTGGGAAAACGATCTAGCAATAGTGGAAACGAATTCATGAGGTTTTGGCGAAGTAGCAAGAGCAAGAAGAGCAAGTCATCGAAAAAGTCGCACCTGTCTTTGCGTTAATATATTGTAATATGAATTTCAAGAATAAAGTTTTTCTGAAGTCTTGACAGTTTATTTTATTTTTTTATAGATAGGAACGTTGATATGTTATCAAAATAGAATAAAAGAAATACAGAATATAGCAATAATTTTCCTAATTTTTTTTCTATGTTTTTTGATATTTAAAAAATAATTTTACCGAACGAGGAACATAAATAAATAACTTTTCAGGTGTTTTTGTTGTATTTCTTTCATATTTAAAAATTATTATAATATTGTCGATTACATAAGGTATATATTTTTCACACTTTCTACAAAAATTATCATTATTATATCGTTAATTAAGATCATCTTAGTATATTCAGCGCTCGTTAGGAACTTACATAAATAGACTGACGAAATCTTAACCTCCCTTTTCGCTTTCGCATTTTAAACCGTTAAAAGTGTTCTATTAAATTGTTACACTTTTCATGACGTTATTTCAAAGACGTATGAAATACTAAAACGAAATCCCTTTTCCCATATTCCCAATAGGCAGAAAGGCAGAAAGTATTTATTTTGGTTATTCAGACCTATACGCCCTATAAACTATATTTGACAGAACTAGTAAAAAAGGGTAACAAAGCAAATGTATAGTTTAACGACATCTGCCCACATATTTCGAGATGACCGCACGGACATCGCTATTTCCTAATTAACTCCAATTGTGCAGAGAACTGGACACGTGCCAAAATGTATGTGTCCTTTTTAGTGCTCGCTATTTTTTACTTCACACATACTGATTATTTTCGGGAATAAAATTAAATATTGTCTGTAATTTACGCGAGTAGTACACATTTAAATAAAACATATTAACGGTTTAAAACGAATATATATCGTGTTAACCGTTAATGTTTTTCAATGTAGAAATAAAATTGGCAGTATTTTAGCTTAAGTATTAGTAAAATAATTTACGCAACCGTCTTTTGTTTTTAACTACAATTGTTATAGGCCCATGCCTATCTCTGAAGTTTACGCAAAAATAAAACAATTTTAATGGCTTAAACACCGCTGTTTTTTCATGTGTGGTCGGTGGTTCGTGACCCGCACTGTATTTCCATCCTCCTACCCTCCCATTTAATATTTAGATTTTCAAGAAGTCCAAGTTAGAATTAATTAAATTGGTTTCGTTAATAATAAAACATAGACATACACTCGGACATTTTTTTAGATCATTTAAAGAGCAATTATAACTTCATACATTTTTTTTTGGTTGTTCAAATCGTTTTCGAAACTTACGCAACGCAAGCCCTCATAGATTAATAATTTTCCCCGTTTTCTCCACATTTCTCTGTGTCTTCGCTCCTATTAGTCGCAACGCGATGTTTTATAGCCTTCCTTGATAAATGCTCTAACCAACACAAAAAGAAATATTTAATTCGAACTAGTAGTTCCTGAGATTAGCGCGTTCAGACAAACTCTTCGGGTTTATATATCACTACTAGCTGTACCCGATTTCGTCCGCTAAGAATATTTATTATGGGCATCCAAATTCGTTTTTGCAAACACCGTCTTCGAAAACATTAATACTTTTTACACGTTATTGCACATGAAGGCACAATACAATTTAAAAATCGAAAATAAATTGAAAAAATGTTCCACTCGGGCAGGACTTGAACCTGCATCGTCAGCGTTGCCGTGCTGTTGCTCTGCCAATTGAGCTACCGAGTCAAACTCTGTCTTTATAAACTTAGCTGTTACTCATGTCGTCGGTCGCGTCCCTATCCGTCGTTCTTGCAAGTTAAACATAAAAGATAGACATACACTCGGACTAGACATTTTTTTAGATCATTTAAAGAGGAATCAATCTCTGATACATATTTTTTGGGTATCTTGAACCGTTTTTGCGTACGCCTCGGAAACCCATCATGATGAATAGTTTTCCCACTTTTTGTTACATTTCTCGGTGTTTTTCATATTAGTAACAGGGCGATGTTTTATAGCCTATATACAGCCTTCCTCGATAAATGCTCTATACAAAACATTTTGTTTTCCTGAGATTAGCGCGTTCAAACAAACAAACTCTTCAGCTCTATATATTAGTATAGATAGGTATAGATCATGTTCTAAAGTTTTATTGGTATCATTGAACAATGACGTACATCATAGCGTTTGTCAGCTCCAAAAAAGATAGATGTAAAAGTGTCAAGCTAGAAGTGGGAGCCGGTGCGCGAGGTCATTTCAATTGGAACCAATTAAAGCAATTGGCTCCAATTGAACGGGCGGCGGATTCAGCGACGATCGTCCACAAGATTTTATGTGAAGCGCCTACACGCTCGGTCACATGACTCAGCCTTCGCAACCATTGTCCACATTCACACAAAAGGCGAGTTCAAAGAGGTATTTTTATGATAACCCGAGGGGACAGATATCTAAGCGTGTTGTCTTGGCGGAAGGTAAAATACTATAGCCCTATAACAACAAAAGAAGATGCGACATTTATTGGCTTTAGATATTGGGTAATCCACAGACTGCAAACGAAACGCTATTGAACTTCAGAGCTTTTCATGTGTGAACGGGAGCTCTTGACCAGGGCGGCATTTCGATAGTTCTACCACCCATCTGTATGCAAATTACTAGACGTACATGTTTCAGAATAATTATAAATTGATTATAAACTTGTTGGATCAGGGGAGGATCGAACCCATGAGCCAAAGCTTTGCTACAATTACACCAACGAACCTGTGAAAATGATAAAGAGTTTGAACAATGAATTCATTAGCTTTTTGGGAATAGGAGGGGGTGGCGTGGGAGTGGGAGTGAGAGTGAGCGCCCTTACATAAATTAATAAACAGCCTGAATAATTAAAAATTCTACCACAAGTCACTATTCCACGCGAACGAAGTCGCAGGCACAGCTAGTAATATATAAACCATGATAGAAGTAAAAATTTTGACATTGTTTTCTTTTACAAGAACAAATACAAAAATTAAAGCAAAATGCACTTAATCGATATTTTATATCGCCGCCATATTTTACATGCTTCATCCGACTCGCACTTGACCGTTTTATTTCTAACATCTCTCTATTTACGTAAGTGGTACACAACAAACGAAACATTTTCAACTGTTTAAAAACTGAACTATTCCTTCTTATAGTAATCGTCGTTATACTACGATCCGACGTTTTGGATATTTTAAAACAGCCCTGGTCGCGGGAAGACCGCTTAAAATCTGCGTTTTAAACCTATTTGTTTTGTTTAATTTTTAACATCTAACAAAACAGCTACGTAATATAGGTCTATAATCTCAAAAGGGAATGCTGTTCGTAATATCACTTGAGAAAAAACATAGTTACTTTTAATTGGTTAGTTGATTTTGTTTTACTGAACACGTGCATAGGTAGAAAACCAAAAAAATAACTTTCGCATAATAAGCTAGCTTATACAAGGCAAAGGTTAAACATTTTCAGCCTTTCATGTTGTTATAACATAATCTGGACTCTAGTCTAGTCACATTTGGTTATAGAATATCTTTCATATCAGCTTTTAGCAAGCTGGAAGTATTATATACATTTCCTCTTATATAAGGAATAGCCAAGTTATTTAAAATTTGAGAATGTCAAGGAACAACTCGACTTGAAATTAACCTTAAATTGTTCATCTCCAACTTGGTGATATCTGATTTCATGGTATACTCACATTTTTATAACTCCTGAAGACCATTAACGGGACACGAAACGCACACTTTCAATACACTTCACCAACAGCCACACCAGCACATTAACCAGGGCACAGGGAATCCAAAACGCTGTCATCCAAAACCCTAAGAGCCACAGTGCTGCTGAGAGTCATGGTGCAGTCACCAAGGTCTGATGACGTTCCAATCGAAAAACTGCAGATGCAAACTGCATTCAATGCAATTCGTGTTGTCTGAAAGTCTCCAATCAGCCCAATGAAGCAGAGATCCCGTTGGCGAGTGGCACCAAGCTAAATAGACTCTGATCGTCTAAATTGACTTCAATTAAATAACAACCGAAATTGTTGAAATGCGCCATTACTCCCTCAGCGTTAATCTAAGTGCCAATAGTCAGGGCGAATGTTTTATTAATAATCCCCAGCGATAACCGTTAATTGGTAATTAGGAGCTCCGATAGTTGAATCGATGAGCAGACGCCGCGGCGGACGCAGCCTCGCTGGTCCATCCCATTGCGATTTTATCCTTATTTCAACATATCCTACAGCCGGGCACAGGTATCCTCTCGAATAACAGAGGGTTTCAGGAGCCACCCACCATGAGGCAGGTCAGGTAGGTTTTAACAACTACAAAAAAATTGTGGTGATACTTGGACCAGCTTACCTCCTTACCCGTAACGGCACTGCCGGAAGGAGTGTTCTTTTCCCACGGCTATAAATCATAAAAGCGGGAACTATTGATACGGATTTATAATGCGTAGTGGACTTTCGATAATGATGTGGGTGTTTGCGCCCTACAATGTCACCGAAATCTCGTTTGTGGGAATCCCGCATGTGTTGCATACCTCATATTAAAAAAGACAACAGCGGCGCAGTGATAGCCCGCAGCTCGAGCCACGATGCATGGAGGGTACCACCGCGGGGCACGCTTAGGGGTGTGACCGGGCTCACATCCCATTGGTCGCTCATCTCAGCCACATTTGAGCCCAAGCGCCCGCATCGGACGACCGAATATCCGCCTTCAGAGCGCACGATACGAGACAAATTCGCCACTCCACCACTCCTAGCTCTGTCCCCGGTCAGTGTACCCATTGGTTCGAGAGATCCTTCTGTCGTCGTATTATGGTAATATAAATTGACCAACCGTAGAGCAAATTCGGTTAGTTCGTTAAAGTTGATTAAAGTCATTTAACCGGGACGGACACGACGAAACGAACGGCGCACGATCTGGGGTTCGTCTAAATGAGCTCAAATTGTTTAATATTGCTGATAAATTGAGTCGGTGTCGGGCTGCTTGGGCCCGACAGAGGTAGAGACGAGGCGGCGCGACGGATTCGAGGGAAGTTGGAACGGAGGTAGCGGGTCCGCACGCGCCCGCCGCCGAAGGCTACATGTACGTGTGCGGGGACAATGCTGGGCCGCGCTACGAGTGCTTCGAGCCAGCGCCTTCCATGGAACAGCCCACCTTCGAGGAGCACATGTTCGGAGAGTTCGGAAAGGACAGGCAAGTCCAGGTAGTGGTCGGTGCCGGCGGTGAACTGCAGTACCGCGAGGAGTTGCCAGTTTTCTCCAGCGAACAGAAGCGGAAAGAGGAGCCGTTGCTGCTTCAGCAGGTGGATGCGCCGGCGCAGCACGCGACGCACCCGCCTCCGCCACCGCCGCCAGCTACGAAGAAAAGTGAAAAGAAGAAGAGTGAAAACAATGGAATTAAGAAGAAGAAAACGAGGTATGTACTTATTTATTATAAGTAACATTAGTTCAAAATACAAATTACATGAATGTTATATTCATAATTACGAGTAAGTATATGTGAGTAATAAAGTAATACATATTTTTTTCAATATAGTCGACTAGGACATACCATAGTCAGATTATTAATTCTTATTAGAAAAGTAAATAAAATGTAATATGAATAGCAGCACCACGGTACTAAGTGGACGGCCGCGTCGTATATATATTTTTTAATCAGAATAGATTTTTAATATGTACAATGCAATCATGTGCAAATAATTAAGTTTTCAAGAAGTTAAATTATAAACCAAAAAAAAAAACAAACGTGAGCAGAAGAATAGCATATAAACTAATAGTCGTATAAACAACGATTAGTTTATGAGTAAGTATATAATAATATGTTTCTGACTATAAAGCTGATTCTTTAGTTTCGTGGTTAATCTACCTCAGATCACAGGTTCAATAAATATCTGGAGACAGTCTTTTCAAAGTTCTAAAACAAGTTTTTAGTTAAGTTAAGTTACACAAACGTTAAGTTGTTGGTCTTGGTTTTATTATAGTCGTAATCATTATGGCCGACTCAGCCGCACTTGAGCAGCGTGGTGGGCTGAAGTTTTTAAACCAGCGGTATGACCACTACGCTAAGCTGGGACGTTAATAAGTAGCAAATTATTTCTATATACATATAGGATTTATATATAAACCAAATCTTAGTTAACCGACGCTCTTGATTTTTAATTTACTTATAAAATACTTAAACTATTTAAGTTTACGCGAGTAGTATATATTTAAATAAAACACTTCAACGGTTTAAAAAGCGGAATATCTTATTTAAGCTTATTTAAAAATGTTTAACTACGCTGACATTTCGGACGTTTATCTCCCCGTGACCACGACTGCTGCGGAACTATTTATAATATATATCGTGTTTTAAACCGTAAACATGTTTTATATAAATATAAAATAGTTGGGAATTACAATAATAATAAAAATTGTACCAGCTACGCATCATGCAAGCATATTACAAAATGATGCATCGGAATTTTCACCCTCACGTCGTAGTCAAATAATTCGCTTGACTAACATACCATGGGACGCCCTTTTATGAAGTGCATAACTAATACCATGATATTTTAAAACCGCATTTGGTGAAACAGTTTCATTCCTTATTTATATTTGACAATGCGCAAAGGACCGAAGTAGCCTAAGAATAGGCTAGGCTAGGCTACAGGAAAAGTAATGTGTGTTACTTTTTAACATATAATTTTTATTAAAGCGACATATATACCAAGTACTAGCCGTTTGCAAGATTAATATGTATTTTATTTTTTTGTGTCCGTTTCACGGATCCATTCTATAACAGGCGAGCAGTTGATCAGACTTCTGTGCCCTGCCCCAGCGAAACAATTTTTTGTTTCCCTGGGATTCGAACCCAGAACCTCTCGTGCTTAACGCAATACGTTTAACCATTTGGCTACAGAGGCAGCCACACACACATAATATATGATAATGGATACACGTTGACCAAATTTGATTACCACAAAAAGGGTTCCTGCGATCTTAAAAGAGGAATTAATATTTGAAAACTTTAATATGTTTCACATGTAGGCGTATAATTTAAATCCGTGTTGTTGCTGTGGAACGCTGATTTTTAAAGACATACTTTTTTGGATTTTGAACAGTCTTTGCAGTGCACTCAATGGAGGCCCTCAAAGATGAATAGTTTCCCCCGTTTTCACCATATTGTCCAACATTTTCTCTTTAGTATTCGTCGCCAAAATCCTTCCTCAATACATGTTCTATTCTACATAAAATGTATATTTTTTACAATTACATTTAAAATGTTCTCAATTATAGTAACAATTACAGTATAGATGTAATATAAAAACTACCCTCTGTTATGTTAGACCGCACAAACAAAGCAATTAGTGCTTTCTTTCTTTTTAGAAAGGAATTAATTACTTTTTTAAATACAACACTTTAAAAACGCGATATATTAGTTAAACTTATTTGAAAATGATTTTTAACTTCCAAATAAGTTTAACTAATATACCTATCGCGTTTTAAACCGTTGAAGTGTTTTATTTAAATGTGTACTACCCGCGTAAACTATAGACAGTATTTAATTACTTTTCATAAATAATTTCACTAGTATATAAAAAATAGGTTCATTTCAAATAATTTACACCTTGCTGTATCAATTGGTAAAAAGTTATCTTGGTTTTAATCGGTTTCAAAATGTTTTGCTCAATATTATCCCAGACTGTCGATTCATGTTTTAGAATTACAATCTACCCTCATCGATATATTCTTATTTCTATTTAAAAATCCAGATATTATCGTGCCAATGAAGGGGAAAACACTCCCCCTTATCTTACGTTAACAAGGCGCAGACAATGTTTATGAGAAAAATAATTACCCCTATATCGACAGGAGTTCGATTTTTAAAAAATAAAATTGTTTTTATACACCTCTCATATCACACTATATTTTATAATAAATAATAAAAAATTTTGGGATCCATTGTAGCTACTATTGTAAATGTTATTTTTTTTTACTGTAGTTACCAACCTAAAGGTGAGGTTTTTATATACAATGATACATAAAATCAATATAATTTATTAAATTGGGCTCACATCAAGAAACACTGAGTCAAAATCATAAAAAATCCATTCGGGTATATATATATATTTATTCATGTATAGATAACTAGTTACACTTAAAACATTAGTACCTACAGGTAGAAAAATCTCTAAATTTTCTGTATACCATTTCTTAAATTAAGGTTACTAGATGATCTGGCAAGAAACTCGCCGCCACTCTCTCGAGTTTTATATCTTTAAAAATAAAACACGTTAATGCTTAAAACACGAAATATATTAATTAAACTCATTTTCAAATGATTTTAAATACGCCCCAGTTTCGGGCTTTACCCAATATTTTTCGCGTTTTGAAACGTTAAAGTGTTTTATTTAAATGTGTACTACTCACGCAAACTACAGAACGAATTGCATCTTATTCTTGTTAAACCGGGTTCCTCGTAACCCCAACATTGTAAAAACTAAAAATAAAAATACACTTGACAAGTCCTTAGATTGGGTTTTTTTATAAAATGTGCTTGTGTAAAGGATTAGATAATATTTTAAAACATACTGTTACACTATTAATAAGTGTTGTCAATTGAGAGACAATTAGATGTGCGCGCGCAACAGGGGTGAATTTAGTTTCACGCTCAATCAATTTCTGCGCGTGCGCCCGTAGCCATATTGCACGCGTCAGATGTTTGATTCACCCCGGGATGATAAGACTAATTTATTCGACGGGCTCCAATAGCTAGGTTAGGTAGTAATATAATCAACTGCACGTGAGTTCGATCTCCATCGAGCTTGGACTCTAACTAGAAATCCGGATTTCAAAGGGGTGATAATATCGGAATTCTCGAGTTACGAACCGCCGTCCATAGATGCAAAAGCTGTGATAATTTACCTCCCATTAAATGAACCACATGCTTCTCTGCCTTCCCCTGTCATAAAAAAATATATGGCTAATAGTCAACGGGTCGTGGCTTCGATTCCCAGAGAGTTCAAAATTTTTCTAAATCAATTTATGATCTATCCAAGATGTAAGACTTCGTGTGGAAAATTAATAATGTTGAATGGTTAAACGTTCGATTAACGCACGACCGTCTGCGTCGACCAAGTGCTTTTCGGTTACAGTCTCTCGATATCTGATTGAGCAAAGACAAAACAGGTCTAGGTGTAATGTGGCTGTGGTGTTATGTGTATTACATCTTTAACAAAAAACCCTATTTATAGTCTGTCCTCCTGTCGTAAAGAAAAACAAAAATAAATCCTAGACTAAAAAGGCCCAAAATGATCTTGTCCACAGAACTACATTCACTGCATACCAGCTGGAAGAACTTGAACGGGCGTTCGAACGAGCTCCATATCCTGATGTCTTCGCCAGAGAAGAGTTAGCTCTGAAACTAAACCTTTCGGAATCAAGGGTTCAGGTATGAGAAACAATATCAATCGATAGAGTTGCTACGCAATTTCGTATTCAAATTCAACTTTTAACAGTTTTAAACGCAATTTTGTGACTTGACTAATATAAGACGTCCCAAAGTTTTGTATGCTTGTAAGCAGCTGTGGTAGCACTCCATTTAAATTTATAGTAAATTAATATATATGACACATTAAAAAAAATTGAATATAAGTTTGAAGAATTATATAGCATCGTTTGTCTGAGAAAGGATTGCTTTTGGACATTTCAGCCATGATTTTTATTTTCCCTTCAGTAAGAACGGTTCTTGGACTTAAATGAATTTCTTAGGGGAAAGAATTAGGGTAACCGGCAATTTTGCGATACTTGCGATTAGCAATTGATTTTTCAATGATAGCTTCCTAGTCGACTTATTGTTAAAACAAAATACTTTTAACGGTTTAAAACGCAAAAAGTATTAGTGAATAAAACACTTTATAAACCGTTAATGTTAAAACGCTTAGGATGCTTTGCAGTAGCCGTAGTCACGTCGGGCCGAAGTTAAAAATATTTTCAAATAAGTTTCACTAGTATTTATCGCGTTTTATGCATTTAAATGTGTACTACTCGCGTAAACTACAGACAGTATGTATTAGTGACATTCATTTAGAAATTATTTGAACGACGATGCCTTGCAGCAGCAGGACACGGGGAAGGGCGGCGTCCAAACACTATTTGACTTATTGTTATGTCCCACAGGTATGGTTCCAAAACCGAAGAGCAAAATGGCGAAAGCGGGAACCACCAAGAAAGACAGGGTACATCGGTTCCAGTTCACCAAGTTCCACGACACTCAGCGGTGGTTTCTCAGGCATCGGCGGCAACCTCCCAACATTCCCCCAGAACGGTCTTCCAGCCCCAGCGGACTCCTGGTCCTATCAGCACTCGTACGAATTATCCTCTCATCATTTACTATCATCAGGTAGCAGCGGTTACCCAGCCTTCAATGCGCAACCGGCCTATTCTTACACCACTGTCCTCAATGGGCACGACGGTCAGAATATGTTCGCGTCAAGGCATTACGATTACAGCGAAGGAAGCCCTCCCCCTATTGGAGTGCGTGACTACCCAATGATAGCTGCTCATTCACCGCAAATGGAACCCCATGGCCACGAAGACAAGTTGGACTATCGTAACCATGACCATGAGGATAAGTATACCGCTTGCGCTTTGCAAGAGGAGCCCCGGTACGGCGCGCCTCCAGAGGACTACGATAAATGTGGGATGGTGCCCCACGAGAAGCACTATGAGATAGATCGCCACCAGGAGATGGCGCAACCGGTGGTGGTGAAAATGGAACCCAGTCCCGGACAAGCTTACACGTCACTGCCCCCTTTTTTGAACTGAAATACTCTTTTTCGAAATTGTCTCACGATTAACTAATTTCGAAAAAGAGTATGATTTCTGTATTGTTTGTAGTTAACGCGTTCTCTCTAAATTAAATATTTTGACGGTTTAAAACGCACTTTTGCGAAGCATTTGTAATATCGTAGTGAAAAATAAGTTAACAAATATATTTCGCGTTTTAAATCGCTATTTAGTTGATTTATATTAGTTTATTCTACTTATGTAAGTAGTGTTGCTATCGAGGCACATAGTTTGTTAATTATGTTTGTATTTCTTAAGAAAGGCTAAGCTAATTTATAGACACACGGTAATACTAGGTATTTAATATACATTTTTATTATTATGCGAGAGACTTCCTTCCAGCTTCACCAGATGTAGACGGTAATTCTACTTTCCCACCACAAAAAACTATGATATAATTTAGAATCTTGCCAGACCCAGTGGACATTGAACCGACGGCCTGTTACTAAGCTATACAATGCTACACATGGGTAAACCCGTTTTGTGTAATGATAACACAATTTTTCACTAAACATAAAAATAATTGCTTAGTAATAAGTAAATTAATTCGTTAAAGTGTCAAGTTATAGAAATACAGTTTATTAGACATTTTTGCAATATTAAAATAAGTATATTCCATAGAATGTAGTAATCTATACTAATATATAAAGCTGAAGAGATTGTTTGTTTGAACGCGCTAATCTCAGAAACTATTGGATCGAATTGAAAAATTATTTTTGTGTTAGTTAGAGAATTTATTGAGGAAGGCTATAGGCTATAAGCGCTGTGAGTAATAAGAGCGATGAAAGGGAATTTTTGGGACAAGAACAGCGGGAAATGTCGAAAAAATGAGAAATATCATTGATTCTTGTGGGTTTCTATTGCGCACATTGCGGAAATGGTTCAAGATACCCAAAAAAATATATAGGATAGAATAATTTCTCTTTAAATGATCTAAAAATAGTCCGCGACGATATATGTCTATCTTATAATTAACTTGCAAGGACCACGGGACGCGGACACGACGCCGTGGGTAACAGGTTAATTATTGAGTGGAACAGGTTTGCAAAAACAAAAATTGATACCTAACATATTTACGAAGTCGCTGACTTAGCTAGTTGAATATGTAGGTACAAAATATTTAACTAGTACATGATCTAGGTGCACAGCAAAAACCAAAGAGACAAGTAGAATTTATGTTATAATGTAAATATATAGCTTTATATAAACAATGGTTTCAGACATGTACACGTTTAAATAAAACATTCTTTAACGTTTTAAACGCTAAATGTTACCGTTCACTTGTTTACAATATATTTTAACTACGGCCCGACGTTTCGGATGCTTTTCACCAAGCCTCGAGACTGGAGATGGAGGTGGTACCTAATGTCAAAGTATAATTTACGCTAGCGCCATCTGTTTAATCGTTTTTATTATTTGGAGGTTTCAAGACCCCGTGACCGCGGCTGCTGCAAAGCATCCAAAATGTCAGGCCGTAATTAAAATATACTGTAAAAGAGTTATAATAGATTTCGTGTTTTAAACCGTCAAAAGTGTTATATTTTAAAGGTTTTCGAGATTTTTCTGTAGTTGAAGCACGCTTAACATCGCAATGTCGAAAACCATTTCTTAATTAAGTACGACGGCTGAATATAATTAATTAATAATTAAAATATATTATTTTTGCAATAAAATTAGAATTCTTGTACTTTATAATATTGTAAAACTATTTGTAAATTGTTAGTACATAATGCAACTGTTAAGTATAAGTTTAAATAAGGCTGTAGTCTAATATAAAAGCTGTAGGTCGCTTACTACGAAGCATAGCTGAGTATTAGAATGATTTGATAAGATACCACTAAAACCAGAATGCAGCCTATAGCATTTATAGGAGACCAAAGCGTTGTAATTTTGCATTCCTTGTGCCTTATTAACTATTAGGAATTTATAATAAATAAATTAATATTATATCATAAAGAAATAGCTTGTCTGTATATAATATACAATTATCAATCTAAAGAATTTATCGCTTTGAAGTGAATTTTAATATTAATCTTACCTGTGTAAACTTATTTAAGAAAGTTATGTTTGGATCATCTAAAGATGAAGCCTTTGCTACAAAAGCTTTGTTTAAATTCAGAAGATAAAATAAAATAAATAATATAAAATATTTAAATAAAACACTTTAACGGTTAACGTAATGCGTTATATTAGTTAAACTTATTTGAAAATGATTTTTAACTTCGGCCCGACGTTTCGGATGCTTTGCAGCAGCCGTGGTCACGGGGAGACTAAAGATAGAGGATGTCTCTGACGTCGAAATAAAAATTGCTACGCTAGCGCCAACTGTTCCGTCGAAGTGGTATTTGATGTAACTGGCCGGGTCCTTGCAGAATAGACTAACGGCAATTTTGTAAGCACCCGGCCAGTATCGCCAAATACCAACTTCGACGGAACAGAAAAATTATTATCAAATAAGTTTAACTAATATATCGCGTTTTAAACCGTTAAAGTGTTTTATTTAAATGTGTACTACTCGCGTAAACTATAGACAGTATTTAATGTAGAATATACTTTATTCTCCGTAAATTTCAAAAATTGTCTAGATTCGTTAAAAATGTTTGTCTGTCTGTCCCTGATGATACAGACTAACTGAAAGAAGGCTACTAACTAATAGAATATCTTTAGTTTAAGTTAACATTTGTACTGTTATTTATAATTAGTAACGGTTTATTTTTACGCATTTAATTAAAAAACGTGAATTATGTGCCAAAAATAGTGTTTAGTTATCATAAAATAAGAATTTTTAAAGATAGTTAAGTAAAACACTCTATCAGGGTGTTAATTAGTATGTTTTGTACCTATTTCATCTTAGTATCTCTATTAAGTTCTTCAAGCAATACTTAGTTGTCGCAAGTTTAAATTAGTTTAAATTAAAATAAAAATACGTGCTTATTTATATTGTTTTATTCTTACCATATTTTACACATTTTTACATTGTCTTCCGAAGTATAAAACAAAAACATCTTCTATATTTTAATTCCTTTATTTACCTCATGTTATACTACAATGGCAAAAATCGGTCAAGTGTGAGTTGGACTCGAGCGAGGATTTCGTACTAAATTATACACTATTGTGGCCCGACATTTCGGATGCTTTGCAGCAGCTTGGTCACGGGGAGACTAAAGATGGAGGGTGTCTTTGACGTCAAATTAAAAGGTCGAGACGGTTATTAAACCGTCTCAACATTATATTAATTATAATATACATCGCGTTTTTAACCGTTAAAATGTTTTATTTAAATGTGCACTCGCATAAACTACAGGCAGTATTTAAGTCACTACTTGTCATCATTTTTTGATATCAAGTATAAAATAAAGTAAAATCAACATCATCTTGGTGAAATTGGGTCTTTAAGCTATGCAAATAAGTTGATCGATGAAATCCTAGCTAGAAGCATGACTTTTTCTATTCGCCGTATGTTCTCTCATACCATCTTGGTTGCTCCATATCCCATCACCACTAAAGTGGTACTTCTTCTCAATTTCATATAGAACCAGACTGAGAATCTGGCTGTCTGTGAGGCGGGAATAATTTAGATTGTTGTGAGTCTCTATAGGGTTATCTCTTGAAGCGCTATTGCGTATTTTCTGTATCCGGCTTATATGCCTCTCTATATCCGAGCTGAAAAGTTATTTATAGCATTAAAAACCCTCTTTCCAAACTGGGGGCATTATCAGTCACGTTTTTATATCTCTTTCACTGGAAGTTTTAGGAAAGTATCAGAAATCCTGCTATGACTTTTGATAACTATTTTTTTAATACACATTTTGGAAATATATTATTCAAATCAAAAATCGATTTTAAATAGAAAAAAAATACGACACGATCAGGAATTGAACCGGCACTCACAGCGTACGATGCTGTTCCTCTGTGGACGCCAGTTCAAGACTCCTGCCCGTGTCGTAAATTTTTTTTGGGTCGGCAGAGTACACCAGAAGGTACAACTAGACAAAAAATAAATTAACCAAATTTATTTACACTAGACGAGAAGTGAAGGACCCTGGTCCCAAAATAACAAATAGTTATATTATGAAAAGAAATATATTTAATGTTTTTTTTTTTCTGAAACTCTATTGAGCCAGTCGTTTATCAGCCCTTGACCATTTTAAAATCACCAAAAAATAATCATATTCAATCCAGCCATTTACACATGAGAGCGACAAACTTTATCTATATAAGTGATTTAACGACTCACCCAGGATACAAAAGCAGTTGACAATTATCTAATATGACCTGATCGTCGAAATATTTCTTCAGCATACATATATTGTCATGTACCACACTGATAGCTGTATGTAACCAGTACTTGTGACGCTTGAGTGTATTCACAAGTGTATCTTGATTATAATTCCCTTTGAGGGAAGAGAGGATATGTATTGCCATATCGCGACTGCAGACTCTACTTCCAAAATTACTGATATATCTAGAACAATGTCAAATACATACATAAAAATTATAAACTAGAATTATATTAACACATAATATATTGTGTGGGTGGGGGGCGGCAGGCAGCTCTAACCCCCCCCCCCAGATATGCCCATGCAGGTAATTATATAAGATACATACGTATTAAATATCTTCTGTGGAGCCACAAGGGTATTGAGACTGAAACACTGTTTTTTCTCCGATTCGATTTTCGTTAGTCTGTTTAAAACTTTCCGGTAATGAACAACCATTGATAGTATCTGTGGATAGAATTATACTTGTTTATTGTTTATGTATGTCTGTTATTTATGAGTGGTTCAAAAATGCAGTTTTTATATAAATGCTTATCTGTATGCAAGACACACAAATATATTTTTTTAATAAAAAATGTTTTTTCTTACTTCTCATGCTAATCTTAAGAAATAGGCAAATTACATACAGACCAAATTCAATCTAAAATTTAAAATAAGCAACAAAATTTAATGTGAGAGTTTTTAAGAGCTTTAGTATTCAAAAAAATAGTCGATTCCGAATTTTGGATTGTGTCCTAGCGCGACTTTACCACTTTCAAAACATTACAAAAAAATGTACAAGGTATAGAGCAGTATAGAAGTTTTAACTCCAGAAAAATAACATGAGTAAAATAAAATCATACATACTCTTGGATTGCTTGCGAGGACCTTAAATTCGTTCATTGTCACAAGGTCATTCAACCGGCTTCGAACTGTGTCAGGATTCATACAATACACTCTCAAGTATCGCTTCTGAGCTTCTTCAATTATTTCATATTCCTGAAATGAAATTGCAAAATTTAATAAAAACGAGTAAAAATATATACGTAGATTATCATGTACCACCAAACAAATAAATATAAGTCACCCAGAGTTTTTGGAGCAAGACCAATTATATAGAATACATTTAACGGTTAAAAATAATTTAAAAATCGAAAATAAATTGAAAAAAATTTTCGACTCGGGCAGGACTTGATCCGGCATCGTCAGCTTTCCGTGCTGTTGCTCTACCAATTGAGCTACCGAGTCCTACACCTCAATGTCGAATTTTTTCAACTTATTGATACATTTACCTAGCGCAATGTAATTTCAACCTTAACACTTGCGTATTAAGGTTCAATGTCTTATGCTTTGCAGCTTAAGAAATCATTGAAGATGAAATTACAAAGTTATAACGTTTGAAACCGTTAAATTGTTTTATTTAAATGTGTCCTACTCGCGTAATAGACAGTATTTAATTGTAATAACTTAATATTACGATTGTATTTAAATAGAACACTGTACGGTTTAAACGCGAAACGAAAAATTGGTTAAACTTATTCGAAAATTATTTTATTTAAATTATTTTAAGTAATATATGTATATAGCGTTTTAAACCGTTCAGGTGTTGTATTTAAATGTGTACTGCACACATAAACCACAGACAGTAGCATGATTGTTATCAAAACTTTATTAAGACAGGAAGATATAAATAGAGAAGACTACAAATTTACCCTCAGTATCTCCTTAATTTCAAGTAGTGCTCTGTAATTATTTTTCAAGATGGCAGGCACTAATCTTATTGCCTCTTTTATATCCACTCCAGCCAAGGAGTCCACGTTTTCTAGAATCAGCCGTGTGTTTAATGGGTCCGATGATATAATAAAACTGTTGTTTCTTATATATTTTCTGTCAAATTTTATAACATTTTCAGCTATATCTAAAGATTGGTGTATATCAACCATGGGTCTGTGCTTCAGAGGTAGGTTATTATTACTGAATTTTGTAAATTTATCATTCGTTATTCCTAATCTCCACTCCAAGTATCTTTGTAGTACACTCATGCGTACCGTTACTGTAACAGAATGATTTTTGTATTAGGTTCATGTGAAATCCCATGAGGTAACCGGCAGACATATTTCTATTGCTGTCAATGATTAATTCTAGAATCGGTGACACAGCATGAATGGCAAGGAATTTCACCTTTCATTTAGCCAATATGTTTCAAATTGTTACAGGTAATAAAAAATAAAAATCTTAGTTTTAAAAGGCAATATTTAAAGAAATATACTTCTAGAAATATTAAAAATTAAGATATGTAAGGGATATATGTTATAGGTTTAAGCAATATTAAAACAAAATATGTAGGTACTTACAAATATTAGTGTTCACATCAGAATACTGTTTCAAAAATTTCTCATTCTGGGGCCAATCTTGAAAAATATCTAACAATATTTGCTCCAAACATAAATTTGTGTTAATTAACCCTTGCTTTTTCAGTTTGGAAATAGTTCGAGATTTAACAATTGTGTTATATCTACAACAATTGAAAGATATTTATTTAAAAATACATGATTATAATAGAATAGTTGAATATTTTATGATAATCTTTTAACTCAAAATAAACAAATTATAATCTTGATTGTACCTTATTAAATGACTAGGAAGAATTTTAATGAATCCACATTCTTTTAAGATCTCACCATAGTTATCCAAGGATATTAGATTAATGCAAAATAAGTGTGGATTATAACAAGCCTCCTCAGCGGTGATTTCGAATTTCTTTAATATGTTTAAAGTGAGTTTCAAGCTTTCTGAAGTAGTTTTAAAAATACTTGGCTCTTTTTTCGTTAAATATTCTAGTTGTTGGGTTGGTATGGATTCACCTGTAAACAAATAAACTATTTAATTAACAAATTTTTAATCTTTATTTAGACTGAAATAAGAAAACAAACTAACCAGTAACATTCTGGTATAATGTTATAAATGGAGTGTCATTAACATTTAGAAAGAGATTTCTCTTAAGAAATAGATATGAACGCGTAAATGAGTTCTTCTGTAAAAAGCTTTTAGATAGCATTGTTCTTTCATGAAGTTTTAAGGTAAAAATACTATAAACTCGTTCTAGAGTCTACACATTTGTTTTGCAGGATATATCACAGTAGTTAATCTAATTGTATATTAGTGAGATTTTTTTCTAGATTACATTTTATACATATTAATTACAGTGTAAGAATTGTATTGTTTTAGAGCTTTAATTTTAAACTTTAAAATAATATAGGTTATACATCTATTATTGGTACATCTTGAAAAATGTAAACAAAGTTAGCAGATTATATTCTTAAAAACGTCGTCTATCAACGTTGTCCATAGAGTCTCTAAAATATTCATAGACAATACAGATTATTCTACATTCCATCAAAATATTTGACATTTAGATTTTAGGGACCAAGTACTTGCTCAGTAGGACCAAGCAAGGATGAAATTAAAATTATAACTTAAATTAAAGCACCAATAATAAATTGCGTATTACATTCTTTTAGTTTGACTGTATATATAGTGTAAACCTTGTTATCAAACCCTGTTTGCCTTGTTATTAATAAACTTTTAGAAACCACCCATAAAAGGTAATATTTAAAATATTATTCAATATAATATAATTTAAATGTTACTGAAAGGCACAGTTTATAATGATACTAAGCCAATACATAATCATTGGCCTAAGATTTTTTAAAACCAAGTCTTCTATTTATATTCTCTTATTATAATTTACATTTCCTTCAGATGGACTGGTCTGCTGTTTGTAATCATTTCAAGCAAACTTGGCTGACTACATTAATGAGTTGTATTCTGTTTTGTGGCGTCACATATTTCTTGATATGGGCTGAGGTATAGTTATTAATATTATGGGCACGACTATAATCTGTTACTATAAGTTTCATATTAGTTAAATTCAATTTCTTATTTCAGGGCCATGCCATTCAAAATAACTTGATGTTAGATGAAATAATGTCAGCAGCAGAGACCATAGATGTACATTCAAGTGATGAAGCACAAAAGTATGAAGGGAGAGTTGTTCATATTGTCGGACCACTAAGAATATTAGAACCCATATCTGAACCAGATTACAATATACAAGTTCTGGCTGTTAAGTTAAGGAAACGGGTTCAAATGTATCAATGGGTCGAAGAAACTACGTAAGTATTGGATAATTTAAGGAAATTGCACAAAATTGGCAACCTATACAAGTGTAGAATACAGAAATGGAAGCCCTTTCCCTTTAAACGCTATTAGAATTTGAATATTCAGGATACTAAAAAGATAGCTTGAAATACAAGAATTTAATCTTTGATAGGAATTTTACTCAAAAACGATTGCACCTATGTTGCTTGCAGAAAATTCTTGCCTACAAAAAAAACCTTACGGTGTAATGATTAAAAAGTGCTTGTTTTAAATAATTACAGAGAAACAGAAAACTTTATAAGTGAACATGCTGATGAATCACAAAAAACATACTGGTATCGCAAAGAGTGGAAGGATTATGTTGTTGACTCAGCTTTATTTTACATTCGCCCTGGCCACCATAATCCTACTTCTATGCCTATGTTCAGTGAAACGCATATTGCTGAGAATGTTAAAATTGGATGGATGTTTTTAGGTAAGTTGGTATATAAAAAAATGTCTTTACTTATTTTTTCTTCTTTATAACATTATTGAAGCTTTTAATAAAATAAATGAATCAAATCAAATTTTTAGTGTATATAATTGTAATATAATAATACCACAGGGACAGACAAATTACCAAGACTTCCTGAATTATGTTTATAGAAGACAAGTAGTTTATTTGTGCCTCACCTGACTAAAACAAATTTTATAGAGTTTGAAATTATGACCTATCATGCTTAATAAAACATTAAAAATGCACAACATGTGCCTATATATTTAAAATACTTTTCCTATTATAGTTTTCTTTAAATTAACTTCTAGAATGTTTTGAATGATTTGATGTGGATCACCTGGCCTTTTATTAGTGTCTTCAAAAGAAATAACTTCAAGAAAACACACATTTTATGTACTTGGGCTTATAAATAAATTGTTAATATGTTACTTTATACTTCAGGTATAGATGTGAAACGAAAGGTCAATGATTATTACGAGATATGGTCCGATTCAAGACCCGAACGCAGTGATATAAAACTACACTCAGGATTCTACTATCATGGCAATAGTGCGCTGGAGCATGAAATTGGTGATTTGAGAATTCACTTCTCATATGCTGGAAGAGAAGATGACATTGTTAGTAGATTTTAATTCATTTGACCATTTAAAGGTAGTCACAGCGATACATAAGATTGTTTAATTTTTTACTTAAATTTCTTTCTGTGTATTAAAATTAGTCCAGATTATATGGTATCAGCGACAATTACATAATATTTTAATAATTTGAAATTGAAGCAAAGATTTAAAAAGTTCTATTCATAATAATTAATCAATTAATTTTCAGTATACAGCTGTCGGGGTCGTTGAGAGTGGTACACTGCAACCCTACAACCCAGCCAACTTCCCCTACGCTGATCCTCTATCTCTTCTTCGCAAGGGCTCATACAGCTTGAAGCAATTGTACGATCTAGAGAAGAGGGATGCCAATACTCACACGTGGAAGTACAGGATGCTGGGCTTCGTGCAAGTCTTTGCTTCAGCCATGACTCTTCATCCTGAATGGCTTACACTGTGTGAGTATATTTTTATGGTCATCTAATATTTCATGCAGTATTTTTTTATTTGACAGCCTCTGTAGCCAAACGGTTAAACGTATTCCTGGGTTCGAATCCCGGGGACACATTAAATTGTTGGTCGGGCAAGGCACAGAAGTCTGACTTGCCCGTTAAAAGAACGGATCAGTGAAACGGACATAGATTTAAAGAATGTTTATCTTTAACGAGGATTAGAATCTCGGACTGACGGGGCTGTTTATAACTGCACCAAGCAGGCGGCCACACTAGGCCGGCCTATCCAGTTATTAAAAAAAGTAAAACTATAGTTTGAGACAAAACGTTATTATATATTGTCTATAGTTTACGCCAATACACATTTAAATAAATCACTTTAACGGTTTAAAACGGATATTAGTTAAACTTATTTGAAAATGATTTTTAACTACGGCCCAACGTTTCGGATGCTTTGCAGCAGCCGTGGTCACGGGGAGACTCCACACAGATAAGTTTAGCTAATATATCGCGTTTTAAACCGTTAAAGTGTTTTACTTAAAAATTAAAATACGTTATTATTTCAAAAATCAATTAATATATTTCCCGTTTTAAACGGGGGCTCCATTTGTGTTACAGTTTTGCAATGTAAATGGGTGTCCAGCAATTTCCGAAGGTCTTCGAGGCTATGGGTCAATTTGGTCCTTTCGTTTTCGTACACTCTTCTCGTGATCTCTATACCTTGGTAAGTTGCGATTAGATTTTTCTAACAAATTTGCAATAGTACAATTTTTAACTGTTTAAAAGGCCATCCGGTAACCACGGCGGCTACAAAGTATTTGAAACATACTATTGTTAAAATTACTGCTACTATGTTTCGTGTTTTAAACCGTTTGAAGAGCAACCCGTTCAAGTCCTGCTCGAGTCGAAAATTTTTTCAAAAAAATTTCTTAATATATTTTAGAATATACTAAACTTTTATATTATTGTTATTGTAAGTTGAAGTAAGTACCTTTTTTTGTTGTCACGCATACACATACACGTGTTTGCTTGGAAGAGATAGCTCTTTAGCTATAAAGTTACCCTTTCTTCTTAATTTCCAACAAGTTTTATATATTTGTTATGTTTTATGACAATAAAGAATATTTGTATTAATTAATATATTCCGCGTTTTAAACCGTTTAAATGTATCTCTCGTAAACTACCTACCCAGTTAATAAGCCTTTTTTTATTTCTCTCCTCCTGTACTTCACGTTGCCTGGAAGAGATCGCTGCTTAGCGATAAGCTCGCCTTTTATTTATAACTTAGTATGTAAGTGTTTGTCTCTCTTATATATTTATAATGAAGCTGTAATAAAAATTGTTTAACAGGTTATTCCACAAGGCCACGTTCGGCGCTCTAGTCCTCGGTGGTGCCGTGCTGCCGCTCCTTCATTACTCCACGTTCCTCGGACGCGAACCAGATTCCCGCTACGCGAGGTACGAAGACCGATGACCCCCCGGACTGCACGCCATGCTGCCCCAACTAGTGGAAATGTGCGTAATGGCACTCACCTACGCGTTTATAGCGTTTCAAGTCGTTGACAGATGAATGAGGTCAGGTAACTCAGGTTAGGCCCTGTTTCACCTATATATAGTGACATTGATTTTTGCAAACCCCCTTCATCGTTATAAACTTAGCTGTAACCCACGACGTCGTTCGCGTCCCCTACCGTCGTTCTTGCAAGTTAATCTTAAAATATAGATATATAGCGTTGCGGATGATTTAAAAAGAAATCATTCTTTCATATTTTTTGGGTATCTTGAACCATTTTTGCAGCGTACGCCTCGGAAACCCATAATTAGGAATAATTTTCCAATTTTTTTTTACATTTCTCGCTGTATCTTTGCTTGTATTAGTCACAGGGCGATGATTTTTCTTTTATGGATGATTGTGTTTTATAGCCTAAAGCCTTCCTCGATAAATTCTCTCACTGACACTATTTTTTTTCAATTCGAATTTGTAGTTCCTGACATAACGCGCGCTCAAACAAACTTCAGCTATATATTATATATTCGTATAGATTTATTACTTACGGAAGAAATAATTACGATTTTTTTTAATATATACGAGTTTTAGTTGTTAGATGTAAATTTCTAGTTCTGTAGCAAATGACAACCCCGCCGGTCGATGCGCCCGCGGCGAACATAGTTTAATGTTTATAGAGAGTTAGAATCTTCCCCTGAAGGAGGCAGTTTTCATATTGTATTTTACCCCCATTAAAAAAGTTCCTTTAATTCACTCTCAACTACTACAGTTCTTTTTCAAATGAAATTATATTGACATTCAAAGTTTTACTCGTTATAAAAATATTTTTAACGATGTGGCGGATCGGACGTTAACTGGGGATTTGTAGACAAAGTTGATATCGATTTTAAAGATTGACAGAAGATAACGGCTTTAAAACTGCTGCATCCACAGCGTTCCGTGCTGTTGGCCTGCTGCTCTAGTCAATTGTGCACGGAACCCTGTGGATGCCGGTTCACGCCCGTGTTAATATTGATATTGGAAGAGATAGGCGTTACCATTTGTATCACTATACACATCTTGTTTGTATAACTCAGTTGTATGTATTGCATAAGCAAAAATAATAAAGACTTTTACTCATAACTGTATTTAATTTTCAATGTATTGCAATGTCATCATGGCCAATCTTCAATCATCAAATCAGAAGCCGTTCTCAAAGAAATCTTTCGGTATATCTAAGTTTCCAAAATCCGGAATATTACCAAAGGAATTGGTGATTTGGGTTTTGAAATTGTCAAAATTGTTATTTAACTTGTTCGTATTCTTTTTGTATATGTATCGTCCTGGGTATGACACTGTGTCCACTTTACTGTAAATATCCTGGAAAGAGAAAAGGTGTGAAAATGATATCTCCAAGAGACAAGGCACGTAATGTCGGTCAACGTTATTAACACTAATTTAGTAAATGTAATTAAAGCCTGTCAACCCCTACTGGGCCGGCGTGTGGTTTTCTGTGGGTCTTCTGTCTCATACGAGAGAAGACCCAGCAGCGCGGTATCTAAATGTGGAACAAAAACGTTGATATATCGGTTTGCACATCCCACCTAAACGTCAGCTATTAAAATCCCAGTTCGTTACCAATAAAAGTACTGTGCGCCTATCTAACAAACTGTCCTACAGTGGAGGCAAATGTTTTTGACCATTGGGCAGTTTTTATATGAGGCTGCTAGAGGCTGAGTGGGCCAATAACAAAAAAAAAAACATGATTTTCAAAAAGAAGGAGAATAAAAATGCGCAATCAACTGAGGCGCAAAAGAATTCCTACTATTATTTGCGTAAGAATTATGTTAACAATTTCTTCGGCCACTATGCTCTTGTAGATTAGCAAAGACTATAATAAATAAGTTAAGTCATAAAACTACAGTTACGCTACTCTGCCTCTAGCGGCTTTTAGATATAAAGAAAAAAATTTAAGATTCCCTTAAGATAGCGATCGAATCCCAGCTGTAGGACCTAATAAGGGGACGCCAATTCCACCCTTACCTGAACACCACGCATATCATCCTCGTGAAGGCTGAATATCTTCACAGATAAGTCGTAGACCGGAAACATCATAGCCCCAACTACGTCAGTGTGGCCTAACCCCAAAACGTGTCCGATTTCGTGAGCTGCTGTCTGGAAAAGGTAAACGTGTATGAATTCCCCCACTTCCGAATATCCAAAGCCGAATTAGGTCGACCGCGCATCTTGCTTAGATGTTATATACACATTTTTGTGTCTGCTGGTCCTTCGTATTTTGTATTAAAACGGAACTTGGTAGATGTCATTTTATAAGAGATTTTTTATATATTTGTGGGTGAATAATTTTATGGATGTAATCCTCCATCAATTATATCATGTGGTTGACGATATCTGACAATATAATTTGCTAAAGTAATCCAGTAGCTGATGGTATTGTCTGTAATATGTTATTTTTTATCTATGATTGTTGTTGTTAAAAGTGTTTTTAAATATAAATATTTCTACGCTTTTTACTATTTTCGTTTTGAATTAATATAATATAGTTTTCTCTGTTTATTGTTGCCACTTTCTTAAATCTAGTTGGATAAGCACTGAACCAACATTTCAAGCATTTGGCAAAAGATATTGACTAAGCTTGGCTGGTTATTTTTATGTCCTAATTGTAATTAAGTCTATGAAACTACGTGTTTAGATTTCATACAATTAGGCGTATATCAAAAACCTTATAATCTCTACCAACTCGACTTGACTCGGTAGCTCAAAATAGATTTTTAATTTACCTAGTGCCATCGTGTACGATAACAAAATATTAAAGTGTTCAATGTGTTTGAGAAGAAAAGAAAGAATCAAGCAGAGAAAAGATTAATGACGCTGTTTACATTATGCAAATGCAAATTTATTGTAAATTAGGTTTGGCCGCTGACGTAACGAAAAATTCGATATTTTGAATTCATTAAACTTGACGTCAGTGTATAATAAAGTTATTATAAACCTAAAGAGATTATTTGTTGGAAAGTTTTTATTTCAGGAACTACTGGTTCGAGTTCAAAAAAATATATTTTGGGTTGAAAAAAAACATTCATTCATTATCAAGGAAGGTTTTAGGCTATAAAACATCAGGCCGTGGCCAATAGGAGTGAAGAAACAGTGAGAAATGTGGAAAAAATGGGAATAATTATTCATCTTTCAGGGCTTCCGTTGAGCTGCGAAAACGGTTCAAGAAACCCAAAAAAATGTATATGAAAAAATGTGTCTTCTTTAAATGAACTAAAAAATGTCCGCGGCAGTGTATGTTTATCCTTTAAGATTAACTCGCAAGAACGAATGGACGCCGACGTTGGGTAACAGCTACAGCTTATAAAGCTGCGGCTACGCGGACAAAGTCGCGGCCACAGGTAGTAAAGTGTAAAACCAGTTATTCTTCTGTAGTTATTAAAACGTTATGTGCAACATCGGAAACCTGTCAATAAGATCAAAAAATTGTTTGAATCATAAAAGTAAATGAATGATAGCGGATTTGGTGTTCGTCTGACATCCTGTTTTTCCCTGGGGAGCATGGGGTAGGCAAATTTCTGTGTTTCCCTGGGATCGAAGGCAGGACTTCTTGTCACATAGTCCTTGCGTGTTTAGAATTTGGTTAACCCTGGTTTGTATTTAGTACTTACTTGGAAAAGGTTTGGCACTCCTGACGTAAAGTCTTGCGACCACGGTATGGCGTCGTTTAAGGTTATAATTGTAGTTTTGGCGTTCAACTGAAAAGAGAAAATGAATTCAGAATTGAACTTGTGATCATTTGTACACATTAAATAAATATAAACGGTTTAAAACTCGATATATTCGTTAACTTATTTGAAAATGATTTTTAACTTCGGCCCGACGTTTCGGATGCTTTGCAGCAGCCGTGGTCACGGGGAGACGGGGAGAATAAGTTTAACTAATATATCGCGTTTTAAACCGTTAAAGTGTTTTATTTAAATGTGTACTACTCGCGTAAACTATAGACAGTATCATTTTACCATTTATAACAATAAGTATAGAGTACGATTTTGTTGTATGGTTAATTAATTCTTTCTTATCATTTAATGTTATCGAGCAAGAATTCGTTATATGGCATACCCTTAATTCTTTCTTTTATAGGGCATATAAAACAATTTTAACGGTTCCAAACGCAAAACATATATGTATTACTTAACTTATTTTTAATTATTTCAACTACGTTCTGACGTTTCCCCTCGTCATCAGAAACGTAGGCCGTTAAATTAATTTTACAGATAGATTTTGCGTTTTAGACCGTTTTATTTAAATGTGTAGGTACTACTCGTGTAAACTATAGACTACATACTTATAGTTAGTTTTAATACGTTATACCAATTTACATAACAACATTATTCCATCCATTTAACATGATAGTATGTAATATTAATTATATGGCTACGTTAATATTTTATTACTATACCTATATTTTAAATATTATATATTATAAAATAAACTTACTGTATTTCCAAATATATGTGAGTCCAGTCTGGGCGCTATCTCATCAAATCTAAAAAATGTTTAAAAAAGAATTACAAAAAAAAATAAGAAAACAAACTCGAAAAAATTTTCAAAGAGATATGCATAATTATGCCAACTCAATTTCAAATAATCTATTAATACATAACATTGACAATTCTAAAAAATACGTCGCGTTATAGTTTGGGTTATAAAACCCGCTTTGTTTATTTTTTTTATAAGTAGTAGACACAGAGGACAGACCAGTGCGGAGTTCATTAGATGGTAGGTGGTATACCCCAGACATATAACATCTTAGCATGATGCGTTGTTAATCTATTTAATTATATCATGTTTCAATACCTTATCTCGATATCCGTTCGCCCTTTGTCCTTCTTCGTGAACGTCACTCCGGCGGAGTCAGACCAAACCGAAAAAGCCAAGAATATGATGGAGTCCACTTCTGACTGACTTACCGAGGACGAGTACTTCACGATTTTGTATGTCAGATGTTTTTTGGACCAGTTACCTACAAAAAAATAATAAGATAATATCTATACTTATAATTTGACGGGTTTGTTGGTCTAATAGTAACAATGTATTGCTAATAATCACCAAATGCAACCTGTTCCTAATTTTTTAATTTAATAATAATTTCTCTGATACATGTTGGACTTCATATGGAAATCTGGTTATTAAATTTCATCGAAATCCTCCTTAAGGCAAAATAAAGATTGCCATGTCAGCCGGGTTATAGTATAATATGAAAAGAGCTCTTCCCCCATCCTTCTATAGGTTACCAGCTAATCCGGCAAAATAAAAAAAATCCTATTACAATCGTAACCAATGATTTATGAGTTGAATGATTGTAGTATCCCTTACTATAATTTAAGTTCTAAAAAGGTTAGACTGTATATTTAATTAAACAATTTTGTTTCTTTTTTTTAAGCCCCTTTAACTTAAGTATTCGGTATTCGGCCGAAGCCGAACAGGTAGCATACCGAATAGTAACGGACTATTCGTTACGAGCCTACTGTAACCCTTTTTTTGTTGTAATAAGCCTGTTTTTTTTACTAAATTATACCTATTACGTTTCCGTGTGATCTGACATTAATCCAACTCGACACGCGACGAAGCAGAACTTGCGTTATTCAAGACGATTTGACGTCATTTTGAAATTAGTATTTTACGTAATTCATACAACTTTTTTTATTACGCACTGCGCCCGCGACGATATCGGTGCGGAACGAGGATTTGTTGCGTGTTTTTTTTTCTTAATTTGGTAAAAAATAAACTGTTTATAGTTTCTTTTGTTAATAGCTTTTTATGCAAGAATCAGTAGCGCCTTGGCCTACATACAGTATTTTTTCTGCTTCTCTATGTTTTAATGTGCTTATTAAAAAAAGTGTCTACTTATAGAAGTTACGATACCATACAGATAAATGCACACGACTTTCAAAACCTTTCTTGTTTCTTTTATTTAATTAATTTATGTATTGTTTACATATCGCCCAAACTTAATTTCTGATTATTTTATGTGTGAGGCAATTTTTATTCACATTTTTGAATGATCTTTGCACGTTTTTTGTAAAACTTGATTGAGGAAAACTGTAGAAAAATTTAGGACAGATTCGTTGTCAGTGTGTATAGATTTTGGTAAAAACAATTTTTTACCAAAAAATTACCGACTTCATACAGAAAACTGTGATAAAACAATTAATTCGCTTCGCGTGAATTAAAACCTCTTTCTTATTTAGTTAAATGCAAACGATTTAATAAATAATTTTGAAGTTAGTGATGGAGTTTTTGGAACATTATTACTCGATAGTCTTGTCGTCCTTACGATTTTAGACGTGCCCATTATACCCTGACAATCTTATCTTAATAATTCCAACAAAATAGGGAATCATCGAAATCGGCTCGAATTTAAAAAACTTTTACCGGTTTAAAACACGAAATGTATTAGTTAAATTTATTCAACTGATACATTTTGCATTTTTACTCTGACATTAGAGACGCCTTCCATCTTTAATCTCCCCGTAACCACAGCTGCTGTAAAGCATCCGAAACGTCCGGAAGTACTTAAAATAACTTGTTAACAAATTAACTATTGAATTTCGCGCTTTATAGCGTTAAAAGTGTTTTTTTTTTAAATGTGTAGTACACACATAAATTAGTCACTATTAAAAAACCACAAAGTTTTGATCGAACAAACATAAAAAAGCTATATATATATATATATATACGAATCCTTTTTCTGTTGGTTAAAAATAATGATATTAAAAACATAACAATTAACAGAGCAACAAAAATGATTTACCATTTACAACGTATCGCCGCCGGCGCCGGCCCATAGCTGTGTCTTTTGTTTGGCATCTGTCCTTCTCCATCATGTTCTTAGTGGTATCGTCTAGCATACCTGAAAATGTCACACGCTGTTATTGCAGGAAACATAGAATTTATAACGATATGATGTCTGAATTCTTCGGTCAATTCACATAAAGTACTTAATGATTTTAAAGTGGTGATTTAAAATTATTGCTTCTTCCGTTCCAGGTCTCTTGTTTTCCTCGTTTATCTTGAGCGTATGACATAAGTTCAAGGAAATTAAGGAGTTGAATAGCTATAAGTTGCGAAAGGGTGAACAATTTGCAAAATTGATATTGTAAGGAAACAACTGGTGGCAACAATGGGCTCGGACCCAACTAGGAATGTTTATGATAATTCTAAATAGAAAAAAAATCTCTTTTGTAGTTTCCGCCCCGTGGCTCCTTCATGTGATAAACCAAAAGATCCTGGGTTTAAGTACGGAGGAAATCTAAACAGGTTCCGTGTGACAGGAGAACATAAATATCATTTTAAGCAGACCCAGAAATGTGTCTGTACGTTAAGGGAATTCAGAGTTATTTTTTTCTTATAATTATTAATTTGTTACCTTTTTGGTTTGATAGGAAATGTCCTACGCTGAATAATAGTTATCATGAGTAACTTAATTGCAAAGAGCAACAGACGCTTTTATCAAGGGTTCGAGTCCCGCCCGTGTCATACTTTAAAATTAACGTAAGTACCTAATTTAAATAAAATACATTTATTGGTTTAAGACGCGTCATATATTCGCAAGTTATTTTCTATTTATTTAAACTTCGACTTGACAATTCGGATGCTTTGCAGCAGCCGTCGTATATTTCGCGTTTTAAACCATTTAATTTGTACTCGCATCAACTACAGACAACGTGTATCCAAACTAACCTGAAGCACCAATTCGAACGTAGTTTTGGAAATTTATTAAAGCATTTCTGAATGTATCGTCATTCACGTATGAGTTCCCATTGGAAGACCGGAGGCTGGACCGTCTCAAATATCCAAACTTAATGAGATACAACTGAAATAAACAAAATTGATTTAGTCTAATGGTAGCAATATGTGGCTAATAATCATCGGGTCCAAAATTTTTCTAATAAATTTTTTTTTTTTTTTAAAATTTTTGGGGTTTTTTTGGAAATTTGGTTTTTTTTTTGGGGTTTTTTTTTTTTTTGTTGTGGGGGCCCCCCCCCCCCCCCCCCAAAAACCTTTTTTTTTTTTTTTTTTTTTTTTACAGTGTGTGGATTTCAAAATATCTAATACCAAAGGCCAATAGGTCGATAGCGTTTTTTTAGATGGTATGTGGCTGGTTCGCCTACAATCAAGTTAACTGCTTATGCTTGTCTGTCTCCCTCTATCATTATATATATATAAACTCTATTATAATATATAAAAAAATGGATATCCTTGTCAAATTTAGAAAACCAGCACGGTAAGAGAAAAATTCCCTCTTAAAAGTGATCATTAAATCACCCACACCAATTTTATATCCTAAGTATTTTTAGTTATTTCAAGTGTGTAATCTTTAATATCTAGCAAAAATAGACAGGAAATAAATATTTATAGCACAATACCATTTTTGATGTTAAAAAAAAAAAATAAACGTATTTTTTTGTTTTTTTCTTCGTCGTCAAGGCGACAAAACAATATGAGATTTGTTTTAAGAGGCTTCTGTACAATAAACTTTGAAAAGGGTTACAATATAAAAATTTATGTATTTACTTAAACAGATAGCATCTATCCAACATATACACGATTTTGATTACTCAAACTTTTTTTCAAACGAACATAATTGTATGTACTGTACGTTATTGTAGTAGATTACCATAAATAGTTATGTGGTTAAAAAATACTCGATTCTTGACTACGCTAAATTAACTCACCGCATATCTTCTATCATTAGACGAAAGGTACAGGCCGTGAACGAAATCACAGAGAAAACAGAGGAGCACGGTGAGGGACAGTGTGTTTGCCACTCTCATGATGGCTTAAGGATGTTCTGATTGCAAATAAAAGTTGCTAAACTGCTGCAAGCGTATATAAGCAGCGCGTAGCAGCTGGTCGCGAGTCTCATGCGTGTTTTCCTTAATCTCATTAAAACACGTTTACAAATGACAGTGTGGCGAATGTTTGGTGTCTCCCAGTGGGGTAAACCACTGTTTATCCCACATTAGACGGTGAGATTTTTAATCTAATCAACATAAAAGATTATAATTACATTATTGATGTCGTGGGAAAATCCAAATGCAGGTTATTTTGAGTATACACACAATAATTTAATACTGTCTGTAGTTTACGCGTGCAGTACCTACTCATTTAAATAAAACACTTTAACGGTTTAAAATGCGATATATATTAGTTGATGTTTCGGATGTGTTGCAGCAGCCGTGGTCACGTGTCACTAAAAATTAAATAAATAACAAATAAGTTAAGTAGCTAATATATTACGCGTTTTAAAACATTAAGTTGTTTTTCTAATTATATGTATGAGATTATTAGCTACGTCTTGGTATTAGGCATGTGTTAGTGAATTAATTTATTAATCTCTCTCTTTGCTACGATTTTCAATAAGACCTGAAATTTCGTTCCTCGAAATTCATTGTTATGAGTTTGCCTTCTTATATTATGAGTCAAAGGTCTTAGAAGTAATTAAAGCATTAGTCATTATTGTTGTAGAATTCATTAATCATAATAATTTTAAACGTTTTATAATTATAAATACCTACATATATGTATATTCAGTAAACACAAAGAATGTAATAGTATCTACCACTTGCTTTACCTAATAAGCAAAAAACGTTTCTCTTGTTCTACTTTCTTTTCAAATATAATATATTCATTAAAAATATGTTTAAAATATTTCATATGTTATAAACACAAATAAAAAATGTTATCTGGTTAGAAACAATGTCTTATCAATGTTTAACATTCTTAAAAATCTATTCAGACTGAAATAATTGCTGCTCTCAACAATTACAGGATACAGTAGCTCCTGTAAATTAGAGAATTCTGAAAATGTGGATCCCGCCTCAAGTGTTTTAAGAAAATATGTATTTAAGAAGTGTTATCAATTTAGAAATAGTGTAAATCTGTCTCAAAGTACAATTAAATACTTATATATCTATGATTTTTTGGCTTAACGTTGGTTAAATCTGCCATTTTGTATTTGGGGTCTATCTTAGTTTTTATTAAATTATATATTGAGATCAAACAAACATATTTCTTACTCTGATTTTATTTGTCTCAGAATTGAAACTTAAGACGATCTATTTAGCGCAATGCTACGCTGTAACCTTGTTATGCGTTAAGGTTTTCGCCCTATGAAGGCAGCTAGAAGTTAAATTGGACAACAATAACATATACATATAGGGATAATATACCTATTATTGCTTATTCTCAATTAAATGAGAACATGTATCACGCGATTTCTTTTATCAGCTGCGGTTTGGCATTACTGTTAATACCTATATCCTGTGTTATTAGTTATTGTTGTGTTTATTTTCGTACAAAATCTTTTACCAAGTAACATGTGAAGTTAGTTTATATATATAAATTAAAAAATAAGTATAAAAAAGTTAAATTTTATATCAATGTATAAATATGAGCAGATTAAAGTCCTGATTTTGACAAATTTTCTTTCGAATTACTAATGATTGAATGGATTTGCACGTATTTCAACATAAAACGTTACAGTATTTCGTCATAAATAAAAGGTAACTGATTAAATTTATTTTTAATATAATTGAAGTAAATTATATTTATCTTTATAAATCTTAGTAAAATGCAACAAATCTATAGGTACTTTTAAATATCGTCTATCTTAGCGCGTTAAAATTACTACGCCAAATACAACCACAGACGTTGTTGACCTTGGAATGCTTCATCCACAGAGATACAAAAAATTTAATGTATTTACAAATATTATATTTATTTACCCGCCTGTGATTTAATTTAAAAAGGTTGTTTTAATTGAGTTGTTTAAATTATCTTTCTCACTAAAATGACTTTAGAATAACTAAGACGCAAACTAACTTGTATACTCTGTCCGTCATTTCAAGATTTTTTAAACACTGTGGTAACTGGTAAATAGTTGTAACATTTTCTGTTTTCCAATTAAATAACCTATATTTATATTTATAAGTTTGTTTCTTTATAATTATTTTATCAAATATAATATACTAGTCACATATTGATATGCCTCCAAAAAAGCAACCCGAGAAAGGCAAAGGTAATTCTGGAGCAAAAAGCGGAGCAAAATCTAGCGGCGATTCAAAAGGTTAGAAGAAAAGTTGTCATAATTTAAACATATCGACAAACGTTTTTTTTTTATATAAAATAATATGTACTTCTTTTAAATATAGAATCTGCCGGTAAAGAAAAAAAAGGTGGAACCGCTGTCAAAGTCCGTCACATACTTTGTGAGAAACAATCAAAATGTTTGGAAGCTTTAGAGAAATTGAAAGCCGGCCAGAAGTTTCCTGATGTAGCTGCTGCTTACAGTGAGGATAAGGCGCGTCAGGGTGGAGACCTCGGCTGGATGACGCGCGGGTCCATGGTGGGACCATTTCAAGATGCAGCATTTGCTTTACCAATATCCTCAGTAACAAGTCCTGTTTACACTGACCCTCCGATAAAGACTAAGTTTGGGTATCACATTATTATGGTAGAGGGGAAAAAATGAGAGACACAGTGTTTGAGTTTGAATATTTCTGGGCCATACTCTTGTTATTCATTATGGAACGAATTTGCTGTTTGCAAGAACAGTTTGATAAGGATTTTTCTATGTTGCCAGATCCTCAGAGATCTAATGAATCCCTTATATCAAATATAGAAGACTTTGCGAATAGAGAGTAAGGCCTTTTTATATGTTTCTATATACATTATATGCTTATAGAATAGATTTTGTTAATTTTGAATGATTTATTTGAGAAAAGCATTACTTCAAACGAAGCAAACTTAGTTATCTTGGGATAACATGCCTTTCTTTTAGGAACTGTATAAACTTAATAATTCATGTAATTTCAATTTTTCCAGTTTTGGTCTGAAACTGAGCTTTCTAAGACTATATCGGTTAATGCATGTAACAATGTTATTGACTGTGGTGTACTTCTGCAATATTTGCCTCTGGTTTATCATGATGAAGAAGCCTTCAAGTAAAACTTACGCTTATAAATTCAGATTGTTATTTCCTATGTAAATATATCTTTCTATAACATTATTTTAATTTTTGAATTATGTCTTTACCATGATTTGTTGGTCTAGTGGTTAGTGCTGTTGACTACAGACCACAATGTCCCAGGATTGAATCTTGGATCCGGACTGGTAGGAATTCTAAAATAAAATCTTCTACCACTTCTAAGTTTTGAACTAGGTGGTGTCGTTATTCGGCCTGCTTAACTTGGAATTTTAAAGGCAATTATTAGAGCAGCTTGGAGGGTCTAAGGTCTTTGGAGCCTCTATGTGAGAGGCATCAACTGTTCAGTTGTTGGACTATAACAGGTGGAAACAAATTAAGGGGCTACTAAAATAAAAAACCAAATACATAGATCTATTTAATGACGCAACATACTCATCTATAATAAATAACTTAATCTAAAGATCAGCTTGAATGAAATACAATGTATACTGTTCACATCATGAGGTATTACTTATTGTTAAATGTTTAAAAAAAATTTTTAAAGGGAAAAAACGGAATATTTGTATGATCCTGCCATTCTATTAGACTCTTAAATTGGGGTTTGTGTATCGGACATATTTTAGGAGAGCATCGTTCTCTTCGCACACAAATGGTTTGACGTGATGGCAGGCAACGTCGTGCCAGTGGATGCCGTCGTTGTAGAAGTTGTTCAGGATCGCAATGCAGTGTTCAGCTGCGCCACCCTGTATTAGCTCCTGAAAAAAAAAACAAAATTAGAAATCTGCTTAGATGGAAAAAAAATGACACGGGCGGGACTTGAATCTAAATCCACAACGTTCAGTGCTGCTATTCTAAACACGAGCTACCTTTATGGCCATCATGTGCCATAACATGTTAAAATAATAAAGCTACCATACCAGACCACAGATTATAATAGTTTGTCATATTTTCGTTCTTTGATTTTTAATAGTATTTTAGGGTGAATTTTCAGTTGAGAAATAAAAGTCTTAGAGTCAGGAGGTTTTCTTATACCAAATCGTCGCTTTAACTGATTACAGGAAAAGTTATGTCATAAATAACAGTTATGTCTTCAAGAATGATCACAGTGTTGTATAACATAGCTAGTATGTGGTATAATGATAAACCCGGTCTTTAAAACGGTGTCGCCAACAGAAATTAATAATTAACAATTGTCATAAGGGCATAATTGTGAATCCCAACTTCCTTTTATCTAAAGATTGTTGAGACCTGAATAGATCTATTAAGGAAGTGAAAAAGATCCTAAAGAAACATCGAAGCTGTCTCTTTTTTGCCATTGAACACAAAAACATAGTCGCATCCATGTCACGTGACCAGGCTTTAAACGTTAAAGGTGTCTTATTTATGAGAGTCTGATTCACAACATGTAGACAACATCCGTACTCTCGTGACTATGATTTAAACCGTTAAAATGCATTTTTGAAAATTTAAAAAAAATGCTTAGCAACCTAACTGTTTATGTAACCAGGTTTTAAACCGTAAATAAATGTGTTAATAAAACGTTCACACAAAATAGAATATTTAGCTGCATCCATTTTTAAAAACTGGTCACGTGACCACGTTTTAAAAATTTTAAAAATATCTATCGTCAAGTAACCAGGTTTCAAACCGTTAAAAGTTTTTTTATTACAAGGCAGTTACTCATTCCGCTACACGTAACGTTTGGAGAAAGTGCCAAACAATGCACGACGCCGGCCGAATATCGATGAGCTTTTGTGCGGCGTAGAAAGCGGGTTGCAACGATGCGGGTACGCCCTTCGGCAAATATTTCGCGACCATTAATATTCACGCTTTCGTTTCATTGCGTGACATCCGCCACGTCAGATGGCCAGTTAACCGCGGTTTATGACAAACATTACTTAACGGTTCGCGGAATCCAATACGTTGCGTTACGTATGACTGACTGATTACACAATTTTATGGTTAACTGATGGTATTGTCTGTAATGCGCCGTAGATATAGTGCCTCGTTGACTCTTCCGAGATAAAAAACTAATTCTTTTTTTATTTACAGCCTGAAGGACGGGGGACCACAGATTACCAATTACTACAGACTAATAAAAATAATTTTTTATTAGACTGTCAATAGTTTAAAAATAGAATACTCAAACATGGCTGACGTATAGCCACAACCTCAGGTAGTGAAAATAATATAACCGTTTGGGCGTTTTACAACGTTTTGAGTTAATATAGTTTATTTAAGGATAGCAGAGAAGCATGTGGTTCACTCAATGGCAGGTAAAATATTCAGAAATCGACAGAGTGTAACTGAAACGCGATTAAAATCTACAAATTTTTAACGGAATTTCGATATTTCATGCACCCAATTAATGTCTAGATTTCCAGACGAAGTCAAACATGTTTCAGAAAAAATATAAATTTATTTGAAACGTATTGGGCCTAATAAAGATCTAACCACGACCTGATGACAGCCATACTTTGCTATCATTAGACTAAAGAACTCGTAAAAAAAATTAATCCTGGACTACCTTTGAATAACTGGTTAATAGTCAAATATTAAACCTACTCTGTTATCTGGCTGTGGTTTCCCGATGCCGCCGCCCTCGGACCAGTCGTTTTGCTGACGGTTCGTAGTTGGCGCGAGTTTTTGGAGCTCAGCAGTCCAGAACCATCCGTTAATTTCGTTGGGAAGTAAATCTGGACGGTTGCAGCCCTTGAAGTCGCAGAGACGACCAGACGTCCAGATATATTTCACCTAAAATCATACAATTTATATAGAAACTCATGAACTATAGCTCTTAATAGCTATTTCATTACCTTGTTATAAAAAGCGAGACTATAATATATCTATACTAATATAGCTGAACAGTTTGTTTGTATGTTTGAATGCGCTATTCTGAGGAACTACGGGTTCGAATTAAAAAAAATATTATTTATATCGGTTAGTTATCGAGGAAAACTTGATGCTATGAACATTACACTGCGATTGATAGGAGCGAAAAAACAGTAAGAAATGTGGAAAAAACGGGGAAAACTATTCATCTTTGAGGTTTTCCGTTGCGTACGCTGAGAAAATGGTTCAAGTTACTTTTTTAAGTTTTTACATTGTACGAAAAAAATGATTCCTCTTTAAATAATCTAAAAAAAAGTCCACGATAGTATATGTCTATCTTTTGAGATTAACTCGTAGAACAGACAGAACGATTAGATGCGGACGACATTGTGGGCAACAGCTATAGTTAAACCTGAGGAGGTTATATGTAAAATAAATCATAAACAAATAATATACACAAAATAAGTATTCCACGTGGATGAAGTCGCAGGCACAGCTAGCTAAATTTTATTATTTGTTAAGAAATTGGCATCGGAAGCTCGTAAGTATAAATATACAAATTATAGTCTTTTTTAATGATAGCAGGGGGCAGACAAGGTTTTCACTTGATGGTAGGTGAAACCGCCCAACCACACAACTTCGAAACAAGATGCGATGTCGACCTATTTTGGCTCTGGTTTAAGCTATATAATCGGACCTATATATCTTAAAAGATAGTAACATTTACATATTCATCGACTTGTCCACAGTGTAAACTACTAACGAGCCGATGCTCGTCAAAATGACCCACTTATAAAACGCCGCATTTGTTTCCTGATGATGCAAGCGTTTGGAAAAACGTACACGTTTTGGAATTCGTTACTGTTGTATGCAGAGGCCACTTTCTAAGCCTTTGAAGTTTAAAAATCATATTGTTTTCACTTCGCGCTTGTAATAGTAATTATTTGATCTGTGCGTAACGTGACTGGGGTAGAGTTAAGGAGATTTCTACGCTGAATCATGTGCTTATGCGGGCCAAGGATTGTATGATTTGACACAAACGTTTCAATGGATAACAATTGTTACAGAAGCTATGTGAAATAACCTCGAGTGTTATTGGCGCCAATTTCTTTGAATATTCAATGTCAATATATTTTGCAAGTATTTCATAAAATCCGGCTGTTAACTTGAAAAAAAAAGAGGGGGTTTTTCGGAAAAGGCGGGGGGGGGGGGGGGGGGGGGGGGGGGGGGGGAAAGGGGGGTTTATGTAACTCAATAGCCCTTGCTCATACGAATAGCGTTAGACGAGATACAGATTTTATAAAGAATAGAATAATATAGATATAATAATAAAAATACCTTTAAAATAGTTTAACTTTCAACATTGACTATCGAGGCAATAATCAACTAATGAATTACGTTTGAAAATCAAACGGTTACCTTATCTTGTACGATGCGGGCCTTAACCCATTCGTTTTCATCGCTGGTCTCCAAGGAGACGAGGTCCATGCAGCGCTGTCGGCAGAAGTTTCTCGCGGTCAACCAATCCACCTCGGTGCTACGCTGAGCTGGATCTCTCCACGAGAGGTAAGTAATCGCCTTTGTCTGGTTAAAGAAAATCTGTCTGTAGTTTACGCGAATAGTACACATTTAAATAAAACACTTTAACGGTTTAAAACGGATATATTAGTTAAATTATTATTATATAATAATATATAAATATAATTAATATATTTATATAATTATTAATTATATTTATATATTATTTTATAAAGTGTTTTATTTAAAGAAAATCTGTCTATAGTTTACGCGAGTAGTATACATTTAAATAAATTAGTATGTTTGTTAAGAGAACCCCGTGGTCACGGTTAAGAAAAAGTTTACGAATATATTGTGCGTTTTAAACGTTAAAAGTGTTTTATTTACATATTTTTAAACTGGAAACTGGAAGCCGACAAAGTGTTTATAAGGGAGTCCTGTCAATTGATAACCAATATATGTGTTTGAATTGCACAAAAGTAAATAATAATTCTACATTTTCAACGAGAAAATAGTAATGCCTTTAATGGAAGGTAAACGACAACTTTTTACGATCTATCTTGGCAAATTCACCATTATGTTGGAACTTGTGTAACAAAAGCATGGGAATTGGGTACTAAGTGTCAATAGAAAACTTACTTTCCATATTGTTTTAGAAATATACGTTTAGACAGATGATGTCGCTATTGTTGAGAACTAGACTCGATTGAAAGGAAAACATATGTTTTTGCTTTTAAGAAAAATGTGGGTCGAATGGGAAAATACAATCTTATCTAAAAATATATTAGAGGGAATGAAAGCTTGTTTTATATTACTTGAAATTAAAATAAAAAAGTTCCGCCCGAACAGGGACTTGAACCCTGGACCCTTGGATTAAAAGTCCAATGCTCTACCGACTGAGCTATCCGGGCAATGTAAGCATAGTTGAATTTATAGTTACATTTCTTTTGTGTAAAGATAGAAATAGTTTTATTTTACCACAGAGAACACGAGATATTTTGACAGTTTAATTATTTAACTGTCAAAAAAAGGGATACTCTATTTTTTTGTCAGACGAAAAGTTATTAATTTGTTTAAATAGCATTATGTTGTAGTATTTTACACTTTGGACAAAACCATTAAACTGTAAAGAATTTAGCGGAAGAATACAATGGCCATGAACTACGCAATCTTCACAAAAAGTCCGCTTACGTTATCGTTACTTTACGAATTCCCGTTGAGCAACAGGTTTTCTTATCTTGTATCTCTTAGGGCACGGAGATAACATTCTGTAGAGCTTTCTCGGAATTGAGTTATTGTTTATCAACTCTCCCTTGTAACATTACATTATATGATCACTATGGATTATTGCGTTACAATGTCAGTAGATTATACTACTAGTACAAAGTACTACTTAGTCTAGCTAGAGACAGATGCCTAATAACAAAAAACATAATTGCGCAATTAACTTACGTGACGATAAATTTGCACTATTTTGTGTTAGATTTACTGTGCTCTTGTAGATTAATATTTTTAGTCTATATAAATATAAATAAGTCAAGTCACAAAATTAAAGTTAGGCTACTCTGCCTCTAGCTGCCGAGTTTATTAATTTATGTTTTCATACTCACTGTCAGCGTATCTCTCGTGTATATTTCGTTGGACGCATTGTGCTGGGACGGGCGGTTCTAAGATTCTACCATTTTGGAATTGCGCTTGAGCCACCGCCAAAAGTGCTAGGAGAATTATTTGCTTCATTTTCTAAAAAAAGTATAACACGTTATTGTGTAAACAAATCAAACATAAATTAAATACTTTTAACTGATTAAAATGTCGTTTGCCCCGTGACCACGACAAGCATCCGAACGGGGATCGAAGTTTAAATAAGTTACTAAAGTGTCACAATTTAAACAGTTATTTGTTTTTATTTAAATGCATACTATCCTCATAAAATACAAAAGTGAGAGTTCACTACCGTTTTTCCTTTTTGGCATATTTAACACATACACACATAATACAAAGGACATATTAAAATGTCTGATACACTGATCTATTTTATATTTTAAATAGTTATTTCTTTTTCTGTGATCTTTCCGACCGATACAATACATTTTTATCCTTCGACATTCAATTGCGTTTTCTTCCGATAGTTGGCAACATTTAACTATAATATGAGCTATAATATTATGTAAGTATGTAGTTATACCTACTGAGAGAGCTCACAGACATAAAATATATCAGTGTTTTAATTCATTTTCAGCTATTTATATTCTGTTTTGTGCCATAATTACTTAGCTGCATAAAGAATCAAAATGTCAATTGCATAACAATAAAAATGAAAGGTCACGGTCTACAATAATGATTTACTAAACGGACTAATATAGGAAGTCTTCTTTAAAGATATGTATATTTTTTTATAATTTTACACAATTAATTTATATAACAAGTTATACTAGGAGTAAATTTAAAAGTTTAGCGTAGTACACATTTAAATAAAAACTTTAACGGTTAAAAAGGCAAAATATATCAGTTCAACTTATTTGAAATTCATTTTAATTACGCCCCGACATTTTGGATGCTTTTCAGTAGCCGTTGTGTGTAATTTTCAAATAAGTTAAACTAGTATATATTGCGTTTTAAGCCGTTTAAGTGTTTCATTTAATAGAGTATATATCGTTAGTATCTGTGTATAGTTACAATGTACATTAAAACAAAATAAAAATTCAATAAAACCAATAAATCGTTTGATTATCTTTAACTATTTAAATAAAACACTTATGATAAAGTATATAACGCTTTATAAAGCTTTAAACTCGATATAGCCGTGATCAAAACTCCTGCACCCGAGAACGTCATTGGGTCGCCGTTAAAATGATGTAACAAATATATTTCGCGTTTTAAAACCGTTAATAGTGTAATATTAAATAATTTCATGTATTTATTATGTGACCCGTGACCTCGCTGTTGCCAGGCTGATGCCGAAACGTCGGGCCGAAGATAAAAATCATTTTCAAATAAATTTAACTAATATATCGCGTTTTAAGCTATAAAGCGTTTTATTTAAATGTGTACTACTCGCGTTAACTATAGACAGTAGTATTTTCATTATATTAAATTTCTATGTGTACTAAAGACGAAAACTTTTTTTTTTTTTTTTTATTGTAAATTTATGGTTAGTTTCGTGATTGCTTAAGTTATGTATGTTAACATAAAATACTCAAACAACATTTTCGATCCTAAAACTGCCTAGAAATTTTGCCGCTTTAAGAACATTATTCTAATTTTATAATTCTTAATGTTCATAGAATAAAGGTCGTAGTAAGGTATGTAACATTCTTTAACTTTAATATTGAAGATAGACCGGTCCTGTTTAGGGTGGACGAACTTTGACTAGAGGTCGGATAATTTCGATTACGATAAAACAGTTTAATACAAGTAATATACAGATACCAAGATAGATAAAGGAAATGTAACATTATAATTTTTTCTTAGAAGAGCAAACAAGCATGTGGTTTGTATAATGAAATAAGTATGTACTATTCTATGCCACATTTCTTTTTAAAGTATATTGTTTTTCTTGTACCAAGCGCAACTATATTACTTTCGCAAATTGTCGCGCTGTTTTGGTTTTACTTCGTTGCCTTTAAAAGCCCTGAAACGTCTAATTAAGATACGACCTATTAGTTAATAATTATTAAAACACAAATGAACACTTCCAAGCCTTGATTGGTCGGGTTTTCGAATGACATGATTTTATAGGCGTTACAAAACTATTTGAACTTCAAACTAACTACTTAATTTTAATTAAACAGATATATAACGCGTCTATAATTTATTGAAGAGTGGTTACTCTACTGTTATGTAGAAAGTGACCTTGTCGAAAGGTGAGCCTGTGTTTTTAAGGTTCGTTCCTCCTGGCTATTAGAAAATGTATTAAATTTAATAGTATAACTTTTTTACCGTTTTTGTTCAATTAATTTTGGTAATATACCCTACGTCAAATTTGATTACTATTATTAATATGCCGTTGTAAGACAATATAATCACTTATTTTTAATTCTGAAGAAATTTTAAATAAAGTACACACAAATGATACCTATATGTAAATCTGGTTGAAGATATAATATACTGTCTGTAGTTTACGTGAGTGTACGTTGTACACCCTTCAATTAAAATATAACGGTTTAAAACGCGAAATATATTAGTTAAAGTTATTTATAAATTATTTTGTAATAAAAATAATGTTGTAATTTATTATAATATATATTTTATTAATTATTACAATTTTATTTACAGTTATTATTTATTTTAGTAAACTGATTAATATATTATTTCCTTTTAATGCATTTATAAGTGTCTTTGTATGTGAGCAAAATTTACAATTTACAGCAAAATTTGGTTTTCTTGAATATTAAAAAAAACTGTCGACATTATTTTAAATATATAGGCAAAACAAATATCTTAATACATCACTACTATGAGTTACGTAAAAAGAAAAGACTTGCTGTACTTACAGTATGTAACCGCGTCCGTTTTCTTCACTGACTGATGCGCCGGCGCACTGCGGCTGTTTTATATGGAAGCTACCATAACCAAGTCCTGATTCGTAGCAGGCCCCTCGCAGTCTACCTTAACAAACAATTTGAAGATTTTATCAGAAATGTTGTAGTGTGTAGAACAACTTATTTAAGCATATGTGAAAATAAATTTACGAAAGGGTAAGAAATACACGTTATTATAAAATTATTGTAAAAACTAGTAGTAGTAGTAGTAGTGTAAAGTATTGATGTAGAACAAAACCTTACTAAAACCTTGCATTATTTATTTGAAAGCCCTCCTTAAATTGTGTTATATTAGCTGCAACAGAACCCATATAATAAACATTCAGAGAGATAGCACAGATTCTTAAAACAGATAGCAGTCTTATCGGTGGGTTTTTACTCGCTGAGTACGGAACCCCGAAAGAGAAATACCAAGAAGAATACATTTGGTTTATTTATTTAATGTGTATGTTCATTGATAATCTTCACTATCGTTGTAACAAACTGGAAAAGACGTTGCTCTTGTTAAGTTCTGTTATATTACCGAACGAACATCAAAAATATATATATTTTTTATTTTTGTTCTAGTTCTTTGTCACTTTAAATCAATACGTAATTAATTACAGGTAAGCATAGTCTAAAATTGTAATTGTAAGAGTTTCTTAATTTATAAGAATTGACTTTTATATACTGACAACAACAAAATTTACACGACTCATGTCATTTCTATTGTGGTCCCGTGATGCCATTATTATCAATTACTAGCTGTGCCCGCTACTTTGTCCGCGTGGTATAGTTATATATTTTTTTTTCAAACTCCCCAGTTTTTTAATTACAGTTGTACCTAAGAAACCGTCCGCGTACCAACGTTTTTGCGTGTTAATCTTAAAAGATATATAGTGCCATGGACATTATTTTATATAATTTAAAGAAGAATCATTCTATCATACATATTTTTAGGTTTCTTGAACCGTTTTCGCAGCGCACACAACGGAAGCCCTCAAACATATCATTTTTCCCGTTTTCTCCATTTGTCTGTCTGATGTTTAATAGCTTAAAGTCCTCTTCTATAAATGGTCGCCCAACACAAAAAGATTTCTATTTGAACCAGTAGTTCCTGAGATAGCCACGTTTAAACAAACAAACTTTACAGTTTATAATAGATTTTCATACAAATTTAAAAGCTAATCTAATAGAGCTAGTTGCTATAGCAAGCGAATTAAATGATTAAAAAAATGTTAACACGCTTTGTTTGTTTAATAGATATTGCGGCTTCGTTTAATTACCAATGTGGATCGATTTTGGGAACAAATATATTTGTCCATTTCAAACGTACATATTTGATCTATTAATTTAGAATCAACAATCAAACACAGACATAATCATGTTATACGTGTGTTTACTTAATCAGGTCAGGATCATTCGCTTCGAATAAGTTTTCAAAAATAATGAAAAATTCTCGTAATATAATGATGAGACTAATAATTTATTTGAATCGTCTTACTGTATATCCTCGCCATAGTTTTCAATGTTCCTTAAGTTTCATCAATATCTTATAAAGCATGAATAAATGCTATTTCAGCCATGAGCATATTAAGTTACATTAATTGTGTGGTGCGCAGTAGATTACCCTACTAAAGAGTATTAAAGCTAAATTTGCATTCTAAAAACAAAGTAACGTCCTTTTCCGAACGATTGTACAAGTAATTATCTGTTAGATGCGATTTAAGTGTAGGAATGTTTCGCTCCCTACTATTGGATGAATGAGTCTGAACTAATATCCACGAGCCACAACCACAGTACAATAAATACTAAATAAACAAATAATACATATAGATACAAGAAAAGATAGTGTAGCTCATGTAAGACAATCAATTCTGGTATTGGTCATTTTACATTAATTAAATCATTTTACATATATCTCAGTCACAAAGGTTTTTCTAAACAAATGTGGACTTTTTCTTATCTGTGTAGCCGTTTGACATTTTGCGTCGCGACTTTGACATTTGACAGTGACAACAGCGATATTTCACTGAGTATTGATCATTCAATGTCATTAAGTACGGTTACAAATTAGTTACAAACAAAACAAAAATTTGATTATTGATTTTATCCATAATTAGTATTCTAATATAAGTAAAATGTTTTGCTGCCTGAAGAATTGTGTAAATGGCTTTTCATTAACACCTAGTGTACCTATCAGAGTTAAAGAAAGCCCTATTCAGCTGGATACTCTTCACATGGGTATTTTTACATTCTTATATTTTCTTTTCTTTGTACAAAAGAAAGCTGATTTGATAACATGTTGTAGTAAATTAAATTAATACCCGTAAAAATGTAAAGAGACAATAAAAGTTTGAAAACACAATACAAAGGAAATGCTAATCCATAATAATTTATTTCTTCTGACTTTTACAATTGTCTATCCTTACATTGCAGGTCACGAAGTTGTAATAGTGAAAGGTGGTCAACGAGCATGTGGTTCTGGTTGCGTTTTAGGAAATGCACCGCTAGTACAAAATAAAGCCTACTTTGAAGTCAAGTTGCAACAGGGAGGAGTGTGGGCTGTCGGGCTAGCTACTAGGGATACAGATATAAATAAAGTACATGGTATGAAAACTCATAGTATATCCTATAGATATAGATAATATATACATATTGAAAAATAGAGCCATATTTTAAAGTAACAGTTGAGTAATAAAATCAATGATTATTTATAAATATATAAGAGGGTAGCCAGAATATTTATTGAAAATTCAGACCTATAGAAGATCTGAATTTTGATATTCTAATCTGATAGTAACAATGCTTTAAAAAATAAGGTGCTGTGACATTGGTCTTCCTAGTAAGGCAAAGCAACCTACATTTATATATTATGAGTCATTCCTACTGCTTGTATGTTACCACCTAAATCAAGTGGGTTTCAATTTGAAATGCATAAAAATCATAACGACTGAGGTTGTATTTGATTATGGTTAATTTTCTATCCACACTAGAAAGTCCACAATAGAAAATAAAAATATTGTAGGGGTCACTTAAATTATTTCTTGGAATCTAGTGTAAATAAGACAAAAAAGGTAAATTTGTTTTTTTTGTCTTTACTTATTATCTTTTTGTTGATGCTAAGAATTTACATGCAGTAAAACTAATATGGACCTATCCTGACTGAAGGTATTTGTTATATTTCCATGCAATTAAAATCCACACTTTAACGGTTTAAAACGCGATATATTAGTAAATGATTTTAAACTTCAACCTGACGTTTTTGATGCTTTACAGCAGCTGTGGTCACAGGGAGACTGGGACGGGGATGGGGAACACCATCACTATAACATTGTTATAGTGCTGGTGTTTATATCGTAAATGTATTAATATTCACAGTAGTATGATTAAATTATTTTGGATTCATTCCGCATGACCTTTAGGTACAAACATGGTGTTGAGGATAATATTTGCAAGTGGGTCGGGTTTATAGCTATTGTAACATGTTCTTAGGCAAGTGGAATTTCTTATTTACTTTATTGAGTCACTTTTCAATTCAATGATAAGCCTATCAAGCTCTGCCAGTCTCTATGAATAATAAATCAGTACTATGGTACTGATTAATTAGATAGGATTCCTTCCGGGAGCTTAAAACATATAATTTTTTATTTGCAATATTGAATATTAACTGTGGCTGCGTCTCTGTCCGCATAGAATTGTCAGTTTGGGCATCAAAGCTTTTTTTTGCAAACCTCCTTTTTCATCATCATCAGCTATGAGCTCCTATTCGTCGCAGCGTGATGTTTTATAACCTAAAGCCTTCCTCGTTAAGTCCTCATTAACAAACACAAAAATATTTATAATGATTAGAACAAGGAGTGCCAGAGATTAGCGCGTTTAACCAAACAAACTCATCAGCTATATAAAATTGGTAAAATATTTTCCAGGTGGAGTTGATAAGGAATCATGGTGTTTAAACAGCGATGGAACAGTCAGGCACGAAAATGTAGAGCTCTACCATTTGAAGACAGCTCCACGGGAATCTCCTACCACAGATATACTGGTCTCCACAAGCTCACCTGACCACATAGATAATGATATAGATAAAGATGGAGACAAAATCACAGCAGTAATGCCTGTAGAGGGAGACGTGATAGGATTAGCGTATGATCATGTTGAATTGAATTTCTTCTTAAATGGAAAGAATATGGAAATTCCAGTAAGAAGTATTAGGGGGACAGTCTACCCGGCTTTATATGGTAAGAAAGAAATAGTTTACCACAAAGGCCTGTTTTTGTTATTAAAAAGATTACACTTATATATAATACTGTAGTGGATTTAGGGCAACACGAGATGAAAATCTTTTACTGATGGATTTTATCTGCAGCGCAGCAGGTGATAAGCCTTAACTTAACCTGCTTGATTCATGCTCTTCTCTATGCTTCTTCTCCAGAATTCTGACTTTGGACTTTGTTATTGGGTCATAAAAGTATAGGTTTAGGTTGAAAAAGTAATCTTAGGATTATTAATGTTGGTTATGAAGCAACACCATAAAGGAGACTTATGTGGCATTTTGCATGCCAAAGATTTCAATATTAAACCGTTAAATTAGTTTTCTAATGAACATACAAGTTTGTGTGTACTTAATATATCTTTCATGGTATTTATTTCATTTTCATTTAAAAAATGTCAATATTAAAAGGTTAAATTTGTTTCTTAATGAACTTACAATTTCTTATGTATTACATCTTTATGGTACCTATTTCAGTTGACGATGGAGCCATCTTAGACATTATTCTGGATAACTTCAGATACCCACCACCACAAGGATTTGAAAAGATAATGGTGGAACAATCTCTACTGTAACACACGGATCTCGAACAGTAATTGTGTGTATATTGACGTTGACAGCTTGTGTGAATATATCTTGAGACTGCTAGTGTATGTGTAAAGTTTAATCTTTGGGGGCTATCTATGTATTACGTCATTAAAAAGGAATGTGACGTCACACCTTTCAATGGCTTCTTCGCTCAGCAATACAACTAAATCAATAAACCTGTAAATTAATGAAATAAAACATTATAAACGGTTTCAAAGTCTCAATTAGCATTTTGATAGCGTTTAGTACGTTGATTATATTTTATTTATCAGGTTGCCTTTTTTTGTGTAAAGTTGTGGTTGAGTACAAACTGAAAATAATATTTCTTGCTGTATCGGGTTTCGAAACTCTGTACTTAACGCAAAGCTAGTCAACGTTTACCGATTACCCCACAGTCCATAAATATAATTTAAACTTAACACTCAGTCCCCCCGTGACCACGGCTCCTGGAAAGCATCAAAAACCGTAGGAAGTTAAAATAAATTTTAAATACATTATCTGGTATATTTCGCGTTCTAAACCGTTAAATGTTTTATTTAAAGATTAGTTGTATTGTTGATCGAAGCTTGTCTGAAATAATTGTCTTATTCACAATATCGAAACACAAGTATTATACTTATTAGCAAAGTAATAATATTTTTCTTAAATACTACTTTACAACAGATTATATTTAATGCAAAAATGTCTGTATCTTATTGTATACTGTCTGTATTATCAGAGATTTTGAAGTTATGTATGTTTAGAAGGTATGTAGCAGACATTTCATGTAACCAGTTACAATCCAGAGATAAAGAAAACTATTGCTATATACATTTTTTTAAATAATTAAAATACATTAATTAAAAAGTTAAAATGTGAGTTTTAAGGTTGAAATTACAACGCGAAAATAAATGGTTTCAACAAATTTGATGAGAATTAGCGGGAGACAGTACCTCAGTTGGAAAGGTCGTAGGCTCGAGTCCTGACGTGTCAATATTTTTTTTTGCAATTCAAATGAGTTTTTTAATTTATATAAGGCTACATGTGATATTCAAGCATAAATATATATTTTAAACATCCAAATATTGGCTACTCCAATTAACAATTTCTTTTCCCGGTATTTAAATAAATTTTAATTTTAATTGATATAAAGACATTAATAAAATTTGATGTCCACTCGTGGCCTGTAGAGCTAAGTAGGTGGGACTTTTTTAATGAATGGCTAATCTTATAGAAATATTGTCTATGTGCCCTAAGTTCCTACAGATTTATGAAGACTTCGTTAGCGAGAATCGTTATTTTGAGCGTGGACCACATTTTTGCAAGCTTAACTTAAGCTGTTACCTAAGACGTCGCGTCGCGTCCCTTCCCGTCGTTCTTGCAAGTTTATCTTAAAACATAGACATATAGCGTCGCGGACTTTTTTTTAGATCATTTAAAGAGAAATAATTCTTTCATATATATTTTTTGGATGTCTTCAACCGTTGCGGCGTGCGCCACTGAAATTCATAATGATGACTAATTTACACATTTCTCGCAAACTCTTCAGGTTTATATATTAGTATAGATAGAAAAACCTTCAAAATAACATTTACAGTGTCCGGGTGTACCTTAAAAATATAATTATTATATTTGTTAGTTGCTAACTACTAATGCGATATTTAACACAAAATATAATTGTAAGAAATTAATTTGCTGGTTTTAAATGTAGAGAAAAGCCTCTTAATTTTTCTTATAAAGTGTTAAAATTTGAAAGGTATATGAGTTGTAAAGATTGTGATCTGTTGTATCTATCGCCACCATTAAGAAGAAGAAGTCTATGCTATTAGTTTATTTTTATACTTAGATTATGTAAAGTCTAATTTCATATCTGTAAAAATATTTATTTTGTATTAAATGTGTACGATACTTAAATACTTTCCGGATAAGTATTGTCTAGTTTACCCTAGTAATATGTATAAAAAGTGTTAACGGTTTAAAACGCGAATCTTTACTTAAACTCACTTATCATTACTTCGCAACATCTGGTCGAAGGTACATAAATTAAATATAAATTTAAGTTATATATTCCGCGTTTTAAACCGTTGAAAGTGTTTTATTTATACTTTCCGGATTTCAATATCCACTTATCTGAAGTATTTTGTAACTAATTCGGGTGAATAATTGTAATAACTTAAAGAAACCTATAATAAAAATGTTGCAATGAAAAAGTTTTTCTTAAAAAAAAATTGAAGGTTTATTATTTTTCTTTGTAGATAAAGATAGATGACTTTTTCCATTGAAAGTTGGTGATAAGAAATCTGTTCTGCCAATAGACATAACGCGTCAGATGTCCTGGGATTCAAACCCCAATACGTCTTCTTCATATACATACATCTTTAATAACAAATCTCTTCGTTTTGCAATAATTTAGTACAATACTGATTCAATGACATAAATAACAAAACAATAACTAATAATTTTTAAAAATTAAAATCTAGGAAAGAAATCTCAAAAGGGTCCTGCGTCAGCATAAGTTGCTGTTGTAGCGTAGCTGCACAGCTGATTTTCAGCAAAATCTTCGGCTGTTAGACAGCGTACATGCTAAAATTTAATTTACATGTTTCATACACATTTACATATTTTTATGATAGAGGAGGACAGACAACGGGTTCAATTGGTGGTAGGTGAAATATGCCAGCCGTATCACATCTAAACAAGATACATTGAATGAGGCAGGTACAAAACGTTCGTAACAGCAATCAGTCCTCTGCCTTACGTAACATGTTTTCCCGAGAGTCGAACCCATTATATTGCTTGATGGCGAGTGTACACTGAGCTATTGAGATAGAATTATCAGGCGTATTTTTTCATGCAATATACCTGCAGGAATCGCTTTACTTGCATCTATACTAATATATAAAGCTGAAGAGTTTGTTTGTGTGTTTGAAGGTGCTAATCTCAGGAACTACTTAAGGTACAGGTTCGAATTAAAAAAATAGATTAGTGTTAGTTAGAGAATTTATCAAGGAAGGCTATAACTAAACATCGTCCTGTGACGAATACAAGCGAAGATACAGCGAGAAATGTGAACGAAATATGTATGAAAGAATGACGCTTCATGTCTATCTTTTAAAACTAACTTGCAAAAACGACGGGAAGGAACGCGACCGACGTTGTGAGTAACAGCTTAATTTTATAAAAACTAATTTAGACGTTCAAAATAACGATTCTCGCGGACGAAGTCACGCTGTTTAGTCACAAATACTTATGGTTAGTTAGATTGAATTGATGTACTGTCCTGCTTGTTCAGTCTACCTCAACCTTCTCCACGCGCATGTCTGTTCCTTTTAACGAAATAGAGTTTGTCGATATACAGATTCGTAAATCCTTATCTTATAATGTTATCTAACACATTAAATAAAACGTGAAAATGTATTTTCATTGAGTGTCGTCGCGATATGGACGCCGTGATGTGGAAAATATGGTGGAGCTTGGCGTGTTTATGTGTTGTTCAAGGTCAAAATACGAAAATTGTTAGATTAAGGCAAGGTCTTGTTAAGGGGCATAAAGATGGTGGTGTGTACGCCTTCCATGGTATACCATATGCTACGGCTCCTACCGGACAATATAGGTTTCAGGTAATCCAAATTTTTGCTTGTGATGGTGCGATTACGTAATCCATCCTTTTTAGCTCTGTCGCTGTTTTAAAGGCATTTTTTTGTGTTATATGTATAAATTAATTTTTATATTGCATTGAATAATTAATAAATCATCAAAAATTGTGCTGACCCCTGACCCCAAATTTTTTTCCAAACCCGTCTGCAGCATGGCCCTGGCTGGGGCCACATTTATATGTCTGTTTTACTGGTGGATTTGATTTTGAAACAAAATATTTCTGTGCCCTTCCAAATCGAAACAATAAAATAAAATAATTAAACTTAATAGTTAGACGACCTCTAGAGCTGAACGCAACACATTATGTTTAAACTCAGACCTTGAAATTCAGGCAGAAGTTTTGATATAAACTGAAGTTTTCGGTCTTACCACATTTTATATATACCATCTGTATAGTTTTCTAAAGTTTTCCATTGTTTTTCAGGCACCATTTCCGCCCCCCATGTGGATAGACACTCTAGATGCCGTGGACAAAGAAATCGTTTGCCCACAGTCAGATCCATACAACATTATACCAAAAACAGTACAGATGCAAGAAGATTGCCTGATTGCAAACGTATTTACCCCCGATACAGACGAGAAGAACTTGCCTGTGTTAGTCTCCGTCCACGGCGGTGCATATATCATGGGTTACGGGAACTTCGCTAAAAACAGAAACTTAGTCAAAAGTCATAAAATAGTAGTGATTACATTCAATTACCGTCTTGGAGCTCATGGGTTCCTGTGCCTTGGCACGGAGGATGTACCAGGCAACGCTGGTATGAAAGATCAAGTGGCCCTATTAAGATGGGTGAAAGACAATATAGAGAGATTCGGAGGCAACCCAGAAGATATCACCATTTCCGGTTACAGCGCTGGCTCCTCTTCCGTCGACTTGCTGATGTTATCAAAGACTACGGACGGTCTCTTCCAAAGGGTGATTCCTGAGAGCGGGGCCAATACAGCCGCGTTCAGTATACAAAGTGATCCTATTAAAAATGCCAAAGAATACGCGAAGTTAATCAACTTTACGAATGTAGAAGACTTTAAGGCTTTGGAAGAGTTTTTTAAAACGGTTCCTTACGACAAGTTGTCATCCGCTGATGTTATAAACCGGTTCGATAGTACGTTTTTAATGTCCCCCTGTGTCGAAAATGGTAGAGACGAGGAACCTTTTCTCACGGAGAGTCCAGTGGATATCTTGATAAGTGGCAATTACAAGAAGCTGCCGATGTTGTACGGGTTTGCTAACATGGAGGGCTTATTTCGAGTTCCCGTTTTTGATCAGTGGAAGGACGCAATGAACGATAACTTTGAAGTATTTCTACCACCCGATTTACAGTTTAAGGATGACAATGAGAGAACTACAGTAGCCAATGAATTGAAAGCGTTTTACTTCGGCAAAGATCCCGTGGGGAAAGAGAATATTTTGGACTATGTGAATTTCTTTTCTGACGTGATCTTCGTTTATCCAACACTGAGGTCGGCGAAATTGCAAGTGGAGGCGGGGAATAAGAATATTTACTTATATGAATACTCATTTGTCACGGAAGACGTACCGTTTGTGCCTCACACAGATGTTCGTGGAGCTAACCATTGTGCCCAGTCCAATGCGGTTATGGACGGCAATATAGCATCAGATGTAGACGAAACAGAGCTTCCAAAGAGCCTGCAAGACATGAAACGAACGATTAGAGAGATCTGGGCCAACTTTATTAAGACCGGGTAAGCATTTAGTAAAGATTTTAAAACTATCTAATTTTCTCACGTTATGTGTATGTTTTAGCTGTCGCAATTATAATATAATTTATATCTACACAAGATGCACTGTCGATCTATTTTTGACTTTGGATATTCGAAAATCGCCCGTGTTTTTTATTCAATCGGAAAAGTGTTTGCCTGTTATGACGAAATTGGTAATTGCATAATCACTAATCAATAACGCGAGAAACAAAAATCGTAGAATGCTGAATAACTTATTTTTAAAGTAAAAAGCGTTCTGTGTATCTACGTTTGTGTTAAGAGTAAAGGTAACTTTCGATTAGGTTGCACTCTGTGAAGGTAACAAAGAAAATGTAACAGAAGCGTTTTGTTACACCTAGTGTATGTTATTTAATTTTTCTGATATGAGTGGATAATATTATTATATCTGACGCATAGGTCAAAAATATATAAGAAAACAAAACAAAGTAACTAAAGCAATGTCGAATAAGTAATAATATACAATTAGTATATTTTTAAAGTTAATTTTAAAGGTGACAAAAAACTGGTGCTTCTGTAAAATGGCCGACATCAAAAGAACTTTATCGCTTATATTGTTCGTTGATTGATTTAATTATATAAATATTTAAAAGATTGTACGAGAAATAAAGATGTGGTTTTGTTAAGGTAGAAAATCGAAAGAAGAGAGCTTTTCCTTCCGTTTTTTTAGATTTTATTCAATTTTCCTTAGATCCTTTTGTGGATTATGACGAATGTAACGTAAGCTAGCAAATGTCACGTAAGCTGGACCAAGACCTAGCCAAAGACCTTAAGCTATGGTTTCTGGTTTTTAAGATAAAAACACACAGCATTTCATTTATTTAAATTATATTAGTTTGTAAATTATTGTAGTGTTGTAAATTATTATTATTTTAATACACAGGTTTTTTAAACAAATTGCTTTTAACGGATTAAACTCGAATAATATTTATAATTCATTTTAATTATGGCCCGACGTTTCACATGCTTTGCAGCCGTGGTCACGGAGGTGCTGAATATAGAAACCTTCACTTTAAAAATTACTAATAGGTATATTTCACATTTTTAACCGTTAAAAGAATTTAATTTCAATATGCACTGTAAACTATGTTTACTTTTGTTGTTAAGATATAGTCGCTACACACATGTTTTACAGACAACAGTAACAGTCATTTGAGATTTGTTATTTAATTTTCAGGAAACCGGTTCCCGAAGGTTCCGATCTACCTGCTTGGCCTCCAGTTGAAAAAGATTGGGCTCCTCACATGGTGCTAGATCAGCCTCTGGTACTAAAGGGATCGTTACATAAAGAAAGAGCAGAATTTTGGGAAAATATATATCAGAAATACTATAGAAATCCAATTTCTCCTTCTCCACCCCGGATACATACCGAACTTTAAATATATATGAAATAACATATAGTTATAGAATATAATTGATTATATTTTATGTATTTGTTATATTTGTATATTAATAATTTAACCACCTCTGTGGCTCTACGCTAAGAATTATTATACTCTATGTAAACGCATTGTCAAAAAAAGTTAAGTGCCTGAAATCTTGGGTTCGATTACTGGGAAAATGTAATCAGTTGCCTGTAAAAAAATATTGATATAAACAGGGATACGTATTGTATTTTTGTATTGTTTTTGTTCATTTGTATGTGTATTTATTTGACTGGATTCGAATCCCTAGTACCCAAACAACGTTGCTACTTTTCAGTAGCAACATTGCATATTGATTTATAATTTATGTAGGTGTTTATATGTTATATATTTTATATCGCTCATCGTCTGTGGTATTTGGTTTAAGGTGTATGGTACAACACGTGTATGTGGTGGGTTTTGGTATTTAGGTAACGTAATGTAGGACCTACCCCTTCAATTGCTTATAGTACCCATAACTAGAAATAAAAGTTTTATATTTTAAGTTCTGATACAATCTTGATAGTTACACAATTCTGCTAGAGGCAGAGTGGTCTAATAACAAGAAACATGATTTTCAATATGGATGATTTTAAAAATAAAAATGCGAAAATGAGTTTGTACTATTTTTGTGTAAGAATTAATCAATTTTCAATTCATCAATTTTCGGTCACTGTGCTCTTGTAGATTAATGTTTTTAGACTATGAAATACATATAAATAAGTCAAGTCATGAAATTGCAGTTAGGCTACTCTGGCTGTAGCGGCCTCATATTGTATTATGAAGAGAGTGAAATATAAAACGGACAATAAAAATATTTTTGGAGTATGACACAGTTTTTTAATCCTTCTTATTATAATTCTACTCTTATCTCATACTGCAATATGCATAGCCCAAATCGCTGGTAGAGAGCTGGCAGAAACTTTGAAGTCTTTCCTCTAAGCTGATTAAAAAGGGGGTAAAGTCATAGTCAACAAGCAATCCTACGTGTTTTGTAATAGGTCTGGTAGGTTAGGACTAGGACACCGGTTTAAGGTAGTTTCCTATCCTAAATTATGTAATTTTGACAAATGATGACAACAATATGTGTAAGTATTGAGGAATGAATATAGGAAAGTATTGTCTACAAACGTCGGGCCGTACATAAAAATACGTTATGCTAGTAAATTTCGTTAAAGTGTTTTATTTATTTAAATAAAACACTTAAACGGTTTAAAACACGATATATATAAGTTAAACTTATTTGAAAATTATTTTTAATTTCGACCCGTTGTATCTAATGCTTTGCAGCAGTCGTGGTCACGGGGACTGAACGGGGTTGCAAAGTATCCAAAACGTCAGGCCGTTATTTCAATGTGTACTACTCGCGTCAACTACAGACAGTATTTAGTCTTCTATTTATATATATTAGAGTTGTTTTGGACTTTTAGATGCATTTTTTTTAATAAAAAAATTAGCCAAAGAAGAGATCGTATAGAGGAGATTAAGCCAGTACGGGGTTCACTCGATGGAAGGCGAAATACCCCCCCCCCCCCCCCATTACATTTTGACACGATGCGTTATCGACCTATTTCGTCTCTGTTCTCGGCTTTAACGCGTAGCAAGATATTAAGAGATTCTTATATGATTTTTGCTATACAGTTATTGCTGGCAGTGATAAAAGGGTCGGGTAAGTTGTGCTGTGTTCCACATAGTCAGCCATGTGGGGAGTGGGGAGACACGATTCACTTGTTATCTCTTGTCACATGAACGCACAATTCGCTTTATTGTAGCTGGACAACGAAGCGTTGGGCCCTCTTCAGACAAAGCTATATTTACTACCAGCTGAGGTCGAGACTCCCCGCCGTTCTTTTTAGTTTATGATTTATATTATCGCAATTTGTTTTGCACGTCGACTTTTTTTACAATTTAGTGCAAACCGGAAAAAATAAGTTCATTTGAGAATCGCTTACTATAATAACAATACCTATCGCTTAGAGCAGCGGTTCACAAACTTTTTTGAACGCCCGCTTTTTTCATGATAGAGGACGATATGAAATATGATATAATATGAAATACTCCAGTCATAAAATATTTTAATAAGATGCGTTAGTTTAGCTTTGGATAATCGGAAATCAACAGACTGAAAAAAGTGATTAAACATTACAGTGCTTTCATCCGTGGACGGAGTTTCGATATTCCTGTCAGCTATTTAATACCCAGATTCAAACAAGTAACAGAGAGGGAGTAACAAGTGTGACCCGGTGGGGCAGAACCTTTTTTTAAGAAAAAAGAAGGAGTCTATCAATTGTTTATAAACTTGGAAATGTAAAAGGCATAACATAACGTGCAAATCATTGTTCCCCCGCTCAATAGAACGGTATGACCCACGTTGAGAAACACTGGCTTAGAGACTCATCGTTGGAATATTTTTGCAAAATTTCCCTCACCGTAGTTACGCTTTAGTAATCTATTGCGATATTTCCGCGGCGCGTGGAGCCTTTAGAGAGTGCTTCGGCGAGTTTTACTCACCATTTCACGCTATAAATTTAAATTTCGCGTTAAAACTGCATCAAGGACTCTCGCCAGAGCTACATATGCACTAAATCTCACAACATATTTTGCACGTTGAGATGTGTCGTGGTAAATGCTTCCCGGAAATAAAATTTATAAAGAACTGAAATGGACTTAAATGACAGAGAATATTTAAATAAATAACTTTAACGGTTTAATACGCGATATATATAAGTTAAACTTATTTGGAAATTATTTTATCAAGACTTTTATTGGCCTCCCCGTGACCACGGGCACTGTAGATTAATTTCTAAATAAGTTTCAATATTACATATCGCGTTTTAAACGGTTAAAGTGTTTTATTTAATTGCATTCTATTCGTTATATGCTAACAAATATACAAAATATACGAATCGAATTAAAATTATTGAGAATCCCTTTTTTATCTTAATAAATTGAATTTGACCGTTTCGGAAACGTTTGATTGCCAACACGGTCGGCCGAGGAGGTGAAATTTCCGCTAACCTCGAGACACGTATTTAGGAACAATGAGAGAAAACTTTGAGTCATACCAAATTCATACTCCGGAGATGAAAGTTGAGACCCTCGTCAAAACAGTTTTAACGTTATACGGGCTTGTTAGAATGTAGGATATTTTCTTATAGCATCTAAAAGCAATTTAATTTTCAAATTCAAATTTATCTAAGCAATTTATTCCACACCAAAGAATATTATAACAATACAGAAATTGTACAGTTGTTAAAAAAAAACAGTTTTACAATAACATTACATACATTAGTTTTCCTGTGGAAGGACTTGCACAGATTTGTTGCAGGAACAGATTTTCTGAATCATGCTTGGAAAATCTGGGCAACCTCCATTCACAGATGGAAAAGCCATGAAGTGTAATCGCGTTTCAGTTCCATTACTTTTATTCTCCAATGAATGCCAAAATAGATTGTTAACACATCCTAACAGATGCCTTGTCAATCTATTTTATATCTTACAACTTACGTTATAGGCGAGGTACCCTCCATCATGAACTATTGTCCCCCCCCCTTCAGGACTTTTCTTGTGCATATTTTTTGGATTTTATAAACGATGTAATTTTTTTTGTCTAGTTTCCAATTTCATTTTGCATATTGCTATTTTTTAATTAACAATTACATATTGTACTTACAATTCGTTTAACTGTCGTAAATAAAGACATTCGACTTGAAAATATATTTTTTTTATTTATGTATATTAAAACACTAATTTCAGCAACAGACCGGAAAAGCTCCACAAATATCTTTAGCTTTAAAGCGCTACAGTTAATCAGAAAGAGAATAGTTTTCGTTTCAAACGGTTAAACCTGGTACGTGTGTGTACTACTCGCCTAAATTGCAATAATTCGTTTTTATATATGTTTTACTGCAGTAAATAAACTAACATATTGTTTCCTGTCACTTTCGTTAAATTTCTCATTAAATAATAAATTAATTTAAGATATTTGTGATTAAGCGAGCGACCATATATCTGTTTTTGTTTTACTGACAGATTTTAATTAATAGGCAAGTAATTGATTTCCTTATCCGCCGGAGACAATTTATTGTTTTCAAGGGTTTCAAACTCAGATAACAGTAAAAATTCTGTTTAATAAAAAACACCATAGTAACGCTATATACGAATGTAAATATATAGAAACTCGTTATTCATATCTGCTACACGACACGACTGTACGATGGTCATGTAAAAAAAGATAGTACGCGAGATCAGATTAGTGCGTACGATTTAAAACAAGCGGCTTCAAAGTCTTAGTTCTACTCGACGCTCGAGTACAAACGACTCACAATGTGGAATTATTGCTTAATATTAGTTTTCTTGTTTATTTCCGGTTGTGTTGCTGGTTCACGTGTTGTTAATACCGCTCAAGGTCAAGTTAAAGGATACAGTAATGATGGAGGTGGCTTCTTCACTTTTTATAGCATTCCTTACGCCAAAGCTCCGAGTGGTAGGGACAGGTTTAAGGTACAGTTTACCTCTAATTTTTTGCATACTTTCTGTTCTATTGTAATATAACTAGAATGTGTTTTGTACGTGGTTTATAGGGCTGTTCTGAATTTAAAAGAGATTAAGACTAATTTGTGTCAGTAAAATGTTAAGTAGATATCAATTATAAAACACTCAAATCTAAAATTGTTACTCCACAAGTCTCTTACCAAGGATACACTTAATGATAATATTAATTAATCGATAACGATATCAGATAACTCCATAAAAAGATAAAGATAATCAAACGATCGGATGACATGCGAAACACTTTGTATTGCAGGCGCCCTTACCAGCCCCCAAGCGACCCTACATTTTAGAAGCTATCGACAAAGGGATCGTGTGCCCACAACCCATAGATTTATGGGACCTTTACAATCGAAGCTTAGTAATAACGGAAGACTGCCTCATCGCTAATGTTTTTGTACCAGATACGGACAAAACCGATCTACCCGTATTAGTATATGTACATGGTGGTGGATACGCAATAGGCTATGGAAATTTCCTTACTTACGAAAATTTAGTTAAGACCAAAGATCTTGTTGTCGTCACCTTTAATTATCGTTTAGGACCTCACGGGTTCCTCTGCTTAGGAACAGACGACATACCAGGGAACGCAGGTATGAAAGACCAAGTCGCTCTACTAAGATGGGTCAAAGATAATATTGCGAATTTTGGTGGAAATCCAAATGATGTTACAATAGCTGGGTACAGCGCTGGTGCATCTGCAGTTAGTTTATTAATGCTGTCAAAAATGGCTCGAGGACTGTTCACAAAGGTTATACCTGAAAGCGGTACCGATATAGCGTCGTGGAGTGTCCAGGTCGATCCAATATGGATCGCAAAAGAATACGCACGACTTTTAAACTTCTCTAACTATAACGATCTAGAGAGCTTAGAAGAGTTTTACAAAACGACTTCTTATGAAATTTTATCCTTTGAAGCTTTTAAAATTATGGGTCGAACGGACACATTTTCTTTGTCTCCATGCGTAGAGCGCGATACGGAGGGAGAAGAGTTTCTCACTGATTCGCCCATGAACATCTTGAAGAGCGGCGACTATCCCAAACTTCCTATTCTCCACGGATTCGCCCAAATGGAAGGCCTCATGAGAGTCGTAGTTTTCGATGAATGGAAAGATCGTATGAACGAAAATTTTTCGGATTTCCTACCGTTGAATCTTAAATTTGAAACAAAAGAAGAGAGAAATTCAGTTGCGAATAAAATAAAACGATTTTATTTCGGAGACGATCCAGTTAATGAAGAGAACATTTTGAATTATGTAAACTTCATTTCCGATATGGTTATCGCTTATCCGACCTTAAAATCTGTCCAATTGCATTTAGATGCTGGACATGATAAAATATACTTATATGAATATGCATTTGTTAGTGAAGATGTTCCAATAATACCTCACACGGAGATACGAGGAGCTGACCATTGCGCACAATCAGTTATGGTGGGCGACGGGAATTTGACTCATACCGATGACATGATATTTACGCAAGAATACAGACAAATGAAGAAAGTTGTGCGAGAGCTTTGGTCGAACTTTGTAATAAAAGGGTAATATACAATTTTGTAAACATAGGTAACATTATATTTTCACTGTACTATAGATACATTTTAAGACTGCCCCTGTAGCTAAACTTGTTGCATTGTGTTACGCACGAGAGGTACGTGGTTCGAATCCTGGGGAAACAATAAATTGTTTTGGTCGGGCAGAGCACGGAAGTCTGATGGACTACTTGCTTGTAAATAAAAATCGATCAGTGAAACGGACACAGAAAAGTGGTCGCCCCATGCCCGACGAGGTGAAATCGGATTTGGAAAAACAAAAAAAATAGATGCATTTTGTGTAACGATATGATAAAGTGTAAGATGGATTTTATACAAAATATATATTACATAAATAGGATGGATATTATATAATGACGATTACGTTATTACATAATAACCATAACTAATAACTATACAAATATAATTATAACACGTCTGTTTATTGTATTGCTCAAATAGTAGGAAGGTAAGTATAAAACTTTATAATTATATATATTTTCAGACAACCAGTACCGGATGGATCTGACTTGCCATCCTGGCCTCCGGTGAATAAAGACTGGTCTCCGCACATGGTGATCGATAATCCACTGCGCCTGAGTGGATCTCTTCTCAAAGAAAGAGCATTATTCTGGGACGAAATCTATGAGAAACATTATCGTAATCCATCTTCACCACAGAAATTGCCTAAAATCAATTCTGAATTGTAAAACTATAAATTAATAAATATCATTCGAAATATTTCTTTTATTTTCTCTTCAATTTCTTATGATTTTTATTAAATTTCAAACTGCAGGCATCATATATTTAAACTAATTTAATAAAAAACTTTGAACGGCTTTGAACTTTTTTTGAACTTTGAAACGCAAAATATAATGGTAAACGTATTTATTATATATTTAAACTTTCCGGATGCTTTGCAACAGCCGTGGTCAGGGGGGAGGGTCACGGGGTTTACTACAGAAAATACTTATTTAAATATTAAAATTACTGCAAAAATACTCGCTGCCACTCTTTACATTTTAAGTTTTTTTTTTTAATTTCACTTAATGATTTTAAACTTAGAATAAGTGTTAATACTAACCGTATATATATATTTTTATGTTTGTTTTAAGGAAGATTAAAATTAAATTTCGAACATTTTTCATTTTTTTTAAAATTTCTATATGATTTATTTAAGACAAAGTCATGACCTTGAGAGAACATAGGTAATTGAGATTTGAAAAAAGCGGCTACAATAAGGCGAAAAATTTGAATAATCTTTGAAGCTGAAGGATTTGAAAAATGGTTATCCTTCAAAAATAATATGTATTGTGAATATTCCGGCGGGCGAAGGCTAATATCAAAAAGCTATTAGTACGCAGCTGTACATGAATATATTGTTTAATATAAGTGATAAATAACTAATACGTTTTCTCGTAGAAGATATCAGTTATAATATTCGGTTTAAAGAATTTATTTTCTCTAAGAATATACAACATTACCTTAACAGGAAAGCAATAATTCTAAAACTTCATGAATTTATATGCTTACATATAGACTTGCATTAAACTAGCTGTGCCTGCGACTTCGCTCGCGTGGAAAAGGTATTTTGGCCTTAAAAATTTATTTTTACCAACCTCATCGTTTTAATTATACATGGTACCGACGAAGTCGTCTGCGTCCCGCACTTTTTGCAAATTATTTAAAGAAGAATCATTCTTTCAAACACATTTTTTTGGGCATCTTGAAGTTTTTGCAGCGAACGTAACGGAACGCCCTCTAAAATGAATGACTTCCCACATTTCCCTCCTTTTTGTTTGCTCCTATTAGTCGCAGCGTGATGTTAAATATTCAATAACTTTATATTCGAACCAGTAGTTCCTGAGATTAGCGAGTTCAAACAAACAAACTCTTCAGCTTTGTAATATTAGTATAGATATTATTACTAAATGTTTAACTTGTTCTAAAATATGCAATTTACATAAAAAATATGTAAATTGACTGGATCTTTGAGACTGCCAAACAACTTATTATATAGATCAGCGTCTTATACGATTTTGACGTATGTAATTCGCGCTTATATACGATTGTAATCTCAATTGATAAAGTGGCGACTTCTGTACTTGAAGTTAGGTTTTGATTACAATTATAATGCTAAACGAGATAGGATATAAATAGTTCAGTCCTCGCTTGTACCGCGCTGCGCAAACATGTGGTGTTTTATTTTAATATGTTATGCATGTGTCTACATGTGTGACTGTACTGATTCGCGGACTGTGAACACACCGCAGGGCCCCGTAAGAGGATATAAAGATCCGGAAGGAGGTCTTTATGCTTTCTATAGCGTGCCCTATGCGAAGGCCCCAACTGGGAGGGATAGATTTAAAGTAAGACCCAGCGAGAGTGTGAGGAAAATTGTTGACCAGTTTTGATATTGGCTTTATTGTGAGGTTTATTATGCGTTTTTAACTGTTAAAATTAGACATATTTTGGTATTTAAATTGTCTATGCATTGTATAGTGATCAAATGTTAAATGTGGTGAATAAAAATGAATCTTACAGTAATTAAAACTGTTTTATTGTGCAGTAAACTCATAAGAAATAAACATCTCTATATACTTTGTTGAGTTGTACACAAGGAAACAAAATAGTAAATTAGTTGTAAATTATACCTCGTAATACCGTCTGATAAAAAACTGAAGGTCGAGTAACGATGAACGCATCAGACAAATTGTTTTCTTTTTAAATAAAACCTTTTTAACGGTTTAAAACGCAAAACAATACCTTACTTATTTTTAATGCAATTTAACTACGCCCCCCTCATGACCACAGCAGTTGCAAAGCGACCGAAACGTCGGACCGTAGTTACATTGAATTAAAAGTAAATTCACTGTTATATTTCGACTATTGCTTGCGTAAACTACATACAATGCTTTCTTTCACATAAACCACATAGATAATGGTATAGTAAGCTTATATAAGATAAGAAAATAGTAAAAAACTGTTTTTTTTACATATATGTAAAACAATAAGTACTGACGTTAAAGTGACTTTAATAATGCAATAACATGGTCTATACATTTATTTAGCTTTTAAACGCTATTTTTTACGCGGGATTTAGATCCAAAATAAATGTTAGACCATTACTTTTACAACTAAAGTATGAATTTCATGATAATAATAAATACACGTATATACTTAAAAGATAATTACTATTAATTTATTGTCATTCTAGGCTCCTTTACCAGCTGCAAAACGCCCCTACGTGCTGGAAGCTGTAGACAAGGGAATAATATGCCCTCAGCAAGATCTCTCAGAAATGTATAAAAAGAGCTTAGTTATCACTGAAGACTGTCTAATCGCCAATATTTTTGTACCAGAAACGAGTAAAACCAATCTACCAGTTGTAGTGTACGTTCATGGCGGAGGTTATATTGCGTGTTACGGTAATTTGCTGACTTACAAGAACTTCATAAGAAATAGAGAAGTAATTGTGGTTACATTCAACTATCGCCTCGGTGCCCATGGTTTCCTATGTTTGGGCACGGACGATATCCCCGGGAACGCTGGAATGAAGGACCAAATCGCCCTCCTCCGCTGGGTTAAAGAAAACATCGGCAACTTCGGTGGAAATCCTGATGACGTCACAATCGCTGGCTACAGCGCCGGTTCATCATCAGTCGATCTACTCATGCTATCAGATATGTCGAAGGGATTATTCAATAAAGTAATCCCGGAGAGCGGGGCGAATACAGCCGCGTGGAGCGTTCAAACTGATCCAATAAGAGTCGCTAAAGAATATGGACGGATGATAAATTATTCAAGTTATGACGATTTGGATTCCCTGGAAGAATTTTACAAAACGGTGTCTTACGAAATTTTGACTTCAGCGGAGTTTAGTCTGATGAGCCGTAAGGATTCGACGTTCTTAGTCTCGCCGTGTGTAGAACGCGATACGGAGGGAGAAGAGTTCCTAACGGACAGCCCAGTTAATATAATCAGAAGTGGCAAGTACCCTCAACTACCGATGTTATACGGGTTCGCGAATATGGAGGGACTGATACGTAAAGACAATTTCGAAGAATGGAAAGATTTAATGAATGAAAACTTTGCCGACTTTCTGCCCCCAGATCTCCAATTTGATAGCAAAGAAGAAAGGGATTCGGTGGCGCAAAAAATTAAAGAGTTCTACTTTGGGAACTCGGGCGTAACCGATGAGACGGTTTTGAGCTACGTTGACTTCTTCTCTGATGTGTTTTTCACCTATAGTACTTTGAGATCAGTGCAATTACATGTTGAAGCCGGTCACGATAGCATATATTTGTATGAATATTCATTTGTTCACGATGATACTCCCGTGGTACCACACACAAATGTACGTGGAGCTCATCATTGTGCGCAGTCTGCTGATGTTGGTGATGGGAACTTTACAAATGTTGACGAAAACATCTTACCAGCGCCTGCACGAGACATGAAGAAGGTCATTCGTGACATATGGTACAACTTTGTGACTACAGGGTATGTATTATAATAATCTAAACTCACAGTAAAAGACCAAATCGATATTGTTGTAAAGAGTTATTTTATACAAGGTCTCCAAGTCCAGAACAGGTCTGCTCTTAGTTAAAGAGTTTCATTTTAAGACAAGGAAAACGTTCACTTGTCGGAGGGTCATTGCCCCAGCCATATATACATCTAATGGAGATGTGTTGTCGTCATATTTTTGGATTTGGATGTTCGAAAATCCACAGACTATATGGATATAAAATAGGCATTATGTATGTCATTGTCTTTCGGGCTGTTCGGCCGATGTGAGCGAGAAGAGGTTCTCGACGTTTCGCCATCACGTGCAGACGGCGTCATCAGAAGATGTTAACTCCTCGATTGCTCAAAGAAATATGAACCTCTTCTCGCTCGCGTCAGCCGAACAGCCCGAAAGACTATGATATTATGCAGAACGATGGCTTTGAAAGCCCTACACAATTTATTAAGTATTATGTATGTTAATAAGATAAATAAAAAAACTGAAGCTTCTCCGCTTTTCGAGCTGTGGTTCGTAAGACATACAAGTCTGAGTAATAAATGTCCTTTAAACCGTTAAAGTTAACCGTTATTTAAATACTCTTTATTCTATTCAATTTTCAGACAACCAGTACCAAAAGGCTCCGATTTTCCAGTTTGGTCACCAGTGGGTAAAGACTGGTCTCCTCATATGGTCCTCGACAAACCTCTGCGGCTTGAAGGATCACTGCTCAAAGAAAGAGCATTGTTTTGGAATGATATCTATGAAAAATACTATCGTCATCCTTCTGCTCCAGATACCAATCCGTCCAAACTAAGTCACACCGAGCTATGATCGAAGAAATTAACTGTCTTAAACAGCCTATAAACAATGAACTTAAACACTGTCTTTAGTTTACGCTAGTACACATTTTAATAAAACACTTTGACGGTTTAGAACTCGATGTGTATTAGTTAAACTTATTTGAACGGTCACGGGAATTAGTTAAAATAATTTTCAAATAAGTTTAAGGTAAGTAAAGTATCGCGTTTTAAACCGTCAAAGTGTTTTATTTAAAAACAATGTCTTAGGTAGTGAAAACGATATTTGTAAACCGTTAGGTTTTTTAACCGGTTATTATGTTATTAAAAAGATTTGTAAATGTTAAAATAATATAACCTTTAAATGCATTATTTTGTTTAGATTATGACAGAATATCAGACAGATAGCACAGTTCTATAGTTTCTAATGGAGATGCGCTACCTACTTATTATTATTTCTAAATAAAGTTATAATCCACAATATATGTATGTATAATAGTGACAGTTCCAACAAATGCACTTTACATAAAGATTCATTGTAACATTAATGACCTAAATTTAATAATACGTAACAACTTGTACCTACTCGCGACTGTAAGCCCTCATAGATGAATCATTTTTCCCATTTTTACACATTTTACATTGTTTTATTTCGCTCCTTAGCAGTATGATATATTGCGTAAAGCCTTCCTCCAACACAATTGAATCAATTACTATATTTTTACTTAATTTAAAGCATTATAATATCTTTAATATTTTATAGGTCTCTTTAAGATATCAAAATTAATGTCACACGTACTTAGCAGTTGAAAATAAAGATGATGAACGATGATTTCCCTAAATTTGTTTTTACTAATTAAAAATTAATAGAGCTATTAAAAATAACTAACTTAGTAACCATAATGATATTGGAATACATATGTATAGGATGTTCTACAAAAGCAAGCTTATTAATATCTAGCTGTACCAGAAACGTTGTCCGCAGAGAAATTTAATTGTTAACCGTCCGCGTCCAATCGTTTTTGCAAGTTAATCTTAAAAGATAGGTATACTGTCGGCGGCATTTTGTGTAGATTATTTAATTTAATTTATTTTGAACCGTCGTAAAGTAAACAGATTAGGACAAATAATTATCCCTGCGTTTTTTTTCCATGATTTCGCCCTTATTGCTCGCAGTATGATGTTTGTAGTCTAAAACCTTCCTCGATAAATGCAACACAACAGAAGTTTTAATCTAAACTAATAAGAACACTCTATAGGTAATTAATAACTAACTTTTTGTCGTGTTTCAACCGCAAATAAAGAGTCAGTGCTTCTCAGAACCTGAAGCAAACAATAGCTGTGAAATGTCAGTGATTTTATTAATTATTTTTTGTTTAATTGACGTTCTGCATTGCGAAGATCGGCAATCGCGACTCGTACATCTTTCTCAAGGACCTGTCAGGGGTTACAAAGATGCCAACGGTGGTTTCTACGCATTTTATGGCATTCCCTACGCAACAACACCACTTGGGAGAGATAGATATAAAGTATAAGATTTTCAAAGATTATAGGTGTGAATTTGATCGTCGAACTTAACACCTTTTTTGTTTGTAGGCAGCCCTTCCAGCTCCCGAATGGTCTGAAGTTTTGGAGGCAGTGGACGAAAAAATAATATGCCCCCAAAAAGATTTGATGGGATACACAAGTCGCAGAAATCTGGTCATTAAAGACGACTGTCTTATTGCTAATGTATTTGTTCCTGACGTCGCTGATCGTAAACTACCGGTCGTAGTCTACGTCCATGGGGGTGTCTACTTGTTCGGCTACAGCAATCTTCTAACTCACAAATCGCTAGTAAGAAGCCATAAAGTAGTAGTAGTCTCTTTCAACTATCGGTTAGGAGTCACTGGATTCCTTTGCTTGGGAACGAAAAACATTCCCGGGAACGCTGGCATGAAAGACCAAGTGGTTCTGCTTCGATGGGTCAAAAAAAACATAAAGAGTTTCGGAGGAAATCCTGACGATATCACCTTAGCTGGGTACAGCGCTGGTTCCTCAGCTGCTGACTTGCTGATGCTTTCGCCTTTAACGGATGGATTATTCAGTAAATTAATATTGGAAAGCGGGGTGAGTTTCAGCTCACACGGTTTGCAAATGGACCCGATTCGTTACGCTAGGGAATATGCGCGATTGCTGAACAACACGACTACAGAAGACTTCGATGCATTGGAAGAGTTTTATCTGTCATCTTCGGAAGAATTTTTAAATTCGGAACTTACGATTCTTCGGGAGGATACTGCAGCGATTATGTGCCCGTGTGTGGAACGTCAGGTCAGTGGAGAAGAAGCCTTTCTCAGTGAACACCCAATTGCTATTTTGAAAAGAGGCGCGAAAAAACTGCCCACACTCATTGGATACGCGGACAAAGAAGGAATGTGGAGATTGCCAGTTTTCGAAGAGTGGAGTGTAAAAATGAATGAGAATTTATCTCAATTTCTACCATCCGATTTACATTTCAAAAATGAGGAGGAGAGAAACATGGTGTTGGATGAGATAAGACAATTTTATTTCGGCGGCAGTCCTATTACTAGAAGTAATATTATGGGTTATATTGACTTCTTCACGGATACTCTTTTCATGTATTACACATTACAATCGGTTTCGATTCAAGTTAACGCTGGAAACGAAGACATCTACCTCTATGCCTATTCATTCGTTTATCCGAACGAACAAATTATTCCATATGTTAACATACGAGCTCCTACCCACTGTATGCAGTCTTATGCCGTGGCCGATGGAAACTACACGTACACTGAAGATGAGGGCATAACACCGGAACATAAGGAGATTAAGAAATTCTTGAGAGGGTTATGGTATAACTTCATTAAGACGGGGTATGTTTACCTATTCTTAATAGGACTAGACTTAATACATTTTTTTTCTTATGGTAGTTGATATACCAAGATGCGCTGGACCTATTTTGGCTTTGTATATTTGGAAATCCACAGACTGAAACCGAAACGCGATTAAGCTCAAGGATTTTTCTATCTGTGGACGGTGGTTCGTGACCGGGAGGGATTTTCTATAGTCCTACCACCCATTTATTTCCATATGAATCCAAGATTTTCAGAAAAGTCCAACTTGATTAGACAGATGGGCCCGGTGAGGATTGAACCCAACCTGTGATTTTTTATTTTTATTATTAAATAAGTATTAAATATTTTTTTATTATTAAATCACTTGAGTTACATTATATCCTATAAAAAAGGGCGGTTCTATGTATAATGTATTTTTTATTAAATTATGTAACTAACTGTTTGAGGAACGCTTTGACATCAGTTTTTTTTCAATTATAATACGTTTTTATTATTTTATGACAGCGAAGGACAGACAAACAATGTATAAATAAATACTGACTGTTGTTTACGCGAGTGGTACACATTTAAATAAAGCACTTTCACGGTTTTATACGCAATATATATATTAGTTGGGTGTACTTCCGAAAAGCGCATCCCGCTGATCGATCTGAAGTTTGGTATACTTATGTATTTTGATCTCCTAATAACGAACCTAGAAAAAAACCTCTTTTCGTTCAATTTAAATGTTGGAGTGACGCCCCACGGTTCTGTCTAGCATTCCTGGCCCTTATCAAGGCCTCCACCTCCACGTGGTGCATTCTGGATAATGCGAACAGTTTGCGCCATTCAGCCATGGAACCACCTACGCTTTGACGAACGCTATGGGTAAAAAAAGGTTACACACACACAAATACATACAGACACCCTTTTCCGAAAAAACTCAAATAGTCTACATTGGTTAGAAATGCGTGATTAGTCAGGTTTTTTTCGATTTTCACTTCAAAATGGCGTTTGCGCCAATTTTCGTTATTCTCCTAATACGTAAGTATACCAAATTTCAGATCGATCAGCGGTATGCGCTTTTCGGAAGTTTATCCCATAAGTTAAACTTGGAAATTATTTTTCACTACGTTCGGTTGGTTACGAGGACAAACGGCGAACCGTAGTTAAAACAACCAAACAAATTTGACTAAAATATATCGCTTTTTAAACTGTTAAAGTGTTATATTAAAATGTATAAATATCAATTAAATAACTAATGTTATTTTTAATTGTAGGAAACCAATACCTGACGGATCTCATTTACCAAAGTGGCCCCCGGTTGGCAAGAGTCTGTCTCCACACATGGTCCTGGATGAACCGTTACAACTTAAGAAGCATTTGATGAAAGAACGATATGAATTCTGGAAAGGAATCTACGACAAATACTATCTAGAAGCTATACCACCTACGATAACGCAGGGTCAAAAAACAGAACTTTGAAAAAAAATATTATTGTATATATACCAATATATAAGCTGAAGATTTTGTTTGTTTCAACGCGCTAAGCTCGGTAACTACTGGTGTGAATTAAAAAATTTTCTTATGTTAGTCAGAGAATTTATAGAGGAAGGCTATAGTTTATAAAACATCGCGCTGTGACTAATAGGAGCGAAAAAATTGCGGGAAATGAGGAAGAAGCGAGGAAAAGTATTCATCATTGTGGGGTGTTGTTGCGTTTTCCGACGCGTCCGCTGCAAAGCGGTTCAAGATATCAAAAAATATATATATTAGAGAATGATTTCCCTTTAAATGATCTAAAAATCCTCGACGCTATATGTGTATTTTTAAAGATTTACTTGCAAGAACGACGGGAAGGGACGCGATCGACGTCGTGGTTAACACAAGTTTAAAGAGATGAAGGTGTTTGGATGCCTAAGATAACGATTCTCGCGGACGAAGTCGCTGACACAGCTAGTATTATGATATTTTGTGTGTATTTATGTTGACATTTGTAATGTTTGTAAATTTAGTTTATTATTGTAAATGGTGTTAATTCTGAATAAAAGTATTTATATTTTTTAGAATAAGAACTTGTATACTTAATTACTTCGTCTTTGGAAAACCTCTTGTTGTTTATCGTTGTGAACTGCTTATTACTAACTGGATATCACTTTGTTTCATTAATTAATTTATGGTGTTATATAGGTATAAATAGCCAAAAGCTACAAGGTACATACATAGTGAGAGTACACACAACAAGTGGGAGAGAAACTAACTTAAATATTGGAAACGTAAAACTTATACAGCAAACTCTTAAAAGAATGGAGTGATTGAGCTTTTCTGATATTAGTGGGAAGAGAGTTCCAAAGACGGATAGCTTTAACTGTGACGGAGTTATTGAAGAAAGAGCTTTTATGTTTAGGAACAAATAGAAGCAGATTATCGATGGAACGAAGATTTAACTGGTGGGAACTTAAAAGGATGAATATCTCTTTTAAATAAGAGGGAGTTTTGGGATAAAAAAGGACACGGTAGGGAAGATGGAGTAGATGAGAATTCTGACGAGTTCGGATTGGGAGCCAGTTAAGCTTTCTACGAAATTCAGAAACGTGATCATATTTGCGAAGGCCAAAAATGAAACGGATACACGTATTCTGAAGCCGCTCTAGTTTGTCAAGTGTTCAGTTAAATTAGTGAATCAGCATAATCTAGTATATGGAGTAAGAGAGATTGAGTAAGTAAAATTTTTGTAGGGATGGAAAGGAAATTTTGTAACCGTTTTAGGGAGTGCGAAGCGGCATATTTTTTTTTATACGCGGCTTTCGCTCGGTCTCTAGCCCTTTGAAGCTCCCTAGTATCATCATTTAGCCATGGAGCTGGCAAATGCTTCATCTTAACCGGTTTATCAGGCGCATGTTTGTCATAAAGCTGAGTTAAAAGGGAGTTAACCACAAGGCCACTTTCCTATTGATGTCATCGCTTTCAAGGATTACATTCCAATCAATATTTTGAGCATCTTCAGAAAGTAGTTCTCTGTCTATCGCGTAAAAATTACGCTGAAGTGTTAATCGAGCCTTGGTTTTTGGAGGTCGCAGTTTATAAGAGAGAAATATAAGATCATGAAAGGGGAAGCATCTGCTGAACACTGTCCGTGTGAAGAAACAAAATCAGGTTTAGAAATTATCACGAAGTCAATGAGAGTGGGATTAGAATGTATTTAATATAGTTTTTTCAACTTCAACACTTGCGTATTAATTATATATTATTTTCGGGAATAAATGATTGAGTTATTACTATTTTGTTATTTTAATTTCTTCTCTCCCTAAGGCAAATCAATGCTTACGATACCAGACATTGAAAGTATTCTTCGGCTATTTTGTAGCTATTCCAAACAATGAGGAAACTTATCCTTTATTTCGTGATCAATTTAGAAGGGTAAACAACAACAAAGGCTTTCCGATAGCTGAATGTATTCAAATAATGAACTTTCTTAAGATAAAGTAGCTTAATTAACTTTGAAACATTTTCCTATTTAATTTCAGATCGGATCAGAAACACTTACTTTGTAATAAAATGTTATCAATATCTTCTTTTCCTAATTACTTTAAATAAAATAAATTATCCGTTCCGTACTTTATTTAATATTTATATTAATAAATAAAGCTGAAGAGTTTGTTTGTTTGTTTGAACGCGCTCATCTCAGGCACTACTGGTTCGAATTGTAAAATTATTTTTTTGTAGGTTAGAGAATTTATCGAGAAAGGCTATAGGTTACAAAACATTGCATTGTGACTATTAGGATGGAAGAAAGAGTGGAAAATGCAGGGAAAACGGCGAACAACTTTCATCTTTGTAGGTTTTCGATGCGTATGCTGCGAAAATGGTTCAAGATACACAAAACATATGTATGAGAGAATGATTCTTCTTTCAATTATCAAAAAAAATGTCTGCGACAGTATATCTATCAGTCTATCTTTTAAGATGAAAACGACGGGAACCGAACGACGTGTCGCGATCGACGGGACGCGTCCGATGTAGGTAAACAGTTTGCAAAAACAATTTTGGATGACCAAAATACTATTCTACGCGGACGAAGTCGCTGACTGAGCTAGTTTTAATATAAAGAAAGCCATGATTCATTTCTGAGAAATTTAAAGACAATTCGCAATTTCGCTTCGCTTTTTTATATAATTATATTGAAACTTCTACAAGTCGATGCGCGCAAATCAAAATTAAATTCAATCCGCCGCTAGGCTCTAGACGGAGATCTAGGCTAGAGATTGACTCTAATGTCAACACAATCGACCGTTTATTCTATTAAATTTCGTAATCGATCTTAATTGTGGATTTTAATTCGTATGGGATATTGTAGTAAATGCATTTATGAGAACAGTGAATGGTGTTGTTAATAAACGATACCATGATTACTTTTAAAGGAAAATAAAAACATTAAAAACTTGTTTTTCTTCATTGGACGACGTTATTTAGTTAAATATGAGTTATTATTTATATAATTAATAATATTTATATCTTCTTTAACGATTTTTATACAAATATATTTCTATGATCCGATTTTGTCTATTTCAATAGGAATCGATTAAACGACACCCTCAAGGATCGCGTATGGATATCTCTATAATATTATGGTTATTTCGCAAAGCTTCGTACATATTCGGTAATGTTCGGTAAACAGAAGGGTGTCTCGGTCACTCCTTGGCGTTTATTTCGTTATCTCTGTCTGGAGCGCAGTCCGTTAGAAAAGTGATCGTTTATAGTTAAATTTAATACTATTACATATTTCTTTTTTGTTATATTTTTGTTTTGTCTCAGTATTTTAGTGAAAGATAAGTGTTCGTAGCCCTTATTGTCTCTGAATCTATTATTGGTATGTTACTTTTGTTGCTTGTGTGTTTCTTGTTAATGTTTCATTTGAATCCATTTCTTTAAACACAATATTGTTAAAACAAAGTTCTATTGTCCAGTTAAAAGAAAAATATGCAAAAATAAAAGTCAAATATCTCACAACTGTCTCTCTGGGTTAGTGGTTAGTTGTAAAGAACTCGAACTTAGTAACTTCGCGAACTAATATATTTCGCGTTTTATGCCGTTAAACTGTTTTTATTTTAATGTCTACGGCTGGCGTAAACTACAGACAGTGTTTAGTTGTAACCATTTTTTTTACTTGACATTTTTGACAGGTTTGTTTGTTTTTCCGCGCTTAACTCAATGCTTGGCAACGCGTTTAACCACTGTGCTATGGAGACATACAATGGGTTTGCGTCGCGGGCGAAATCCCGTTAATAAATGTCTAACTACAGTCTGACACTGTAAAACCCTGACACATATTTTATCGCATAAGTGTTGCCATCATTGTTATCCAGTTTCTCGTATTTATCGCTCCCCGCTGGAGAGGATCGTGTTATGCAATAAATTGTCAGAAGGATCATGCGATGTCGTTTTACTGTACCCGTTCTTTTATAAAACCGAGAAGTAGAGATATTTTTAAATACCAACCATTCTATATATTTTGTACTTTTCTAGATGTCGGAGGACAGTTGATGGAAGGTAAACATGAACCGACCTCATAAAATTTAATTAAGATCCGTTGTCGATCTAATTTGGATTCTGAAATAAATAAACTAAAACCACCTTTAACACTTCGGCTTTATAACCTATAGGTTCCGCCCATTTCGACCGTCCAACCATGTCCATATTTTTCAGATGCGGGTTCTAACTGTATATAAGGTATGAATAGAATCCATGACCCATTGTTTTTTTTTTTCAGGCAAGCATGTGTCGGGCAGCAGGCCTAATACCCTATCCCTAAAGTTGCGTTATCGACCTGTATTTTGGCTTTAGACCTTCATTATGAGCCATTAATTGCTACCATTGAACTAGAGAGCCCGTTAAAAGACGATGAGATATTTTTTAGATTCTTTGTATAAGTCCCTAAACACCGGAAGAGTAGCTTCGCGTCATCATTCTTGATAAAGAATGTACCAAAAATCGTAAAACGTAGACCTTTTTAAGGTCAGAATAAACCAACTCTTAGGTATGCATGCCCTCTCTTAGACTCTACCACTATTTCAGAGGTTGTGGTTCATGAAAAAAACTTTCCATACCGTATTTCAGAATATGAAAAATTTATATCTCACTTCCCGAAGCCTTTTAAGCGTGGCAAACAAGCTTTATAATTGCATTATCTAGAGAAGGGTACTAAGATCCCATTATCGTAAGAAAGATTTAAAAAGGAATGCTAAATATTTGAACCTGTTTATTAAGTTAGTTATTATGTAGGGAAGTAAAGGCTTTCGTTCTTTGTAGTGTTTCTTGGAATGCGCAAGATCTTGTGTTCATATTTAAATAAAACACTTTAACGTTTTCAAACGCGTATTATATCAGTTAAACTTGTTTGAAAATTAGCAGCCGTGGTCACGCGGAGACTAAATATGGAGAGACACTCCCCATCTTTAGTCTCCTATTGGCTGGCTACTGCAAAG